GGGAAGCAAACGAGCGGGCGTATTCATGCTAGGTGATGCTGCTTAGCTGAGAACGGCAGAAGAGGAAAAGAGTGGCGTACTAAGGGTTTCTCGGAAACAGATGTAGAGACGCTGATGGCGAGCATCTGCTCAGGAATTGACCGTACAAGAGCGTTTACTGCTACTTGGGTCAAATGGGCGATTCGGACCCCAAGGACTCTGACGCTCCGCAGGTCAGGTAGGAGGTCCAGGACCATCTCCCACGGACAACTGCCCAGGTCCAACCTCCTCAACTTTTGTCGCTTGTGAAGGAACTGCGTCACAGCATGATATAGGGCATGCTCGTCGTCGTGCCCGACCATCAAGAACCGGAACGAATGCAGATGGGGCAAAAAGGTATGCTGGCCATCGATGATCTGATCACTCGCAAACACGACCGCTGCCGAGTTGGGCTCCTCGAAGGTGCCGTGCAGAGTCAGGCTTTGCAGGTTATGGGCGTGGGCGATACGGGCGAGGACAACGTGTGAGATCAAGGTGTCGACGAGGTCGAGATGGGTCAGGTTCTTGATTGTCACCGACTGGAAGGCCGTATCCCACGAATGGTGCCGTGCAAGGTATGCTCCGAGAATGAGGTGTCGGAGTGTGTGTTCGTTCTGGTCCAGCACCGTCCGCACCTCGCCCATGTCTGCGAACCCATCGTCGTCCTCGGCTCGGAGAGTGAATTTCCGTAGATTTCGGAACGCCGACACGCCGACGGCGTCGAAGTGCCACCCGCTGGAAATCGAGGCATTGAGGTGAAAGAAGAGCGAAATAGAAGGGACAAGGACGTACATGAGGCCTAGTCCGTGGAGGTGCTTGTGGCTTGCGAGCACGGCCTGCACCATGTCCGCGCGCATTTCGGGATATCCGATCCATTCGAAGTCGCGGAGAGCTTTGAATTCCGGAAGAGCCGTCCTGAAAATTCCTAGGCGGGGGGTCATTCGAGCAGAGCGAAATATCAAGCAGACACCCACGCGTCATTAGATCCAGCATGTCGCCCTCCTCGTAGGCCCAATGAAGCCTCAAAGACTTGACTCGACTGGCAAATACGGGGTCGCTTTTGGCTCTATCGAAGATGTCCAGTCCTCTGGTCAAATTCTCTGGGTCTTCGCCGAAGTAGATGTCGACTGTACGGAAGATGTGGCGGACCGCGATATCGCGATGGAACGCTGAAACGAATAGCCATGTCCGGAGGTGGTATCGAGGAGTGTGGCCTGCTATCCGCTCCCAGATCTCCAGCGGCGCCCTTTGCGACGCTGGTTCGTTCTGGAAACGCATCTACGTTTCAAAAGGTGAAAAATATATATTACATCACGGTGAAGATTTACGCACCACCTTTCGGCGGAAACGGTGTTGGAGCTCTTTGTTCGTGGGATCAAGCTTCAAAACAGCTTGGAAATCTGGATTCGAAATGAGATCACGGCTGGAGCGGGGAAACATCAACACGCACCTTCATCTGCTTTCGCTAACAATCTTTCTCCACCTTGTTTTCTCGCATTCCCTCGGGCTAATAATGCTCGTGAAATATCCTCCTTCGGCAGGCCTGGGGTCTTCAAGTAAACCTCAAAGTAATTCTCCACCTCTGGTCCATATCTACGGGAAATTCGTTAAAATATGACGGTTGAGCCGGAAAAAGTGGGGCTCACTGTCCAGCGTCGATGAGTGTGAGCGCCGTATCCAATAAGAAGTTGGCCTTCCTGTGCTGAGTGAGCAGCGTAACCGCACCGCAAACGGTCGACGTTAGTTCATCGAGGGCTTGCGTGGACATTAGAGGGAGAAGGCAAGGTGGAACATGGACGTCAAGAGCTTGCCGAACCGAACTGCTGGTGGAAATTCAAAGTGTGGTTACCATCGTTTCGGTTCATCTTGGCATCTGCTTGGTACGTGATTGCCAATTCCGTTCATTGCCCCTATCATAGATCTCCTTATTTCAAGGCTGACTGGGGAATCGTCGAGAGCCCCAGAAGGACGTTGGAATTGCAAAGGCGTATGCACGGAATTTTCGCACTTTTCAACGAGTCCTCTTCTGATATTTGTTAAACCAAATACCAAGCATCCCATTGGCCATGAGGCTTTGGCGATGGCGTCGCTGGGAACGTGTTGCATGAAATTGGAAGGCAGGTGCATAAAATTGGGAGCAGGACTTATCACAGCTTTGCGCCAGACCACAGATTGGAAAATTATTCTCAAGGCCCATTGTTCTCGTGTTCAACGAAGAGGCTGCCAGGGTACGGATATGTCAGACATCATTTGAAACACCGTGAGGCTGCGGATTCGCCGGGCGCATCGGTCGGAGAGATTGAGAAAAGATCTTCTTCAGGATATACTCTGGATCCTGAGATGAGTGGATTTAAAATCATCTTCGAAGGGAGCATAGAACAAATACAAGGCCAAGGTCAAGGTTCAGTGTTACCTTCGGCACGCACCGTTTCCTTGGATCTGCAAGGCCAAACAACCGCAGATCATTGCCGCCGGAAGTTATTCACCTCCAGACAACTCTGACCAGTGGGTTATCAGCTGAAATGGAAACCTCGACATCGGACAGTTATTTAAATTCCCTCCCTCATAACTTCACTATTCCAGCACGAGAGCAACATACGGCAACCGTGATCTTCCTTCATGTAAGCCCCTTCTTTCGTGTTTCTATGATTTCTTGTAAACTTTCACCGCGATCTTACGATTCCGACTGTTGCGCTGATCCAGGGATTGGGCGATACAGGTAGAGACTTGAGCACGGCGTTGCGCACTCTCATTGCGCACTCGGACCTGGGCCATGTCAAGTTTGTCTTCCCCACTGCGTGAGTGGCAACCATCCTCGAGTGGCACCGAGTAGGACCGTGCTAAGCTCCATTGCCTAGCCCACTGATGCCCGTTACTGGTATGAACGGAAGAGTCGTTCCATCCTGGTCAGCGTATTTCAAATCGAAGACTCCGCCTAAAAATACTGACCTAATTTCTGTTAGGTTCGATTGCTACTCCTTTGACATCGCCACTCGACGCGAAGATGAAAAGGGCCTCTTCAGAGCGGTGAATTGGCTCAATGAATATGTCGCCATCGAGGAGAGGGAGCATGGGATACCCCCGAGCCGCGTAATCATCGGGGGAATCAGCCAGGGCGGTGCTGTCGCCACTTTGACGACGATCACAACCGAGAAACCCATCGCCGGGTTCTTTGGGTTGAGCACATACATTCCGCTGAGGCATCAGACGATGAAGGTGAATTTTTTTGACCTTCATGCTTTCATTATGCCAGACCTGACGTACTGCTCTCAGTACGCGACATCACTCTCAAAGAAGGTCCCGATGTTCTGGGGCCATGGGATAGAGGATCTCCAGGTCGACCATTCTATCTGGAAGGGCTTAGTCGAAATGTTTGCTGGATTGATGGGCATTCCATTCCAAAGTTTCGTCGGCGATAAGTTAAACAGGAAGGATCTTCAAGAAAAGGGTACTAAAGGGTTAAGATTTTACTCATACATAAGACTTGGCCATTGGGTCAACGACGAAGAGCTCGAAGATTTGGCAACCTGGATCTCCTTTCTTTTGCATAATTCTCCTGTGTAAGCTTCTTGGCATTACAAACGACGATGAAAATAGGGTACTTGTGAAGCCTAGTTGAATACCATGTCCATGAATACCATGTCCAAGAACGCCGATTCTGGCCCCTCGCCCCTATTCACGGTAACGCGTCAATGAACATCTCACGAAATGTCACATGTCATGTGATCTTAAATTGTTCGTGGGCGTGGGCCACCGTCACGCTCCTCGACGCTGTGCGCAACATTTGCCCACCTCCAATGTCCAACGAAGATGATGATTTAACAAGGTGAATACTACCATTCTTGTCTACATATCTCGTCTGACGGGTGTGAACAGGGCTATCCAACTCAGCCTCCAAGAGACTACACGCCAACCAGTGTTGATTAACCTCGATAGTGACGAAGACGAAGATGAAGAAGACAGGCGCTTTCAAGAGGAGATGAAGCTTGCCATAGAAGCTTCAAAAGCGTCATCAACGCGAAACGAGTCTCGGCCTCAGACTTCCAGTAGTGCACCAACAACACAACAGCCGAGTGGGACGTCTGTCGTCTCTGCTTTTCTATCGGAGAGGGCTCAATTGGAGAAGGAGCGACGCGAGAGACAGAAGCGGCTGAGACCCCAAGCGTACTTCTCTGTAGAGGATGAAGATATGGAAGATGCTGAGGAAGAGCCACCAGCCAAGAGGCAACAATTTTCCTCCTCGAAATCCTCCTATGTGCGCCCTAACGGCTCCGTGCCCAGTGCCAACGGCAGTGGTTCGAATGCATTCAATACTACCGCGTCAGTCCCGACTATAGACCAAGTTTTTTGGGGCGGAGAACTTCGACAAACAGCCGCCCAACACGCTGAACCGCGGAAGGATGGGCTTCCGACGTTTCGATTGACAGAGGTGCTGGGCAAGGTATGGTTTTCACTCAGGCTAGAACCTTGAAAGGGCTGTGTTAATTTCCCACCTCCTCCCCGTTAGAAATCAGAATTAGAATTCGCGATTCTGTCCTCGTATTCGCTAGATTGGTCGTGGATATACGAGTTTTTTGATCGGTCTGTTCCCGTTATTATGGTCGCCCAGCCTGATGCATCCGGAGAAGCAACTATCAAGAACGTACTGCCCAACTGGGTCAGAACAACGCCTTATTTGCGTGCTGGTTTCGGTTGTCAACACATGAAAGTGCGTTATTTATTCTCAGTTGATGCTCCAAGGCTGAACGGTGTTCTCCTAGTTTATGCTAGTACGAACCTTTGTGATCTCGAAGAGATGGTTCGCTTATTCTGGGATCACTCTCCTAGTTGTTCTACAAGTCAGGCCGACTTCGTGTAGTCATTTCTACCGCCAATCTTATAGCGTATGACTGGCGTGATATGGAGAATGTAGGTGATGGCCTCATCTATCTATATGTGAGCGTATATGCTGATGTTCCGGCACCCACAGTCAGTTTGGCTGCAAGACGTTCCTCTCCGCTCGAAGCCAGTCCAGCATGATCCCAAGGCCGATGATTTCCCCGCGGTGTTGCAGCATATGTTGCACGCCGTCAATGTTATGCCTGCTCTCGCCGCGATGATAAGTGATAATGTAATTTTAATACCCGCCCTCTGGCCCGGTCTCTTGGACGAGCTAACTGCGTCATATTTTCTCGATTCCAGCATCCGAACCTATCTATAAAGTCCATCGACGAACTACGTCAGAGATGGGACTGGTCTAATGTCAGGGCACACTTAGTCGCTTCCATTGCCGGGAAGCACGAAGGGTGGCCCAAAGTAATTCAGTGCGCTAAATTAAAGGCCGTGCTGTTATATTCTCTCGATGCTGATCCGTAGTCAGGTTTGGACACCCGCGACTTATGTCTGTAATCCGAAAAATCGGGATGCGTACGGGAACGGCCAAGACTGCGAAAAACCTTATGCTCGAGTGTCAGGTGAGCGCATTCGGCCTGTACAAGAATACTTATCAGCTCCCTGGCACTTGGTTCTTGGTTCTTTTCCAACAGGGGTCTAGCCTTGGTGCTTATACCACCCAATGGCTGAACGAGTTCCACTGGTCCGCGAGGGGCGAGAGCGCTGAAGACTGGCTCGACAAGAGCAAAAAGTCTCGCGAAAAGCTGCCATACCCGTCTATCAAAGTAATATTTCCATCGAAAGCTACTGTTCAGCAGAGCTACGCAGGTGAACAGGTATGGTCTTGCCATTTTAGATTTCTATCAATCCTTTTACGCTATGGTTGAAAGGGTGGCGGCACCATCTTCTGTCGTCGAAAGCAATGGGGAGCAAAGAACTTTCCTCGAAGTCACTTCTATGATTCCAAGAGTAAGGGCGGTCCTGTCTTGATGCATTCCAAGGTAGGGCGGGTTGCTACTCTTTGTGACATATCGTTGACGGCGTCTATAGACGATCATTGGAATGTTGGAGGAGAACGTCTTCACCGGTCGACATACTCAGGGGGAGCCGTCCGACACTGAGGATGACACAGATGATGACATCGAAGTCATCGAACCGGCTGCAGGATGGGCATACGTCGGTTCCCATAATTTTACACCGTCGGCGTGGGGAACGCTGTCGGGATCATCGTTTAGTCCAACTTTGAACGTAAGGGACCGCTTGATTTTCCCTTGTCTCACTGACGGCGACCTTCAGATTTCCAATTATGAAGTCGGCGTCGTTTTCTTACTCAAAGACTCCAAGGAAGCGGATCGCGTGGCATGTTTTCAGAGACCGCCCAGAAAGTATACATCGACTGATGAGCCATGGGTACGTCAACGTTATTGCGCAGTTAATAAGGCCTAAAGCGCTTTACTGACTTTGATTGATGTCTAGATACAGGAAGAGTCTGCCTATCATCAAAACGAATAGGCGTAGTCTTTTTTGTACCATGGGGTTAGCTGCGCTTCCCGGAGTCGAGCCCTTGAGTAACGGATTCCGCTGGGATACATAAATCACTCTCACTCATTCGGACATCATTTGACGCCTCTATCAAACCGTCCGACCCTAGTCCAGCATTCTCAGTTTAAAATAGCATGTAACCAAGTTATCTGAAACGGACGGTTTGGAACGACCACGAGTGGGGCTTCTCCAAAACTGATCCCAATGACTGATCACTAGGTGAACCAAGGCCGGCGCCAAATTGTCACAATCATTGAATCAACACCCAATTGATATTTTTATTGGATGGATACAAAACGTGATCCGCTAACTAAAACAAGGTGAACAACTGCGAAAGACGAAAGACGAAAGCTAGTAGGGCTACATTGAGGTATCAAAGAATGCGTAAATAATAAAATATGCGGGTACACGGTGCGAGCGTCCATTAATTTTCGAACAGCTACAACTATAGGGATAATACGGTAAAAAATAAGTAGAGATTAGCAAATTACATATCATAAGAAGATAAAAAGTTCAGGAGGTGTTTCAAGGTCAATCACCTCTCTTTATCACCGCACGCGGTTGAAAATTTGGTCGATTTCGGTTTTGAATGCCTCTTCGACGGCCTTGCGACGGATATTACCCTTCGTGGCGGTCCGGGGGAGTGTGCCACGCTGGACAACCATGATCATGTCAGGGGAGGTTATGCGTTCGTGGAGATAGCGTCTAGAATGGAAGTGTCGGGTTTTTCTTATGATCTCCTTCTTGAGCTTGACGTGGTCCATGTCGGTCGCGGGCTCGATAAACATAACCGGCGACGGACGCGCGTTCCCAACCACGATGCACTCGGCGATGAGGCTGCCGCACATCGTACGGGCGTTCTCTTCGATGGCCTTGGTGTCGCATCGTAGACTGGTTTCCGACTTGATCCAGTCGTCGTCGCGTCCTCGGGAAATCCACCACCCCTCCAGGACTTGTTGGAAGAGATCGCCGGTATGGAAGTGGCCATCGGCTTGGCGAAGAGAAACGTCGGGGCAATCGGGAGAGTCGGAGAGGATGACGAGCTCGTACAAAGTCGCGTTAGACTGGTGAACTCCCTCTTCATCGGAAATTATTGGGTCGAAACGATAGGATGTTCCAGGAACAGGACGGAGAAGCGCCCGGTTCTTTTCGTGTTCGCCAGAGAGTAGCATCCCACCGACTTCCGTGCTGCCGAACAAATTCTGTGGAGACATCAGAGAAAGTTTTCGACGTCAGGGGAGATTAAAGCTCACCCTAAGCCTTATCCCGCTCTTAAGAGCCCACTGCTCGTCTTCATGGGGAAGGGGCAAACCGGAATAGAGGACGTCGTCCAAGGTCTTGAGAATCGAAAGGAGTTTAGCGTCCTGTCGTGCATTCCTGAAGTGATTCATCAAGAATGACGCGAATTGGTTAAGGCGGTTAAGTCCACATCGGACAATCATGTCTATCAGCTCCTCGGACGAGAAGCTAATAGTGGTGGGTTGTATCACACACGACCCGTGTTGAAGAGTTCCAACGAACACTGCGAACGAAAATTTAGCATTACGGCACCCAATCAGATGATGATGAAATACTCACTGAATGTCTGCGCTATGTGGCACATGCTTCCCCTGTAGAACATAGTTCAGCCAGAAGCCCTTCGACGTTTAAATTGGAAAAGGTACCCACATCCATACCGTCACGTCTTGCCGGTCTGGATCCTGCGGCATGCTGATATGGTGCGATTTAACTGCCATGGAATTGAGCCATCGATAGGACATTGGCACAAGCTTCGGGCTTCCGGAGGTGGAACCACTAGTGTGGAAGATAAACGCGACATCGTCCTCGCGAATGTCCCAAATATTTGGGAGGGGCTCCAGAACCTCGTCGATACGCTCTGATTGCAGTGCGCAATGGGTTGGGAGGGGGCAGTCGTTCAGAATCGACTGGAAGGAAGTGTCGTAGACGAGAGCCTGGGCTCCAGCTCTATGAAGTAGCTCATAGATGATGACAGGGTTGGGGAGCCGTAGACTGAAGAGTTGGGGAATGTACCCCGCTCTCGAAATGCCGTAGATGTGGAGTACATCGGTGTACGTGAATCCACCGAACCTGAAGACAATGTTAGAACACTGGTGAAGCAAACATAGCCGTGACACATACCATATTCCGACTACTGACCGCGGTGGTATCCGATCGTTCTTCAGCACCCTCGACCAGTGACGAGCGAAGAGATCGACGTCGCTATGAAATTGTTGATACGATGTTGACCGCCATTGCTCAACGCGTCCAGTAGAATCCAATTGGGGTGTTCGGAAGAGGGTGGATGATGAGTACCTTTGCGAACTCGATTCAAGGACGGTGAGATGACTGTTGACCATAGCCAGAGAGGGAAAAGTGTGTTAGCAGGGAGTGGATGAGAGACGGTATTTCGGCGAACCTTTTAAATAGGACAGGTATGTAGTACACCGCTCCTTGTATCCTTCGCCGAGTCAGATTCGGAAGTCCACGACGGGTGGAGGTAGATCTGAACAACTGGAAATCTTGTCAAATCCAGACGGATAGTTGGATAGCCTCTTTTCTTTCGATGAAACACGTCCATGATGATATGTAAGGCACGCGCCCAAGGATCAATTATGGATACACGGAACCCTCCTTGACTCGATCCGAAATCGGGTTGGACGCTGAAAAGTCGACGCTGCGTATGAGTCATCAGCATGGTAGACAAGCTCAAAGCCATCAAGGATTTCCATGCTACACACTAAGCATTGTTTGTTGCTGGGGTTCGGGAGTAAGAGGATTCCAAGGAGTTATGGAGGTAAGGGGAGCTGAGGTGATGTTTGGCGGCGACGGATTTGGATGGCTAACAGGCACTGGATTGACCACGAACCAAAATTTATTTTCCATGTGCGCCAGCGCAAAGTTCGCCACAGCCCCCAGATCAAGAGCTACCATTTTAGGAATATTTTCCGGTCGGCATCGGAGGGCTCGCCCACGTGTCGACCCCGATTCCAGGACCAATTGCGAACAAGCTCTTCAAAAGTTGACCAACTGGTGTTCATTGACCTCGTATATGACAGTAAACAGGCTCTGAAAATTCATGAACATCCTGCAGGTGTGTAAACGCCTGTCGATTGTCCACTACCCCCAAACGTCTCGCTCGGAACTAGAGATGCACCGGATTGAGGCGACAATCTTCAGCGGTATAACCTCCTCGCTGGACGGCGCTCTACATTGAGCTGGGCCCTGACCGAAATCGATGATGGCGGGGTGAAATTCCGGATTTGCCCGCTCCTCCCATCATTACGCTCGTCCCGAACCAAACTCAAATCCGTGTTCACTGGGACGCACATCGTCGACGGCGCGCGGCTCGAGAATCCTTCCGACCTCGCTCTCCGACTCTCTATTGTGAACTTTAAGGCTTGGAACCACTCCGTATCCATGAAACGTCTGGAGAACTAGCTCCAAATCGACCATTTTCCGAGTGTATACGGAAAGACTTGGGAACCAGATCAGGTGCTCAACGTTAAACGCCTGAGCAGGGCTGGAGTTCAAGTCGCCCGGTCGGATAGACGCTGCCTTGCACTGCCGCGATAAAGCCAATGACTCAGTGCGAATAGATGATTATCTGTTATGGATTGGAAAGGCTGAGTGAGCGCGCGTCTGTAAGCACAACTCCTCACAGCTCTAAGATAGAAAAAAATTCGTGACTCGATTAGACAGACTGTCAAGGCGCTTGCTCACCGCAGCCGTAAGACATCAGCGTTGCCGAATGTTTCGTGCCTCGGCGTCTTGATAATGGTCTTTCATTCGTCATCGCAGTCCGTAGATAGACTGCGAAGTGTGTGCCTGGCCAATCGTTACAGCGCAGTGTAAGATCACGAATTAATGCCGCTCACGCTATCAAGGTGTCGACTGCCACCAGCGGCCTCGCTTCGCCAACTTTCAGCTTCAGGATGGTAATCTTCAATCAGCGGTTTGAATCGCCGGAAATTTGCCGGGAGGTAGCATTTCTCTCGTGGCTGAAGCTGTTCATGTTGATACGTTTTTGGGCTGTTCAGTAATTCAGATTTCAATCAGAGGCAAAGACATTTTCTGAAGGGTCGAGTTGGGAACAGCCAAACGTTTGTCAAAACGCGCGGATGACGGATGATCTTTATTTGGCCTTGGTGCCTTAAACCTACCAGTACAAATAAAGGCCTTTTATCCAAATCAGGCTCCTCCGAAAAGTTTGTGTGTCCACCACGTCATTCATTGCACCCACAACGGTTCCTACGCGCTGTTGAACGCAAGCGAGCACCTATATGGGCAAACAAACAACGTTAAATCGCCTCCGTAAAATGGTGACACAACTAGCTGTTCGCGAGCGCGCTTTGAACGGTTGAAATCTTTCAATCCGGCGGGCAATGCCATCTGGACCTCCGACGAGTCTCATCAAGAATGATGATGTACGACTCACTAACTAGGTGCGGTACTATTCGTAGACACGGAGCCGTATCTCCGTAACAAGAATTTCAACCTCGACTGATCGCCTGGAGTTGGCAATGGCAGGAAAGATCAGGACATGGCCTGTGACCTCACTGCCCCTTGATTCAGGCGGCATTGGCTGACGGGACGCGAGACCGTCAAGCACGATTCTCGATACCTGCCGACATCTTGCTGCTCTTGTCCATCTCGCTGGTCGAATTCCTACCATCTGTTGGCTCTGGAGCCCCACACCCGCTTCGATACCACTGGCCATGGATGCGGGCACCCCCGCCACCCCGCAGCAGCCGACTAGCGGCGAGAACGACGCTCAAGTGATCCTTGGAGCGAATGGACAAATTAAACTGTCTGGAGGTGGTGATGCTGATCCGCAGGATCCCGTTCCTCAGATTGGAGATGGGCTAACCTTTCCGACGGACGTCCCTATTACGACCGTTCCCCCTGCACCCACAACTTCCATCGAGGGCCTGTCGTCGGAGGATGTCCCATTGCTCGAAACGCCATTAGATTCAGGCCTTCCGACATCATTTTTCTTGGCGCCCACGTCTGCGATCGACAACTTTCCATCGTTTCTGTCCATTCCGACGCCCTCAGCAGTGGATAGCAATTCGATTTCCAGTGACCAGGTGTCTATGGCACCTAGTACCGCTGTATCTGTTTTCTCCGCTACCTCTCTGGCGACCCTGACATCTATCGCCCCCGAGCGAAGCTCCTCGGTACAAAACAGGGCATCGTCTTCGATCAGTGCATTCAGTCCAAGTGCGACGCCGAGGTCTTCGTCAATGTTACAATCCTCTTCGATTGCTATACTTTCATCTTCTAGTCAGGCGGCTTCTGTCAGTTCCTCCATAGCAAGCTCAAAAACAATCTCCCTATCAAGCATCTCCTCGTTCAGCGCTTCCTCGCTGTCAACAAGCCACAGCCCCGCCGTCACGACGACCGTGTATGCTCCCGCTCTCACACATACTGCTTCCAATCTAAACGTCCACAGCCCACCGTTCTACATCGGCGTAATTCTTGGAGCTCTCGCCGGTGCGGCCTGCTTCATCGCCCTGATTGCATGGTGTCTTCGTCGTCATGCGCAAGCTCGGAGGAGACGAGCAGCTGACATGGTCGTTCCGTGGGCGAGATCAAGAGATATGGAAGAAGGTGGGGGTTACGGCGGTGGCGAACTCGATGCTGCGATCGGTGCTATGAATCTGGGTAGCCGCGAAGACCTTGCTCATGTTCAGGCGTGGTCTCCGCGAGGGGATCGCGACGTCGGCGAACCACGGCGTGTGCTGGGCGACGGAGGCCTCTCTAGGTATAGCCTCCAGGATCACCTTATCCCAACACACGGGCTTTGTTTAGAGGATTCTTTGAGAAGCCTCTCGCCTGCTGACGATGTAGAAGCTGCTCCACCTCTACATCCGAAGAAGACCTTACGCCAGCTGCCCTCCCACCTCGTCGACGAAGATCTCCTGGCCCGCGCTCGTCGAGAGAATGTTCGTCATTTCGGTCGAGACGTCAACCAGGACGACGAGGCTGATGGCGAATACAATCCCTATCTCGATCCGAGGGGCCCACACGACAAACCGCGCTATCTGGGACTGCATGGCAATGGGCTAGACGTTCCGTGGAACCAAAAGTCTGCGGAACCCCCGCCGCGGTCGATGGCGGAACGTCTGCGGAACCTGGGTAAGCCACCTGCGGAGTCACCGTGGAACGACTTTCCGCCGTTGCCCACACCTGGTCGTGACGCGTCGGGAGAAAAAGAGGAGTTTGAGCCCTGGGCGGCGTCGTTCAGGACGAGTCTCGTGAATGCCTTCAATGCTGTGGCTGCAAACATCTCGTCGACCGCGAGTGTCCCGAAACTGAGTGAGACGGATGTGCTGACAGCTCCTCCACGGCGACAGTCGCGGAAATCTATTAGGTCCTCGGTATCGAACAGCAAGGCCCCTTCAAGCCGACCGTCGTTGTATTCTGCTCCATCCAAGGCTTGGACTTTGGAGGAAAAGGAGGACGGAACGGGGGTCGTTCATATTCTCGGAATCCCAGAGCTGGAGAAATATGGCTCGACTCAGCGAAGACCCTCCATGAAACACCCAACTCTCTCGTTTGGCGATGGGGAGAGCATCTCATCCTATTATCAGGAAATCCCAGACAGCAATTGCCACTCGCAAGCTCAAGTTCCTCTAGTCGCGTCCTCTCGTCCTCGGCCTGTTCTCGTTCGTCCAACGTCTTGGCTAGGAAGGCGCCGTTCTAGCCAGCCGTCGAACTATGGGTTTCCTTCCCGGAGAAGCAGCGTCTACTCGAAGCCCAGCCTCTCTCGCACCTCGCGCGTACCTTCTGTAAGGCAAGCTCCTCGATTGACATTCACCAGGACTAGAAGTCTTGATACGGACGAAGGAGGTTTGGACTCTATCGTCATCCAGCCCGATACAATTTCTAGACTATCGTCGTCCGATTCGTCTACGGGTGATGGAGGGACGGAGGATGGGCGTTCAGGCATTCACGCCGCCGCCGCCAAGGCCTTGCAGACGAGGAAGCGGAGGGTTGTCAATGTTTGAAGGGGCTCTGGACGAGGCCTGGAGCCCCGCCGTTTGTATTTATATAACTCCAACTCTCCGTATGTACTAGTAGTAACTACAGTCTGTTATGCTATGCCCTTATGGCCGTTCAGATGTTCAAAGCCAAGTATGCTGATGTCGCCTGATGCTTCTGGGGCGTCAATCGAGAGAAGCCTGACGTCAACATCAACGTGTCGATTGGCCCATCTATGTATAGATACGGGAGTAACTAGCGCCCTTTTCCCCTTCTTACTTAGAGGATCTCTGGAATTACTTCAGGCGCGAATAAAAAGAGTACAAAGCAGTTCTCTCGTCGACAAGGGCTCCTGAGGGACACAACCCCGGTCATGGGTCTTTGGGGCTTACTAAAGACGCTGATTGTCAAATCACCCGCCCAATATCATTGGAGGACGGAGTGTCGGATAAAGCGATTAGGCCCGCTGTCCAAGAGAATCGTTCTTGCTGCCACCAGGCACCAGGGGGGAGCTCGCATATTCCAAGGGTCTCTTGGGTGGTCTTATAAGTCTGCTGATCCCATGATGCCGCTTAGAGCACAGTCCTCTCAAGTACTCCCTCACCATGTCCAACAACGACCGGAATGCCCTCAGCATCGTTGACCGCCTTCAAATGGCATGGATTCTGCTGCCAGCGCGTAAGTGGCCTCCTCCCTCGCTAACGGCGCTCTGAAGTTACTTACCGGCTTGCAGCAATCGTCGCGGTATGGGCTCTGGTACAGGCGCCATTCACGACGCACGGGAGATCCAAAAGCTGGAAGAGGAACATACTTGACCGGCTATTCCGCTGGATAATTTCAGGGATGAACAGGAGGCAGGCGCGTGCGTTACTCGGGACGACGCGGGGAGCATATGACCAGTTCCTCAAGGAGCACAAGATGGAACCAGTGGTGGAGGAGATCGGAGAAGATGCCAGGTTGCTCTGGATTGGTCCCAAGCAGACAGAACGTGTTTTGCTGTATCTTCACGGTGCGTATCCTCTTCGAATCACCATACGCTGACTCTTATGACATTTGTCTCCTGATCAGGCGGGGCTTTCCTGTTGGGCATGTCATCGTTCGCAGCTTCGTTCTGGAAATACATGCAGGATCACCTAGGGAAGCGAGGGAAGCCAACCGGAGTTGCCATCCTCAATTATAGTGAGTGCACCACCTTCTCTCGGTGATCTCCCGACGTTGATCGATCTCGAATAAGCGCTCGTGCCCGATCTTCAATTCCCTGGTCAGCTAAAGCAAGGGGTCCGGGCCGTGCAACACCTCTTGGACTCTGGCGTCAAACCCGAGAACATCCAACTCGTCGGCGACTCTGCTGGTGGGGCCTTCATCTACCAGATTTGGTCCCATATCCTTCACCCTGTGGATGGGGTACCGAAGCTAGAACTCTCCTCGCCGTTCGGCGGCGCATATCTGGTGTCCCCATGGGTGCGAATGATCGACGACGAGGGCAAATTCTTCCCTTCCAAAGGCAACTTGGATTATTTGACACCTGCAACGGGAAACTACTGGGGCCACAAGGTGTTGGATGGCCTTCCCGCGTCAGCCATTCCCTATGTCGAGGCGAACAGCACACCGGAGGGCTGGCTGCAGGGTGTGGAGAAATGCGTGAAGCGCGTCCTCATCAGCGCAGGTGGTGTAGAAACCCTCTGCGGCGAGATCATCAAATTCCAGGAAGTCGTCAAGAAACACCATAAGGATGTGACGTTCTACCTGCAGGACCATGGTGTCCACAACGAGCCCTATCAAGATTTTATGACCAAGGAGAAGAAGTTGGGGAAATTGACACCTTTGGTTCTTGACTGGCTGGATGCGGGGTTCGAAAAAAGCTAGGGGCTTCGCGGTTTATCGCATATATGCATAATTCCCTGAACCCGCAATTCTCGGATGTCGAGAGATGATGTGCCTATTCCCTTCGGTATCGCAGAAGTTGCGCGAACCCCGTATGTCTATAAATATAACGACGAAGCAATCAGAAATAGCCACAGGACTCGGAGGCCCTGCGTAACCATTTCCTCGAAGGGTGAAATATCGAGATTCGAGAATGTCTACCGCGCTCCTGCCACCTCAGAGGACTGTGTATGTGGTTTCTGGGCACAAACTTGCTACTATACGGGTCCGCGCCACGATACCCTGGTCGCAAGAGGAGCATGCGCGATCGCAGCAGTAGGCTGTGAGCAGCGAAAAGATGTGGGTCGCAGGTCAATAGAGTATATAAATCGCTGTCCCAGCTCCATTCTTCAGATTCCCTCACACCTATATCAGAAGCCGCGCATGCGCATGTTCATAACGAGTAACATAGGCGCGAGGAAGATTCATTCGTTCCCTTGAACATAATTGGGCGCTCGGTCGATGACTCGGGTATCGTGGACGATGCCAATGTAACATGGAACGGAGGCGATCCGTGGCTGGATGTCCGACGCCTAGCGCCCGTAGGACCGCAGCAGATGCAGTGATCTTCACCAAAGTATTCATATTACCGTAAAAGGGTATCGCCGAGGTAAGTGTTCTACGGTATGATTGTAACCGACTGTGCATCTTCTGGGTTCCTCCGTGGTAGTAAAGAATGTTCATAACGGGCCCAGTCTTCATGGAGGGAAATGCTTCGTGCTATCTCGAGGCTATGCTCTGGGATTTGAACGAGAGTTGACGCATGCAATGAGCTTGATGAGTTGCGGGGCGGGTTGGCGATTGTACGTATGAAATGTATGTGCTGGCATCTGAGAACAAAATTCCGTCGATGCAGCACTCCCGTCGCCCCCCGTAAGCCGACCAGGAACATGATAGAGCTTGCTGAACTAAATGTCTCGAGTGAGGCACCAAAAGAAGCGCATATGTGGTCTTTGATGTCTTTGTGATCGTCCACTGCGCGATGGGGTGGAAGGGCTCCAGATTAGGAGATGTCCATGAATTGTTTTGCCAAAGCGCCATCTTTTCTCTTGTTGAGCTTGTATGACCAAACCCGAGGCGGGCTCTTAGCCCCCGCTTTCTCGTGTTGAGACAAGTCCGACAGCTCTAGCCGCACTCGAACATGTCCTGAGATCGAGTGTGAACATAGGCATCTGACGAAGGACCACGCGGACGCACCACTGAACGGTACGACAAACGTGTTTCAGGAAGAGAAGTAGGAGGAGCTCGACGATGCGGGCTGGTGGATGTCGTACAGACAGTGGTGGGTGAAGAGGTTCCCGTGTTACGAGAGTTTCTGAATGTCGCCCACCATGTCCTTCTCCACGAGATTTTCTTTCAGCAGCAGGTCCAAAACCGTGGCGTGCTGCTTGTGCCCGGCGAGTAGGAACAGCGGCACCGCCCATGGAACGGCGGGGTCAACTTCAAGGTCGCGACCCTTTTCAAAATCCTTCAGAGCCGGAATCGCAGCTCTCCAGAGATCGGAGGTAGGCGGGAGTCGGTGCAGTAATAAGAAAAGGCCTCGCGTTCCTGGTGGAAACTTCAGGCTGTATGGTTGCTTCGTGCTTCGTGCTTCGGAAAAGCAGCTGCTGGCTAGTGTTGTCGTGACGGAACGTGACACAAACTTGAAATTAGATCCTGGCAAATTCCGAGAAATTTCGACGAAATCTACCTACTATTTACCCCAAGAGATTATATTTGGGTCAGAAACTTGATGCCGAGAAGATATCGACCTTTCTTCTCTACCTCCACGTTCACTTCTTGTCTCTTTCTGGCCCTTCTCGGCACCTTCTCGACCTGGGTAAATATTTCTTGGCTTCAGAACTGCTCGAGAGTCGATGGAGACTCCCATCTCGGCCTTTTCCTCGCGATTTACTGTAGCTTTGCCAAAGTCCTGCTGCCCTCTATGGCCCGGATGTCTGTCCGATGTCCTCACATCCTAGGAGCTAGCCTTGTTGACTTGACCCATAGTTTCTGGCCTCAGCATGTGGAATGGTCGACTGGGACTACTTGTGACGGTGAAGAAACGCTGGGTCTGACTGAATGAAATTGTTGCTACTGTACCTTGGACTCTCGTCGATTCTTCAAGCTTTATGGGAACCATCTCGCCTGTGCCCCCTCCTCCCTTTAATATTCCCTCTCTCTCTTCATTGATTCTCCCAGGAACCACGATCATGAGGTGTTTTTCATGTTCTCTTTACCGATAGTCTGCCTGACCTCGTTTTACGGGTTTTGACACCTATTCCGTATTTAACATCCTAATCCACCGAGATAAAAGGTACCTTGCTCAGCGATCGCACTCTGTCGATGTACATGTATGTATATATCACAGAGGCTCGATATCATGACCTGGACATTGACAGGACGCTACACGTTTCATAATTGTGAAGCGCCCATCAAATGTCTCCAAAGTATTGCTTAGACCAAACAGTACGAAGTATCATATGTGCCATCGGTTTTCTTTTACATATACGTTCATCGCGAAGTTCGAACTGCTTGAAAGATTTTATCTGTCAACCAGGTGATTGAGGCGAGAAGCTTCTGTGAAAATTCGTCCAAGGTTCGTCCCATCGCATCACATTCTCTTCGAAGTAAAGACATCTATTATTATGCCACTGAGTTTCGGTAGATTGCCGATTTGAAGCAGAATTTTCTTCGTCGAAATCGGGAGGGAGACCAGGAGGTGAAGATGTGTTACCGTTGCACCCGGGATAGTGGAAGATGGCAAATGCCGAGCCAATCAGAGTGCAGAAAAGTGTTCTCACGCGGGTGGGTCAAGCTTCCAGGCGAGTGAATCCAAATTCGAATTTCTCTGCGTCCGTGCGTCGTCTCGTCTGCCAGGAAATTTGTGGGGGTTTCCGTGGAGGGAGAAAACATGGCCCGCCCATCTTCCCTCCCCGATTAGGTATCTTCCACATCATCTCCCTCCCCCTCCCGCCCTCTTTCTCGCATCCTCTCCCCTCCAACACCCCCCCAGACGCCCGTCATGGCCTCCGACATCGAGATGGATGGCCCCAGGCCGTCGAGGACGCCTGACTTCCCCTTCCCGCCGCCGTCTGTGTCGGCCTCTGCTGCCACCAGCCGTCGCTCGTCTCTCGCCGTCGTCAACGAGGTAAAGGGCATTGCCGTCACCAACGGCCACGACCGCGGTGGCACCTCGTCGCAGGGGCCCATCTCCATCCCCGTGCTCGTCCACTCGCCGTCGCCAGCGCCGTCCACGGATGCTGCGCCACCGGCGTCTTCCGTAGTCCCGCCAACGACCGCCCCCGCCAAACCACTGTCCTCGTCGAACAAGGCACCGTCCACAGCCAAACCCAAGTCCACCAAACCAGCGAAGGCACGGTCACCATCGCCGTCGCCACCACCACCCCCCATCATCCCGCTCAGCACAATAAGGTTGGAGATTCGGCTCGGCGGACCGTCAAATTACGAGGTGGACATTTCGCAACAGGCAAAGGACACTGGCCAGCGACCGCCTACACCGCCGCCAGCTCCCAAGAAGGTCGCCGACTCGAGTGAGTCGGAAGAGGAAGAAGACGATAAAGCAAAGGATGACAAATCGAAGCCCAAGAAGAAAAAGGTGTGTGTTTTTCCTAGTTTAGTTTATTGGTACACACATACGTCGTTTTCTTTCTTCTCGTCCTGGATTTTGCTTTTATCCTTCCGGTGTCTATCGCTTCTACCCTCTTCGTCACATCATCTTGATGTTTGGAGACCAAGCTTCTCTCATCTTGCTGCGAGCAGTTGCTTGTCATGCAAGGTCATGACTCGTAGAATTGACCTATTTCACGCGCATATATTCCACTTTTTCTCATTTTCGTGGTCTTTGTCCTCCAGCGCCACGTCTTCTCTTCTTCTTCCAACACCGGATGCTAATATCCTCCTTCAGAGAAAGAATCACGCCTCGGAATACTATGACACTTCGGACCCCTTCATCGACGATTCGGAGCTCGCGCTCGACGAACGACAATTTTTTGCACAGACGAAGCAGCAAGGTTTCTATGTGTCAAGTGGTGAAGTTGCCCTCCTTAAGGACAAGTACGTTTTGCCATTGCCGTTCTCGTTCTCTTTCTTCCCGTCTTTTTTCTTGTCCCGTCTCTTCAGCCTCTCTTCCATGCCACGACATGTCCTTAGCCTGCTCGGGGTTCATGCGGCCTAGAAGATGTGCGGACGTTTTATGTTCTCTTTTTCTCTATGCCCTTCGAATCCATTCACCCATTCACACAAAATGCTAACTCTATCTATGACAGAACACCAAAGAAGCCGAAATCTAAGAAAGTTATTTATGGCCTTCATCCATCTCTCGGGGGCACCGGTAGCGGCACGGAGAAGAAAGGCCATCCTACAGAAGGCACGCGGGACGCTCCCATCCCCGTGGATGATGATAACAAGAAGCACAACCTCTCGCTCACGATCGCGGCCGGGGCCGACCCAGAGCACGCCGGACAGAAACGGAAGCGACAGAACACCATCGTCGGTGAAAACGGGAAGCGAAAGAAGGTTGTGGATGAGGTATGTGTCCTTTTTTGCTCGGCTTAGCATGCCAGGCTAAAGAAAAAATTGCAGTCGATGTTCCATCCTGATCTGCAGGCCGCTATCCAGGAGCTGAAGAAGCTTATCGCGCAAGAATCATGGGTGGTCAAGGGCAAGTTCCCTGCGGGCCTCAAGCCACCTCTTGCCAAGCTCGCTATCCTCGCTATTCGACTGGACGAGTATGATGATGATTTCTTCTCATTGATGCCGACGTTGTTCCCATACAACAAGTTCACAATGACGGTGGGTCCATCTTTTCTCTCGTTCCATTGTCTACGGGAATACTTATCATATGGACAGAAGCTCATCAAGCGAACTGTATACCCCGACCACCTCGCCCTCCTGCACGAGCGAGAAAACACGCTCATGGCACAGCTGACCGAGCTCGCGCAGAAAGGGTTCGCCAAAGCCGAAGAGGAATGGGAGAAAGCGTCATCGCATGGGACAAGCGGCAAGAGAAGAGCCGGACTGAAGCAGGGGAAGCCAGCGGCGGTACGGGTGAAGGGGCGCCTACGCGCCATGGCACCGAAGAGATGGACGTCGATGGCCCGCCACCTACCCAAGCGGATGGCGAGCCCAAGGACGGGAAGGACAGCCATCCTCCCGCAAAGCGGTACCGCCTGACCGACCAGATGAAGGCGATCATTTGGGAGCTCGTCTTGCTCAGCAACGAGTGCTGTCGGTTGGAGAACGAGAAGAAGTGAGTGTTTCTGCTTCGACCTGGTTTGTTTGTTTCATCATTGAGCTATTAATGGCTCTTGCAGCACGTTGGAGGGCTCGGTGATGCAAATTAGCGATCAAGGCGCCAGGAAGAACCTGTACCAGCGAATCGTTGCCGCTTACCCTGAGGGATGGATGTCCTCTGGCCAAATCTCGCGAGACAGTGAGTTATGACCACCCATTAGTTTGACTCTTCCTGACAAGTGTTTTAGTGAGCGCGATTAAGAAGCGACTCGAACGAGAGGCCATGGAGCAGGATAACGACGATTAAGTCGTCGGTGATATTTTTGTCTTAGCCATGGAGGCCAGACTGTTTATTCCTTCGCTTTTATTGTTATTCGTTTTCGATTCGTCGACGTCCGTTGTCTTTTTCTGTGTAACCTAACCTACTTGTCCGAGTAATTTGTGATCACTTATTCGTACTTGCTTTGCCGTTTGTAACGCATACATTTGCTTCTTGCTCTGGATTGCTGCAATGGACATCTCTGTCTCGGTGGCAGATTGTCAGTATCAATTACATATTCTGTACATTGATTCGAGCTTCGAGCACAAATTGCAGGAGCAATGCTACTGAAACTTCCTCGTCCTCCTGACTACACAGGCCAAGGTGGGTTTCGCAAGAACTTTCCAGGGGGTTTATGCGTTGGAGGATTTCACGACCACAGGTCGGGCTGAAGATATCGATTACTTCAACGGCTGGATATATGCATCAGGAATGAGAATAAAGCTGGGATAGTGACACCCTCAGAACGAAGGCGAATCGGGCACTGTAGGCATGCAGGCCGAGTTGGTAAAGCCACTTCGACTGATGCAAGGAATAGCCAGAGAGAGGACCATGCGATCTTGGTGCATGCGTGAAATACTTCATCTATGTCTAGGACGGAATGGCCGAGAGATGGTGTATGTGGCGCTAGACCAGCACGCGGCCGTTATCGATTGAGAAGACGGTCCACTTGCGCCTGCATTCCGAAGGTCAACGGCTTTTTCGGATCGGCGATATGGATGTCCACGAATTGAAGTCTGGATGGCGTATTCGGGGAACTCTGACAAGGCGCTGTCTGTGCGCTCGACGTTTGGCGAGATATGGAAAACGATACTCCGCCAGTTTGCGTAGCTTTTCAGGAAGAGTTTGCTGTTACACCGTGCTTTTCGGAGGTTTGTGGAGAGATTCCTCTGATAGGGAGAGATATAGGGAGGTTTCTAATGCACGAAAGATCCATGTCCGTGCTGGAGAACTAGAGAAACGAAGGAAGTGCAAGGATGATCATGGACATGGATGCTCGACCGTAGATTCGGAAGGCATGAGGAGACATCGTACCACTACCTGCAAAGTTGGCCGATGACCTGAGGGCTGACGATAGAGGTCACTTGAGATGAGAAGTGGCGATCCTGAGCCCAAACTCGGGCCGGGCTTCGCCATGGACATAGACCATGAACGTATTCTCCAGGACTTCAGAGGGCAACTGGGCTTGGCGGTGCTGTCATCGAGAACCGGCCTGGCGAAATCTTCAACATTCCTAGATTCGCCAGATTTCAGGAGAGAAGATGAGGGGCATTAGAAAAAGAGACACCCCGTTAACGTTCTCTAAAGAAAAAAATGCACACACACAGAACTTACTAGTACAAAGGACTAAGTATGTAAGTTCACAACACTAGACTCGGGTCTGTGACGTCGTGAGAAACGATGTATTGCGGTAAGTGTCTGTGACATCGGTGTCGACCTATCTTCCTCCAGCACCAGCACCATCCTCTGAGACTTCAAGCCTCAAGGCCCACAAGACCAGGTCAATGGATTTCATTCGATCTACCCCTCCAATTCTCTAAAACTGCTATCTCGACAGGACTCGAATGCTGACAATCGCGAGTTGCGGGAGTTCGGACGCGTTCTCGTGCCCCATTCTTGCTCAGAAGCAAGATTATTCTCGTATCTCTAGCAGAAGCTTATCCACCACGTCGATTCAATCGGCTAGATAAAGAGAAGAAGCCAACGGGATTACAGCAGTCATGGGGAAGGAATCACGCTTTCGGTGGGACTGGCTCCCACTTATCGCCCCATGGAGAGCCAGTGAGTATTTATAGCTCTCTTATATGCGCGAAATTGTCCCTCTCACAGCTGTTTCTGATAGCTGCCTCCTACTCCAATCCGTATCTTCCTCTGGACACCATGGGCAACAGTTCAGAAGCCGGGGACGAGAAGCTGGACTCGAAGCACGATTTTGTGGCCGTCGCCACAAGCGAGGTAGATACAGCTGCTGAGCTCGCCGCCGGTGATCATGGCCCCCTTGATCCTGCAGAAGCACACCGCGTCAGGTTTGTCCTTTGAAGCTTCGTCGAACTATCCGAGTGATAGGACAATGGTTTGGCAGGAGGAAGATTGACCTACATATCCTTCCGCTCATGTGTAGTGAGTATAATCGAGTTTTCCGTGTATGCGCTCGCTTATTCTTCGACAGTTCTCTACTGGTGCGGATGTCCCCACTGGCTAGTGTTCCACTTTTCATACTGTGCGACAGGATTCAATTCATGGATAAGACGACTCTTGGGGCCGCTGCTATTCTTGGAATCAGGTACTCCTCACCAGTCTTTTTGGTGTCCGCTGATACTGATCGGGGGACCTTGTTAGAGAAGCTACGCATTTGACCACCAATCAGTAAGTCCTGAAAGGTAGCTCACGGTTCTGGCTTCGATTGACTAGCTCTTTCTAGATATAACTGGTATGCATCAGAAGCGATGGCGTTTATCTTTGATATAGCTCACTGCTGGATATTGAATCCCGAAGGCTCGGAACAATATTCTACCTCAGCTATCTTGCCTTCGAGTTTCCTCAAAACCTCGCCTTGCAACGCTTCCCTGTTGGAAAATGGATGTCGTACGTATGCCCGCACTTCTGACTGTAGCGCCCTCATAGTTCCATGCAGGTTGAACATCTCGATATGGGCTGTCGCACTGTGCGCGCACGCTGCTTGCAAGAATTTTGCCGGCTTGTTTGTTGTGCGACTCATCCTCGGCATGTGCGAGGGTTCGATCACGGCAGGCTTCATGATTGTCAGCTCTATGTTCTACACCCGCACGGAGCAGACTCTAAGGGTTGGTTACTGGTGTACGTCTTATACTTGTTCGCTCTCGTTGCCTCCATTGACGTTTGCCCCTAGTCCTGATGAATGGTACAGGTAATTACATGCGGCGCATAGTGCTCTCGCTGTTCCTCACTAACTCCTCGTTCTTCAGCCCAGATCATAACAGGCTTCATCAGTTTTGGAACCTTGCATATTAAAACCGGAGAATTTGAGCCCTGGCAATGGTACGGGCCGAATGCCCTCGATCGCGTTTTTCGAGTGTTATATCTTACAGGTTCTTTTGCTTCCAATAGGTTGATGATTATTACGGGCATCATTACTCTCCTGGCAGCGCTTGCGTTTTGGTTCGTTATATCTTCGAGACTGTCTCCGTCCATTGATCGAACGTTCATATAGGTTCCTCTTCCCCGACTCGCCTACTAACGCGTGGTTCCTAACTCCTGCTGAACGAGCAACAGCGGTCCGAAGGTTGAAGGTATGTCCAACTGATGTGCTCCGAGGAACAAAACTCATTTGATGATACGCAGGAAAATCAAACCGGCGTAGAAAATAAGCATTTCAAGAAGGATCAGTGCGTCAATTTCCACAAGCGTTGTGGAATTTTGAGAATAATTCTCGTTCAGAATGATCGAGGCCTTGCTTGATCCAAAGACATGGCTCTTTGCGCTTTTCTCTGCTCTCGACAACGTGCCGAACTCGTTGACAAACCAACGCCAAATCATCGTCTCATCGTTTGGATTCACTCCTTTGCAAACTACCTTGCTAGGTTGCGTCGATGGCGTTATCGAAATCGTGACAATCTGGACGGGAGTGACGATTGCGGCGCGCATACCTGACTCGCGAGCGTACGTCGGTGCCTTGTATATGGTTCCCAACGTGTTGGGCGTATTTTTGGTCAATTTCCTACCTTGGGAGAACAAAATCGGGTTGCTGTTCTCCGTATGGATTACTGGTGTGTCCAATCGCTTCTGAGTGGCGTCGCTTGTTTTGATCCGCGGGATTCATTCAGGTGTCGGCACGACGGGCTTCGTCTTATCCTTGGCCTGGGTGTCCAGCGTTACAGCTGGGCACACCAAACGTATCACAACCAACGCTATCATGCTTTCTGCATATTGCATCGGCAACTCTGCTGGGCCGTTTATGTGGCAGTCACAGTACCGTCCCAGGTAGGGAATTCGCCCCCATTTTCATTCCTCTGCCGCAGCAGCTGATCCTTCGTCTCGCGGTAGGAACCATATCCCGTGGATCATCATCGGCATCTGCTACGCCTGCTGTATGGCTATCTTACTAATCATCCGACTCATGCTGTCGAGGGAGAATAAGCGCCGCGATCGCGAGCCGCTTGATGAGACCTACGAAGATGTTTATATTGAACGAACGGGAAAGGACGGGGAAGTTGAGAAGGTTAAGGTTGATAAGGTATGAGCGGGGCGCTGAATCCGGACGATGTGGACGCTGACGGCTCTTGTGCAGGAATTCTTGGATCTTACTGATAGACAAAATCGGGAATACAGATATGTGCTATGATCGTATTTACGAATTTTTGTGAAGGGATCCTCAATTGATGCCCTTCACAATGCTGCTTCAAATACAAGTCTATCCTCCAAGTGACATGGTATTTGCAACACCTAAGAAACAAATGCACCGAGCAAGGCTCGGCTATAATCAGTTAACGGGTGGCGCGGGCCGGCATGGTACTGTGGTATGTCGAGCGCGCAGCGACTAGATTTGAGGTCCAACACGTGTATGATCCCTTTGTCCCTTTCTATCGCGTGTGAGAGGCTCTCGTTCCTATTCTTCCATGGCCAACCACCACCAGATACTCACCGTTTTCATTGGGTTCATCGTGCTCGCCGTCGTTTGGCACACCTCCCCGATCCTTCAACTTCTCTCCAGGCTTCGCGGTCGCTTTAGCAAGGCGGACAATCCTGGAGTTCGACGCGAGAATGAAGATATAGCGCCAACAACGATTATCCAATTGCTCCCAAGTGACTCTGAGCATGACGAAGAACCTCTGAGGGTGATTCGCCTTCCGATACTGTCGAAACCCAGCTACAGTCCGTTCTGGATTACTGATCCCCCTCCTTCGTCATTCCATAATCCAACACTCTGTTCGCCCGGGAATGAAGTAATCCCCACTATCGATTACAACGACCGTCGAAACAACTCCCGCACTTTCGAACTATTTATTCCACAAGAAATTGCAGACCTGATTGTAGACGAAGTTGCCAATTTCGAGGACGCGAAAGAACGTCAGCGCGGGTTGTCCGTCATTTCGCAGGTCGCCCTTGTCTTTTATCCTCGCACTCGCAAGCACCTTTTTTCGAAACATTGGAGAGTGAATCAAAGCCCCTCATCCTCATCCAATAGCCGACTAGACAACCTCTTCCAGCTTGACAACCTCAATCCATTTCCACGTTCGATCGCGTTCACGTCTTATATTCGCTCCATCGCCATTTCCTATCGTTCTGACTTCTCGGCCAGCGACGACACCAAGAAAGAACATAGCAGGAAGCTCGCTTCTCTTCTGGACAGCCTCCACAATACCGACCGTGGTGTTGAGCGATTCTCGATCGAGTTTTACGATCAACGCATCTCAATGGGTTCACTCGATTGGTACAGCCTCGGCGGAGACTTCCATTACGCGTTTCTCAACTTCGTTCGTTCCCCTTTCCTTCAAGAGCTACGAATCGACAATTTCGTCAACGTGCGGCGCGACTTCATGAGCAAATCGTCGGTTAAACGTTTGGTGCTGCGAAATTTCGGTCTCCAAGAAATACGGGGTGCACAGGGGGACCGAGTACCCTTCCCTACCGAGTTGGAATCCTTAGACTACGAAGAATCGTTCGCCTTGCGTCGTTTCTTCGCTCCGTCCCCTCATGCGTCGAGCGATAGTCCGAGATGCAGCGCTCGGAACCTGTCGGTGGCATTGCATACGGGATTTGGACTGGAGGAAGTACAGACGGCGCTCTCAGAATCAACTTTCTCTTCAGTCGAACAGCTCAACATAAAGTTCAATAGTGCGTATCCCTCGAGCCATTGTATGAATATCCGTCTAACACCCGAATTTTCAAGCTTCGTTTTCTGACACGACTCTCAACTTTTCTCAATTCACCAACCTCCGCCGACTTAGCATAACCGCAGGCGACGCCAACCCGTTCTACAACGATCTTTGGGTGGTGCAAGATATATCTGAGCTGCTTCAATCACGCACGCCGGTTCTTCCAACTCTCGAAAGGCTCGTCATTACGTTCATTTCTGGATATCTTTTCCAATACGAAGGCCCTATGGACGGACAGCTTTCCTCATTTCGGGATGCCACGCCTAAGTTCGCGAAATTGGACGACGCGCTCAGTCGACCCGACGTGATTACTATTCCCAATATAACTTTGGTGTTTCCTTTGGCCATTTTTCCAATTGGAAATTACCAGGAAGAGGTGGGATCAGAGGAAAGAGAACGGTTCGGAAAAGAGCTAGAGACCTTCGTGCGATTGGCCCTTCCGAAGACTGACGACATCAAGTCCAGGAAGCTCTCGATTATTGCTGTGGCGAATCCCAAAACAGGAATGGGGATAACCCAGGATACGTGAAAGACTGACAGTCTATCTTCCACTATTCTGCACTTTGTAGCTCTCCAAACTCTTTGCAGTACATGTCATCTATCGACAGCATTCATCCGGTGTGACCTCGTCATGAACAAAATTTCTCTTTTCATCCTACAACTCTTATGCATTTATTGCTGCCCAAGATATCATTGTACCGTACGAATCACGATGAGAAATTGTCTATAATATATGATTTGAAATTTACGTACTCAAGCAATACATACCCAAAAGCTTACGTCCGATTTCGGTAAGTACGAGAATGCGCCACTCACCAAATGTGCGTGGGATGATTGCCCATTTGTCATCTGGCGTTCCGCGAATGCCTCTGGTGCCTGGAGTGCTGACCCTGCACAATCTGATCAATGTGCGACCCAACGGCGCACTCTCATGCGTGGGCATGCATCTGCATGCATCCAGAACACGGCCTTCTCTCTCGTCCTCCCACCAAGCTGAAGCCGACCAGCCTGGATTCAGTCTGCGGCCGAGAAATTTGTATTTGTGTCGCAACTCTTTGGTACGCATCTATTCCTTCGTGTTCTTTGCTTCAAACCCTGTATTTCTGACATTCATTACTTCTAGCTTGGTGGGCTTGTGGATGCCGTACTTATTTCTCATTGGAGTGATCGAAGTCAGACGGTGGGCGGTAACGTCCACTCGTTGACTAAGTGCTATGCTTCGTTGATGGGGAAACTTCCTTAGACAGTTAAAGATTTCACATCACAAATGACTAATTGACTGTTCTAGATGTTTGGCTTTAAAATGTTCGGACCATAGTGTTGTAATGTTGTCCCATCTAGTCGCCCCTGCAGGTGCCGAGAACCACATTCAAAGCCTAGTGCTCACTGGATGCTTGCGCGAAGGCAAACAAAGACACAGTAGATTCCCACTTTTCATAGAGGAACGCGCCTGCTCGACCCTTCTTGAAGTTCACGTATTATGGCCTGGCGCACGTAGGACGCACGTGGCAATCGCTTATTCCTTTTCCATGACAAAAGCTTCCTGTTTACACGCTGTTTCATACATCGAGCTTCTTTTCGGCTTCTTTCCTTTCCGCAGCTACGGGTTTCCAGGTCGTTCTTACGAGTCCTTCAGACTTTGAAACTGTCAGGAAGATGTTCAAGAAAAGAAGCACCTCCGAGCCAAGGGCGGGACGGGTTCCATACATAACCTGAACCGGGCGGCTGATGCTCGGTAGGTTTACCCTCTCGTCAATTGATCAACGTTCCGCATATTCACCCAAAATGTTTCGCTCGCTTGTCATTTCCTCAACGTTCATTTCCTTCTCCTCCATCGCTTCAGGCGCCTTTACACCCACCTCGCGCGCTGCTAGCGAGGCGTTCCCCTTCTCCCCCGGCTTCGACATCGAGGCCGTCACCGAAAAAGCGGTCTCTCTACCCTCTCATTCATGGGAGTATGGCACCGCCACCGAAGCCCTGCTCGAGCTGTACGATGCCGAACACTCGGTGTACGGGAGGCCATTCCCCATCCCCACCATCCAACCCCAAGACTCTCGTTCGTTGACGTACGCGAAGGAGAAGATTGTCATCGGCACTGGCGCAAACGCGCTGAGTGATGGCGATGGTGCTGTCAGCGACCCCGCTAGCTTGGGCGTCGGCGCGCTCATGTTGGGCAAGACCAATCAGACGTACTCGGCTGCCGCGAAAGAACAGGCCGACTTCATGCTCAACGAAGCGCCACGATGGTTCAACGGCGCCATCTCGCATCGTGTCTCCGTTACCGAGCTCTGGTGAGTCCGTTCATCTCCAGCCATGAACGTGCCCAAACGTTTTCATAGGGCCGATTTCATCTACATGGCCCCTCCTTTCCTCGCGTATTATGGCGTCGCGACCAACAACGCGTCGGTCCTGATCGAAGCCGTCAACCAATGTCTATGGTACCGTGAAGTCATGCGTGCAAACACCACCACCGGCGAAGCCACTCCGCCAACTTCGCACCCTGCGATCGCCGACGGTCTCTGGGAGCACATCATCGGCCCTCAGAGCGCTGACCACGGCCTCTGGTCCACGAGCAACGCGTGGGCCACGGGAGGTATGATGCGCGTCCTTGCGACTGTGCTCAGGGCACCACGCGGCTTCGTTTCGAGGGAGTTCAAGAAGTCGGCCGTCAGCGACTTGACTGCGACCATCCGCGAGATCCTCGATGGCGCGATGCGCGTGCCGACCGATGGAGGGTTGCTGAGGAACTACTTGGACGACCCGACTTGGTGGGGCGAGATTGCGGGGTCGACGCTCCAAGCTGCCGTTGCATACCGCCTCATCACGGCTGCTCCTCTGCTTGCGCGCGAAGGTGTGCTGTTGAGGGAGTCGGAGATCAGCAACTATGTCCAGTGGGCCGAAGGTATCCGCACCGTCATTGGGACAGGCCCACATGTCACCGCCGAGGGCATCGTCACCCCTGCTGTCAATCCTCTCTGGTGGGGCGATCGTACTCCTTTCACTACCGGCAGTCCAGAAGGCAACAACTTCGCTGTTCTGATGTACGCCGCCTGGAGGGATTGCGTACTGGCCGGTGTGACAGGGTGCACAGCGCCCACAGCGTAGATGCGTCTCTGCGAAAGTATGTTGAAGTGTGCATCTTGTCTTTGTAGGAGCCGAGGTGGCGTTCCACTTATCATCTAGTATCGGTAACTGTTGAAATAGTAAATTAATGTTGTTCACCTACTGCTATATAACATCGTGATCACCTTTCTGCAGAGTCATGCTGTAGAAACTTGTGGTCCTGCTGTTCAAATTCTTGATTCAAATGTATCGTGGTTAGCTTCCGTGATCGTCAACTACTTCTGCATATAGTATTTCTGTCGATCGCTCGATAATCGACGAAGGAAGAGTGTTGCTTTACCGTTCAACTTGAATATTACTTTCAATAATGAAATTCACTACATACATACATGACTGAACAGAACATTAAACTTGAAGTCTATCCCTCAAATCGTCTCTCGAACAGCCAGACATTCACCAATGCAAACGATGGGTGGGGCATTGGTATCCGCTTGGGTTCTTGAACAAGTACAGCTGATGGTATTCTTCGGCGTCCCACCACGGTCCTGCCTGAACAATTTCGGTCGCAATCTTCTTACCTGGCAAGAAGAATGACGTCAACAATCCGGCGAGGGTCCGAGCATGAAACATGATAGGCTTACCCTTCGGCGTGAAGTGTTTAGCTTGCACTTCCTCAGTGACACGCTTCGCGATAGCCTCTTGCTCTTCCGAATGCGTGAAGATTGCAGAACGATATTCTATGAGAATAAGGCGAGGTAAGGAAGGCTGTTGCTTAATAGGCCATGGGGAAGAGACTAACGCGTCCCAGTATCAGCCCCTTGGCGGTTGAGGGTTGTCGGATCGTGTGTTCTGTAAAAGAACTCTGTAGGTGCCGTTAGCAAGGGGTGAGGAATATAGAACTGAAGAGAACGTACCAACGAGCTCGTCATACGATACCTTGGAGGGATCAAACTCAATTTTGAGAGCCTCAGCGTGGTCTGTAGCTCCTCCACAGACGAGTTTGTAGGTTGGGTTGGTGACCAAGGGGTTCCCTCCTGTGTAGCCGACCTGGGTTGACAAGATCCCCTTGTTCTCTGAAGGTGGATAATGCTTCAAGAATATGTGCTCAACGCCCCAGAAGCATCCAGCCGCAAATGTCGCAGTTTCAGGTTGCGTTGTTGAGGCTGCGTAAATGAACTTGAACGCCTGCACACGAGGAGAATGTGGGAACAGGTTGGAACACTCTTACTGGACATCGCCGCGCGAAACGTGGAGGGGTCGATGACTGGGGAAGTAAAGAGGTTCTTGAGACGGCCAAACATTCCCTGCGGATGGTCCTTTATAGGAAGACGAAAGAATAGAAATGGCGTAATCGTTCGTGGTGTTAGGAAGCACGCACGTGATACAACACGTCTAATTTAGGGGCTTCATATTTTCCGAACATACATACCTGCACCGAGTAAAAGCAAGACTCCGCTGACACCAAACAGATCTTTCGACAGTGGTCAACACATTCAAAGTAATCAGTGCACACATTCTAGGAAAGGGTTCTGTATTTTGTTCATGCGCATTACAATGCATATAAATCTATTTATCTTAACCCACCCTATTATGAGTACATTTGACAAGGACACAAAAAGAATAGCGTTACGAGTTCAATTACAACCCCCTGGAATCAATTGGATGCACAAGGGTCATTTTAACCCGTCCTCTCTGCGTGTTTTTATCCTTCTCCACCTCTATGCGTACTGTAACCTTGTCGAACACCGCAATCTTCGTTTGGTCACCAACCGTAATGAAGTAGTTGTCCGCATCGAATTGCATGTCCTTCTTGAAGGAATTAACCCTTCGATACCCAACCTAGTGAAGCGGACATGGATGAGGGAGGGGAGCGACTAGGGTAAGGAGAGAGGCTCACTTGGATACAAACACATTCAGCCCGTTCCTGAACGTCCTAATGACGAACGCCTCCTCCCTGACTTCTGCACCTTTACCCAGCAGCTTGCTCTCTTTCTCATTGCGGCCCTTCAACGCCAACCCGACATAGAACTCGACACTGGCCCTGCCGGCCATCTGAGCCATCCGGTGCCGGCGATTGACGACATCTAGCACCCGCTCGACGTGGTTCTTGGAGTGTAAGGAAGCATGAAGAGGTGTGTATCCAATGGCAGCAGCTAGCTGACGATGCGCGAGCACGTCTGTGCAGGAAGGATAAGAAATCAAAATTTCATCACTTGGTCAAAATGCACTTACCAGCGTAACGACGAATGGGACTGGTAAAGTGCGTGTATATAGGGCTTGCAAGACCATAATGTCCGAATGTATCTTTTCCGACACTGCCTGAGCAGAAATACTCTGCAGACAGCATGCATCTGGTAGCCATGATACGGACAAGGGTGTTGAAAGCTGGCTCCTTCTCGTCCTGTAGGGAACGACAATTGAAAACGTAACCAACAATAAGCAACGATCTAGGGTTGCCAGACGTACAACACATAGATCCAAAGAAGCTGCCAACGCCCCGGAGCTCGATACGTCAAGTTTGAGGCCCTTCCTTTTCATCAAGATATCCTGTAGCTTCTCGAAGTTGGTCTTGGGTGGCGGCATATGACGCCTAGAGTTGAGATGGAAAACCCCTTCAGCATCCGGGGTTCACTCAGGATTGGTATGTCGTACCTCAGGACAGCAGTCTGCGGGAAAGTCTCTTCAATCTTACGTGCAACGCTGATATTTGCGAGCAACATGAACTCTTCGACGAGGCTGTTCGTCTCGCGCATCTCCTTCTGCTCTACGTCGATCGGGTCTGAGGACTCGGCAGAGTCCAGATGAATCTTCACTTCTGGCGAAGCAAGGTTGAGAGCTCCTGCGGCCATTCGCTTGGCTTTGAGCTTTTGGGCAAGAGAGTTGAGCAGACGTATGCTTGCTGTTAGGTCGTCCTGTCGATGCCTGCGGAGGAATTCAATATATGCAGATAGGAGAAGGAAGAAGCCAAGGACGCACGGATCGTCTTTTCGTATTTGAGCCTCCTCGTACGTGAAAGCAGCCTTGGAGGCTATGACAGATTTTGTAAATCGAACATTCACGATATCGGCATCTGGTGTCAGTTCCTGAAGGTCGGAAAAATAACATTAAAACGGACAGCACCACAAAGACACAAAGAGGGCACCATACCCAGATAGCTGAGAAGGCGAGCCGTTCGACGAACGGTCGCAGCGAACATAGGTTCGTACCCAGCAGAGCAGGTAGCATGTCTATGCGTTTGTCGACAAGATATACGGTTGTGCCCCTTGAAGCTGCTTCGCTGTCCATAGGCGTATCTGGGTGTACGAAGTGCGAGACATCCGCGATGTCTAATTTTTTAGCAAAGATAAATGCATATATATTCGGAGAAACATAGAAGAGCACGCTTACGAACGCCAGCCTCGGTGTTGCCGTTGGGCAAAGGGCGAGCATGGAGCGCATCATCGATATCTTGACAAGCTACCAACTCGTCGATGAATGTCAATCCTCTAACAAGAGAACACAAATACGCACCAGGAGGATCGATGCTGCAAATCAACAGATCCCTTAGATCTTCTCTATCCTTCCATTCCTTGCTCGTCTCGCTCTTTGGAGGCACAACCCACTGCTCGCCTTCCGGCGGCAAGCAATCCAAAATTGCCTTCCCAAACGGCCGATATGGCACCTCAAACTCCAACAGTAAACTCTCCTGCTCAGCCTCCTTGCTCTCAGCCTTGCCTAGCGCTCGAACAAAGTGTCCTTCCGGATATCTTGACGTAACGTCCCATCTATCGATCGTCACTAGAATCTTCTGGCCTATCAGTGTGGGTGCTTGTCGGGTCCGGAGGCGGATGCGAGGAAGAAGGCGAGAGACCGGTGTAGCAAAGACGGTTTGTTGAGATAGAGAGCTTGTGTTGGATGATGTCAACGAGGTGCTGTCGATGTGGCATACGTAGGCGCGCCAGTTCCGCTTGATAATCCCGACGATGCGTCCAGTGGGCTGTTTTTCGGAGGTGCGTTTCTCTGACTGCAGGTGCTTCGATTCTCGTACTTTGACTTGATCCTGTTCGTCTCCTTCACCTTCCGAATCTTCTGCGTCGTCGTTTTTGAGGGTAGCTGTATACTTGTAAGCACTGAGAAGAACAGCTGTACTAAAAGCATCTACAATCTTGGTCCACAACCTCGTCCGCCGGTGCTTTCCATTCGCTGTCGTCGAACACCTCCACGACGACGATGTCGCCATTCACTGCACGATTCATGTTCTCTCTTCCGATCAGCAACACAGGCTTACTGAAACCCGGTACCGGAACGCTTCCTTCGAGGTAGTTGAACTGGTTGGCATTAAAATGACCTTGATGAAGATGACCGGATTTGACACCGGCCAAGAGAGTTGTAGCGGGCAGATAGTCTGGATAGAGTGCCTCCCGCCCGGCTTTAGCCCTTGTTGGTTCAATCGAGTCGGCTCCTTCAGCAGCCAGCAGGTCGAGTAGTTGCGTGGAGTCTTTCATCCCTTCGATATATTTCCGTACTGTGGCTGGGTTAATGAAGATAAGAGAGAGATGGAGGTCCAACGCACCAGACATAGCTGTGATACCAGACTGCTCCGCTTTCCGTCTGTTCGCCGCGTCTTCGGTCATGAGAACGATGGTAGGTAGCTTTGGGGTAGCTTGTCCACGAATTGGCAGATAATTTATGCTGACATGGGAGTTATACCAGGCAGTCGCCTTCCGTATGCCTCGGTCGTTGCGATCGTTGGGTGCCTCTCCATCTTCCCGTATGATTGCCGTTTCCCTAAGGCTCAGTCAGAATGTAAAAGAAATGGCTAACTAGCAGACGTACGATCGGTACTCGTTGTAAAATATCCAGATCTTCTTGTCGTCCATCCTCGTCAGTGCCTTCAGACGGTTATAGAGAGGCAAGGATCGATGTCGGATTTCTTCAATCACAGTTTGCAGGAGGATTATCGGGGGCGTGAAGAGAGGCGATTCGATGAGATCCATCTGGAGGACTGGTTACTAGACGTTGGCGAAAAGGTACCATTTTCGAGGTTGTTAAAAACTCACTTGCGATAAAAATACATTCGTATCGGGCAGAACAAAGTGACCATTGGGAAACAATGGATGCCTTTTCTCCCCCGCTGCCGGTAGCGCGTTTCCACCGCATTCGCGACAGTCTTGGACTCCGCAAGAGACATCGTCGCGTAGGTACCGTTCCCTCAAAACTAGAAGAAAAGACTTGTTAGCAACAGCCACTGAGAGGTGACTTTAAACGCACCTTTGATTACTTTTCCTCGGGCGGTTTTCTTGAAGAACTTGCGTTGGGTCAAAACAGCTTCGGTCCTGGGGCGTTTCAAGACAGTTATCTCAACCATTGTTTATCAGACCCTTCAATTGGTGAAGAGGATGCAGTTCTCGAAAACTTGACCGTAAATGCCCAAGTGTGATGGCTTGCGCAACAGGTCTGACCGGCCCTAGACGTGAAAGACTACCGCAGCTAGCCGGCCCGGGCATAAAATAACCGAAAGGGGGTAGTATGTACAACGATAGTACGAAACTTGCCATGAAACAGCGAAAATGAAGTTCAAGAATATTTAACAAAGCTCCTTATGAATCCCAGAGGCTTGCTGGGTTGCTGAGTCTCTACGATCTTGGTCTTGGAACTCTTGACGCTGGTGGAGGGCGCCGAGGTCCTCGCAGGGGAGGATACATTGCTAGGATGCGCCACAGCTGGACCGGACTTCCATGTGTCTAATGATTTCACCGGCTTGTGAGCGGATTTGAGCTTGGGCTTCTCAACTTCCTTCTTGGGTACCGCTCTCTTGTTCAAGAGAGAGTGGGGGTGGTATTTGTGTGTCGACATTGTCCCATCTCCAGGAGTTTTCTGCATTTCGTTTGAACGAGCACCCCAGATCGTGCCTCCGTCCTTTTGCCTTGGAACGGTAGCGGACAAAGATGGTTTCTCTGTATCATCCTCCCAGTAATCGGCTTCGACGTTTGCATACGGCGTTGGGTCGGGAATCGACCTTGCACTGATCCTGGTCGGCCAACCACGTGGTGCTTGAGCGATAAAAGCGTAAGAAAACGGTGAAAGGTCGGAAGTCTTCCACGAGCCTGGAAGGATGGGTGTCTTTTTCTGCCACAGAGGTGGAAATGCCTGCATATTTTGGAGATTGGGGGATTTTGGAGTGAGATTGGTTCTCAAAGGCGGGACAGAATTGCTCGCACAAGAAGCCTTAGAGAAGGCCGATCCAGGGACAGAAAACGGTCTCAAGGTATCCACTTTCTGACGAGGCCGCGCCGGGGCACCAGGAAGATTGGCTGTAGCATCTGCAACAGTCCGCCAATCTATCCACGAGGTTTCGTTATAGGCGGATAGCCAGTGTCGCGCCAATAATCCGAGCAGCGTCCCGGACCCGCCGTATTCAATGAATCCACGATTCGTGACAACGATTAAACCCTTCCTGCATCGCGTCAATAGGACATTCATCCTCTGAAGGGAAACGAGGAAGCCAGGTTGAGAGGAGCGGACGACCGATACCAGGACGAAGTCGGCTTCGTTGCCTAGGCAAAGGATTCAGGAAGGGTTTGATTTCTCTGAGAAGGAAAATATATTAAACTAACCTTGGAAGCTGTCGAGATTGTAAACAGAATCCCAAGGTAGGCTCTCATTTTGTAGCACCCTCTGTATCGCAGCACGCTGTGCGTCGTATGGTGTAATGATGCAAAAATGTGTCGATTTGTAGTATGTTCGCACGAGGTGCACCATTGTTTGAACCTCGCCTGGATTCTGAAAGATGAAGCTTGGGTCAGGTGTAAAAAGAGCTGGGAATGGGGGTAGATTTACCCGCCAGCTGGTACCAGCTCGTTCTTCGAACCCTTGAGGAGTGGAAACATCGATGAAAGCGAGACATGATGGGTGCGTAATCAGGTGCTGAGAAAGCAACCGTCCTTTATAGACAGCTTTCGAGATGAAGGCTCCAATTGGAACAGGCATACGGTCTGGAGAGAATTAATGGCATCATTTGGTCTTTAGGAGACGGAGCTGCACGAACATTGCGTGTCCAAAAAAAGGTCTTGATTCAAGCACGAGATGTGTTGCAAATCGAAGATGGTTTTCATCCTCGAAACTTTATCCTGCCCGAAAGGGGGCACTTCTGGATGCTTAGAGAATCCTTCACGAGGCGAAGAAAGGGCGCTTACGCTGCTGAGGATCCCCGAAGAAACAGACTTTCTGAAGGCTGGACTGAAACCGAACAAGTATATGCTAGAAGGGATATAAGAACAACGAAGGTGTGCATAATAAATTTAACGCCAACCATGAATTCAAAGATGTTGATTTGAGATGCCTCATCGATGACCAGGCGTTTGACAGGGATAATGTCGAAGGTCCCGTTGTCGTGTAAGGCGGGGTTCGAAATCATACTCAACGTGGACAATACAATCTGGGACCCGCCTAATTCGCGCTCCATCGCGACTTTGTCTGTTGGTAGCTCATCAGAGCGCCTAACTTTCTCCTGAATCTCCGAATAAAGATGTTCATGCCTGCGGTGGATACAAACTGTCAACTAGTGCCATTGCGACGGATAGTCCAAGGCTCAGCGCACCACTCAACGTAGAATTCCTTGGAGACAACAAGCTTGAAATCGACGTCCTTCTTGAACAAAGTTTCGGCGATGTTCTTCACGGCAACGTTTGAATGAGCAACGATCCATACCGGAAAACGACAGAGGTCCCAGATGCGCGATGCTGCAGCTATCGTTGTCGTTTTACCAGTTCCGGGAGGACCTGAAGAAATGATGTCTTTCAATGGCGCACTTGGAAAACACAACAATAAACGGCACCATGAGCCACGACCACGGATCTCTCGCCAACCATAGCCTGTACCACAATCCTTTGAGACTCATTCAATCGCATCTTATGAATTACCGAGCCGGCGTAGACTTCATCAACCGTATCTGGGGGCTCGTGCATGTCCTTCCAGGACGGAAACCAGAGGCTGCGTACGAAAGCCGAGTTGCGAAGATCTTTTCTGGATGTTAAAAGGAGGAACAGGAGCTCGTCGCGGGCTTTCTCGGGGTTGGTAGGTTCTTGGCGTCCGAGAACTTTCACTGTAGATAATGCCCCGATATTTCGGCTTTTGTCATGCATTCTGATAGTGGTCCGTTTCCCTTTGGCTCCTTTAGCGTTCCCAGTATATTCACGGCCATGTTCATCGGTCATGATTACACGGGTCTAATCATAATAATGTTCAGGAAGTCGGATACTCTTCAAACAGGGAAGAGTATACGTACCAGTTCACTCGGGCGTACTCTCGTCTTGTATCGTTCGTTGTGGACTTCAAACTTTCCTTCCTTGTTGTATCCTCCTGAACTGAAGTCGTTGACGACCTCTTTCGGCTTGTAGTAATCTAAAAGATCGGACTGCGCTACCAGGTCCGCCAAACAAGCAAGTTCGGATTTGCTCAGGAAGCGTGTGCTGACTTTTATTGCTGCCATTATTTCACGGGGACACTTGCTGGCGACACTGTGAGGTAAGGTCAGGTTCTTTCGTGGATTGCAGGGCATAGAGAAGAACCATTGCCACATACCATGTAGCGAGCCAGGCTTGCAGACAAACGTCCTTCTGAGCGGTAGACTCTTCCCCGAGCCACAGACGCGCAATGTCCCATGAGTCTGCGTTTGAAGACACCCGCTCCCTGACAATTCTCGCAGGCGACCATGGCTCTCTGGCGTTCGCGCAGAACAGGGTCGACAGGTCCACGCCTCGTACGTGTCGTTGCGTAACGCTGTTGACCTGGATGGCTGTTCGCGATAGCGAAAATCCGACAAGGCAGATATCCACATCGTCTGTCCCTGGCTCTTCACTTCCAGATTGAAGTACATAGGCGAATTCGGCGCTGCCATGCGGCGTGTTGTGGTGGGGGCTGTCGAAATGTATGACGAAGGCGAGGCTGAGATTCGAGAGGGCTATGAAGTCGATTTGTCCTTGGCTGTCGATGTGATATGCGATACCAATTGGGCCTCCCGATGCGAGATGGCGACAGGCGTCTCCTGCACGCACCTGGGAGGTATGCCGGACTCTGAGGGTGGAAGGGAACGAAGTCTTGTCGCGAAGTATGGTTTGGTCGATTGTGTCCATCTTGGTGCAACTTCCAGGTGTACGCTAGTGAAGTGAGGACTCGAAACGCTATCAGCTGGCGGACGATGGATATATGGGACGGGGAAATGAAGGAGGACACACACACCAACCTTTGAACCTTCGGCCTGCGGGACGGGCACATTCCCTTGTTAGGATCTCACGGTGAAACGCGGGAAGAACTCCTGCCTTATCGTTGCCACGAAGCAAAATAAGCGCCCATGCCGGTTTTCCTCTGCCTGCCTAGTGATTTCTGGTGTCATGGTTTGATTCTCTTCAAAGCACTAAGACGGAAATCGGAATGGCGACAATGCAACCAAAAGGCAGATGCAAATCTCGATGACCTTTCCTTTCTTCCGTAAATATTCTATGCCGTTCCGATAGGCAGCCTCGCCGTGTCAGTGAGGCTTTGACCAAACTTTGGATCCTGATACAGAATGTCACGTCATTCGACGACCTCGATGCAAGGATTCAGGCTTTGCGGCAGTCCTAAATTTGTTGAATAGAGTATGTTGACACCGTTACTTAGTTACGAACGCAGCTAGAATTTAATTGTCAAGACCAGTAGTCACACCACAGAAGAATGTATAAAACTTACTCTGACAACGTCTCCGTGTTCGTGAAGCTACCTAACCATTGAGAAGAAAAAAGAAAAGTCACCGCACTTGCCGTCAAGAGAGCAAGCGGGCAGAGTCTTGTTCTATGCATGTGGTATGTGTACATTGGCCGGTTGATCCTACATAGTCAATGATGAATATCCGAAGTTCGATCCCTCTAGGCCTCGCGCAACCAGTGTAAACTGCTGAGCGGCTTCTCGTGTTCGCTTCAGCGAGCGCGATCTAGTGGCGCGTTTTGGCTTTTCAGGAGATCAAAGAAGAAAGGTAGATGACATACCCTGCTACCGCCTTGATAAACTTAGCTTTCACATCTGGCCCTGCCTTGCTAGGCACAAAATCATCCTACGAGAAACTTTAAGCGACTACATCGTGGCACGCGGGTGCACTTACAGCCATCAGGATGTCCTTCATCCATTGAGGTGCCCCGCCTCCAGGACCCGCATCAGGACCACTCGCTCGACTTAGTAATGTTCCCAGCATTTCGATGAGATTGGGCACGACACTCCTGGGAGCAACACCTGCGAAGCCCTCTAGTACCGCACGCATAATTGAACGGCCATGTGCCGTCAGGAGGACGGTTTTATGCGCGATCAGTTCATCCGTCAATGACGATCGGTTGACAAGAGTCGACTGTCAGTAGGTCAGTGTTTAGCCATAACAATGTAGCCAGGGTAAGTGCATACCAAGAAGCTGCAGGCGGAGACAAGAGAATACCGCTCCTGCAACGATAGAGCCTTGACGGCGCATTGGACTAGCGCATCGAGTAGGCCGGGTGGAAGGGCGTAGAAGGCGTTCGTGAAATCTTGTGCGACCTGATGACACAATAAAGAGAAGAAAAGAGATGTTGTATCGAATGAACGTACCCTCTCCATACACGAGAAGAACTCTTGCACTATATCAGGATTCTGGATAACGAATCAAACTGGATACAATATCGACATAAGGAAAACATACTAACACTTTCCATGGCACCTCCGACACCCAGCATGGTCAAACTACATTGCATCAACACAGGCAAAAGCCTCTGCACCGTCATCTCGGCCTCCGGTGTTGGCCCGCTTTTAAGGTTCAACGAAAACACTGGTGGATTCAGCTGGGCGATGAGGATGGCGGCGAGTGACAGCCATGCCGCTGTCAATTGCCGCTGGGCAGCCACACATACAAGCTCGAGTAATGGGCCAGCAGGTAGCGAGATAAGAGTGATATCGGAAGGCAGCGATGTTATAGACTTGAAGAGATCGCTCAGGGCCTGAACGGACAATTGTTCAAGGTAAATTCGATTATGACGTGGCGAACGACTTACGTGACCAACTGCTGCATCTGTCGACCACAGCTCTACGATCCCTCTAACAGCTGTAAAAATGTTCTCTCGTAGCTTGATTGCTCGAGAATCTTCCCGTGCAGCTTTAACTTGTTCGGATTCAGCTTGCACCTCAGGGTCGGAGTCGTCTTCCAATACCGCGAGACCTTCAACAGTACGTGTTAAGCCCTTTGCAACTCCGGATAGAATTTCAAGTTGTAAGATGGTTGATGTGCGGGCCTCATCCGGAAGCTATGTCGAAAAGATCAGAACCATCAATGCACATATGTTGGCCACGTCATACCGTTGAAGCGGATTGAAGGGCATCGTACAGCTTTTGAACGATAGGATTGACAATGGCCTTCATAAAGAAATGAATGAATAAGTCACTCTTGAGACGAAGGTCCTCACTTCGATTGCCGGAATCTCGTCTGAAGGTGGCATAGCTTGAATCACGCTGGCAATCGATTGCAGCACCTTGCCCTTTTCCGAGTCCTAGAGGCACGCATATACGTCGTCAAAAATCCGAATACGATCGACAATGCCAAGATAGACTAACTGGAATTCTGTTTAAACCTGCATGCAGCTCTCCAAATGCTCCGATGTGTACAGCCAAGTCCTTCCTGTTTGCTTCGCATAAATTTCGCAGAGCAGTTGCCGCAGACAAGCAGAGAGAAGGATCCGGTAGAGCAGAGACCACGTAGGAAAGGACCGTCAGGAGTAGGTTAGGTTCGTTCGTAGGAGGTGACGATGGTGGCGGATGAGACTGGGTAGCAAACCATGAGGAATAGGCACCTGAAGTACGTTAGCTCCATGTCACGGATGGTACATTTGATATGCACCAATAACACCCAACGCTGTTCTTCTAATCCTTGACCTTCCAGTTGAGGGTAGTCTTCCGAGAACTTCCGGGCTGAAAAGGCGGTTGATATGAGGTACATTTTCCATGTCGATTGCTTCTTGGATGGAGGTAATGCAGTGCAGCGTCGCCTCGATCTCCTGTGTCTGTACAGTTAAATACTGAACACAGAAAAATTAAAATATACGGCCACCTGCCATCCTTCGCCGTCCTGTCTGCTGGCCAATCTCTCAATGACGTCATTGACATAGTATGCCAGCATATCATCTCGGAGCACGTAGTAACTGGCATACGAGTCAAAACACATCCATGAAAAAAGGAAATGAGATACAGACGCGTTGATGAGTGTGTCTCCAACATCTCGTCGATATCTGGATGTTGAACAGGATATGAGCAGACGACGCTTGCATAGTAATAAAAGACGGACACTTGGAACTTCTCAACTTGATCTGAGAAGATGTAGCAGGTAAGGACACACGACGTACAAGATATATGCGCCACTGACCTCGAGACCACCCACTGCCAGGCGGCGGAAACGCAACCTTCCTCCTCAATACCTTCACCAACTCGGTATAGACTGCCTTCGCCATCAACACCTGCTTCGACTCTCCACCTTCACCCGTGTCTGGGGGTACAGATGAGCGATCTTCGGCACCCTCTTCGATGTAGTAGTCCGTACTCCACAAAGCTTCCTGGAAGAGGTACCAGAAGCCTAAAGTCATCTCGCTTTCTTCCTCGTCTACACCATAATACCCTGGCAGGCCGGTATATGCCAGGAGCAAGCGCAAGAAGTTCTGAGTTAGATGGCCCTTTGTGGTTGGAGGCGTGGACGGACCGGTCGGTACTGGATAGGAAGAGGATATGTTTGTCGCAATGTAGGAGGTCGAATGGTCGCCGAGTGCCACAACCAACTTGCACAGTGAATGGGAAATAGATGACATGTCGTCATTATTGAGCACTCTCCCCATGATCCTGTTTCCAACGACATCCAGCCAGACCATGAGGGGTTCAGTCAAGGTTTTGGTACCGGAGCCGTCACCAAATGCAGATTTTGTGGTTATCTCTTGCAACGCGTCGGAGGAAGCGATAAAAATGGCTTCATCTGGGTGTGACGGATCGAGGAGAGAAATGAGAAGTGGGATGAGTGTCGTCAAGTGGCTAAATGAAGGACCGATAAGTTGACGGTGGAGGAAGAAGGGGCCATTTTAAACTCACTCTCCCTTCAGATATGACATCCATGCTTGAAGGCACTTCATTGCAGAAAGGTAGTGGCTGGTTGGAATAATACCTAGCGGTTGGGTTAGGGTGGTCGTGATGGCTTGAACAACCATCGGGGTCGCGTCTATCATTGTTTGCTGAAGTTGAGCTCTGAATGAAGTTTCGTGTAAGGACAGCGCGACGAACAAACCACCGAGAGAGAACAACGTACTTACTCGGCCCAAGAAGGTCCGCATTACTCACTTCCTCCGCGACAATCGCTAGAAAGTCGTGAAGATGGTCCGTGGAAGCCCCACGATTCGAAAACGCAGTCACGCAGGACAGAATCCAGTTTGGCCAACGAGAAGGGTGTCCAGGAGCGAGTTTGAGAGCCAGAGACGAGAGCTGAAGGGTATTCGTGTTACACGATTATCGAAAATATTGGTGGGCGATACCGTACAGCAACGAAGAGCTTGCGAAGAATGAACTTGCCGTGCCCAACTGAAATCGAATGGGCTGTAAGTTGGACCATGAGATCGCGTAACATCTCCACATTCTCTGCTGGGAATGCTTCCCTGGTTTCATATGCGTAAATTAAGGTGCCACTGAAAGAGGTATTGAGCTCACCAATCTCGAGCAATCTTCACCTGGGCCGTGTGCGCGCCGAAAAATTGGACATTCGGATCATGGTGGTTCAGCAAAGGAATCACTAGACCCCAGGCTTCCGGCCGTTTCTGGATCTCGAAAAGGTCTTGCTGGAGGCGTTTGAGCTCCTCGGGGGTGGTTTTCGCTGTCGACGGTCCATACCCCTGCTGAATTAACTGGGCCAGAAATGAGACGTGGTTGGGCGAAGTTCATGAGCTGACTGACTTGTGCCGCTTTCTCGACGTCGGACTGCGACAGTGCAGGAAGAAATGCTGGTGTCGTCATCGCCTACGACGATGTGCAGTGGTAATGGTGGTTCGAGATCAAGTCGCTTACAATGACGGAGGCCAGGCTTAACCGGTTTATTTGCAACCACAACATCTTCATTTCCGTTTTCCTAGCAAAGACTCCGAGAAACGCGATACTTGCCCCCAGTGTATGCTAACGTTCAAGCCGTTTGTATATTCTTTCACGGTTCGGCTGAGAATACCGCTCGACTACCCTACCACACACCCTGAAGACGAACCACCCTCGATAAGAACAGCGCAAAATCTGGTCATCTTCGATTGTTGTATGTGTTTTGGGCCGTTGTTGACCTCGTAGTTCCAGTCTTGGGGATCCGGGTACGGCGACGGCGAGAATGTCAAGCTCAGGCGATATTTTGGCGGATTGAGACGAGTGTCTCTTTCTTCATACCATTGTGTTATGAAGACCCCTTTCTTCAAGGTCAACACTATCCTCCGCTTGTCAAAAGCTTTGTGTGTTAGGGACTGTGGGCGCAGAGGCTTGATTGATATCTGTGGGACCCACTCTCGCAGAATATCCTAGCCCATTTAGGCCTTCTTTCAAGTGGGACACGAGGGACCTATCCCCACTGTCGTCTGCAGTCCTGTGGGTCCACTCTCAAAAAATTGCATAAATACTTGCAGTGCATTCAGCAGCCAGGTCTTCATTCGCCAGGTGCGCATCTATACTGCTACCTCTTGTGGCCGGTCCTCAAGCCTATTAACATTTCTTCTACCATGCTCGTCCGATTGTGTCATGATTTATTTCATGCCCTCTCGTCACCTTCTGTCTTGCATCACCTATTCATCACGGAGAGGCCGACCTTCACAGCCAAGGTAACCAGATACTCATCGTCGAGTGGAGAAGGTAAGATTCCTCTATATTGTTTGGACGTCTATTCCATGTTCCTAACTTTGTCTTTCAGGTCGATGCAGACAAGTACATGAAATACGGCACCATCCTGGATACCTCGGGAAGTGGCTGGCAGTTAGGCCAAGGAGCTTACATGGCGGGAGGAACACACGATTGGATCATGGGAGGGAAATACGTCTGCTTTGTCTACGTTGACCCGGGAAAATGGGCCCAAACCCCCAAAGTCTGGATCCCAGAATACGACGAAACTCGACCTGGTGCCAGAGTCGAACTCTGGAAAAAGGTGGATCGGATCAACACCTACATCAGGAGCCAGTTTCGGGGACTGGACCCTGCGAGAACGCTTGGGTTCGGAAGGATACAAGGAGACGAGAAGACGAGAAGACGATGCACCTCGTCATTCCTCCAGCTCTCCAAGGGAAAACTCCCCTAGGTCTAGTCGTCAACTGTGTGCAAGAATCTCAAGTTCAGAAGGGCGTATTTCCGACACTCAACTACGTCTCGCCGACGAAAGAGTGGAACATTTTGGGTATATCTCCTACCTCCGAACATAAGATGTACCTTCCCGGCATCCGGCCCGAGTATAGCAAGCGTCCCAGCCCTGCTCGGTCGGTCAAGTCGCAGCGTAGAAGAAAATAGATTTTACTTTAGGTTAGCGCTCAATGTACATTGCTACTATATAGAGGGAATTGTACTAGCCAAAGATATATCCAAGTCGTCGTATTACTTTGCATTTTTGGAGCATTCTTTGGTTACTCCAGACCTGAAGGCTGTTCTCTACCCCGGAAGAAGCATATCGCTCAGCACGCTTATAACTTGCCGGTCTTGTGGGTACCCCTTCATACATAGATGCAGCAATAATGTCTACAGTGTGCTTCTCAGGACGCGCTGCTGGTTTAAAAAGGTTCTGAACGTCTGAGTTAAGAAGGACTAATCCCGCGAAAGGTCAATACTATCGCCTCTGCCTTCGAGAATATGGCGTTATACATTGTTTCGCACTTCATGAATCTGCGTTCGAAATCAAGAGTCATCCCATGAAGTCAGGGCTCAGAAGGCCGTGCAAAACAAAGAGGAAAGGGAGAAGGCCGACTTGATACTGGAGTCGAAAGTAATAGGGCCTGAAAGGTTCGACTGTTGAGCCGTTCTCTTCCTCCTATCAGTAAGTCCCATGGCATCAGTATTTCCTTCCTCGGAAGATTCAGCTGCGTCTTCATCCTTATCATTCTCAGTGAGATGGCGGGGACCCGGCGCAGTCAGCAGCACTGACATATAAGGGTGAAAAGCAACGGACCCAACGGCATATACGAACAGAGGTTTGTTTTCACATCGGACAAGAAAGAATTGCCAATTACCGTCGTGTGCGTCATATACGAGTGCCGGTTGTTGGACCGAAGGTCCCTCTTCCGTCCCCACGTCGCGCACGTTACAATCCACACTGTCGGCGGATTTGAGGTCGAAGAGGGAAACATTGTCTAGCTGAAACGAATGTTCAGAAACCTTCACACCCCGTGCGAGGAAAGGCTTTCACCTGGTCCCCAACACCCAACATCCTCCCTGCGATATCAAGATCAAACCGCAATTCTTGGTTCATTGTTGCATTCACATTCGCGGTGGCTGCAGGCGTCCATAAAATCTCGAGAGGTGCATCAATGTTCGAGCAGACATCCCATGAATAGATCGATCCTGTCCCACTTCCTCGATAAGCCGCGTATAGGAGGTGCGGTTCAGTAGGATCAAATTGCGGCTAATTATCGCAGTGAGCGAATGACAGGGGTTTCAGAAATCCACCAATTGTCAAGGGAAAATGACCTGCCTGTGTGATACCCGTTCGAGGGCTGCCAGAAACGAACATCAGTGGGGCCTCTTGTTGGTCACTGAACATCACGATGTTACTGGTTGATGGTTTAAAACTGCCAGCGGCGTAGAAGGATTCGTCCGCGTTCTACGACGGCGAAAATGCCAAAGCAGATATGATGCCTGGAGCCGGCTGCCTTGAAAGTTATCATTCCTGAAGGCCTGAAGTCAGAGAGCGGGCAACAGGAAAAGATACTCTCATCTCTCTCGGTTCTATTGCAAGAAAATATGTATGTGCATTCAGCACATCATGCAAGGAAGGTCAGGGAAATGAAGGAGTTACATGTGGACTGAACATCTGGAAATTGCGATTTTCGCATTGTGCGAGTACAACCCGTCGGGGGACCTGCATTGGAAGAAACACTGAGTGTCAAGAAGACAATTCCTTAAAGAAGCTCACCATTTAGCGAGACGTGAAAATTTATACGAGAGGGAAGGGTATTTCGTGGGATGAACGGTTAAAAGCGTCAATGGCGGCGTCGTAAGGTAGCGGAGGTTCGTAGTATGTTTGACCTTTTTATTTTCAGGAAACCTGGTTTGCAACGCTTACAGACCATTTCTCACTGGTTTCCCAAGAATGAGAGGCAACAAATTGGGTGAAATTAAACAGATACAGGTGTCTGCTTTGTATTTTGATTACTTCGACGGCCACTGTTGAAAAGGAGTCAACAGCCGTTCGGAGACGAAAACAAGTTGCAGCGTACCCTTCCCATGGCATAAGATACGAAACCAGTTGCATTCTCTCCTTGCGCTTGCACCCCATCTTTATCCACTTTCCCAACACCCAATATTATGGGGGTAGGGTGCTGTTACAGCGGTCGCTATGAGCATCAACACTGGGCACGCAACATTCACATACCTCGAAGCCCAAGTGGGTGTATCTATCTCTGGATTTCTCTGTGGTTGCCTCCAGACAAAACACGGACTCGGGCGCGTAGTCAAATGCTTCCCGCATCAGCATGGACATTAACCCTGTGCATGCCAGGTCAGATTTGGAAAGGTGGCTCATGGCAAACAGGAACTTCGAGAAGAGGAACATACCTCTCCCTTGGCGGTCAGGATCAGTGAATATCATTTGGAGATACCAAACCTTATGCGGGGACTCCTTAGAACCCTTTGCTTCGAAGCACGTCTTCAGCATCTTCTCTGCAGCCTCTGGATATTCGGCAGCCATTCTCTGCTCATGTCTGTCAATTGCGGCTTAAGGAGGACAGCGTGTACCAACCAAGAGGCCAGTTAGTTTCCATTGCTTCAAGAGCGGTATTACCCTGGCTCTGAGCAGAGTAGAGGTTCTCCATATCGACAGACGCGTCCGAGGCGGCATCCACAGAGCGCCTGCAATGATTTTGCCATTCTCTGCAGGATCGACGGCGACCATGACGCGCCCGATGAGGAATGTTGCCTTGATGAGGAAATAATGAAAGATCTGACGTCCTTTCCACTCCTTCAAGTCGACCTCAGGATCCACCAACTTCAACACATTTCTGTCAGCACCGGGCTGGGCAAACCGAGAACGGGTGCTCACCTTAGGTGCGTTTCCCAAGTAATTCACGATTGGGTCATGAACGAAAGCCCGAGCCGCCACTTGCACGATCTCCTCGATCTCTTTTGGTGTTGCAGCACGAACATACGGTTTGTCGGTTGGTGTTGTCATTATTCTTCTTGTGTCCCTTCGGAATCAAATTCTCGGGGTCTTATACAAGATTTACATAATCCGGCTAGCGCTGAGCCGACCGCCGCCCAGCTAGGTGAACTAGGTGAAGTCACCCGATTTTTTCTCTCTCCCTCCATGGTTGTGTTTGACGGTCGACTGCGGGGTGTCTGACGAGTGAGCGCTGAGGCTGCGGTGGCTGAGCTCCTGTAGCTACGCAGGGGTGGTTTTTTGGGAGTTGGCGCTGCGCCTTCGGCCACAGTGCGGACCCTTATAGTTCGAAGTCACTTCGTGTAACATTTTGACTTCATTTTGCGCGATCGCATGGCCAAGCACCATGACAATATGGGGAGGAAGCAAGATTCCAATTCACAACCATAAGCACCGTCACCGCTCACTTGAATTAAGCTTCATTCTAATCTCCGAGTCTGAATCCAGTGCACTGATAGGAGAGGGGGACTACGAAGCCACAAATTATACCTCAGCAGTGTTGGACAAATATTTCCTTCTTCAAAATGCCTTCCTCACAACTTCCTCACATGCACCCTTGTCTCTTCTACGGTGGCACGCAACCGCAAGTAGCGAACGCATCGAGCGAGATGTTCTCTTTCAAGAGTTCTCAGCTCGCATGTTTTACTTGCTCCGCTCACTGGTCTCCCTCTCGAACGCTTGTTAGATGGCACGTCGCGTCATTGCGCTACCCCGGACGAGAACGTCCGGATTCGTCGAGTAACTGACGATGTCGATACCCACGGGAGAATGCGGGAAACCGCCTGTGCCGGATCGCAGATTGAACGGCTTCAAACAAGTCTGGTGGACGAGCACAAAAAATTGGAAGCATTCACCAGGAAGCATCGGGTGCTCATCGCCCCAGTGTGGGGGGTGCCTCCGGAAATCACGTCCTACATCTTCACGCTCTGTATGCCTCCATCTGGTCCTTCAGAGCTCGGCAGGAAGTCGTTACAACCCTCCCTGGTATTGGCTCATGTTTATTGGGACTGGATCCAGAAATGTGGCCTTCACCACTCCGCAGCTCTGGACGGCAATCTACGTTGATGCGCCGACGCTCCAGCATGAACTATGCATGCCGCGGCTCCTTGTCGAACGATCTAGGAACTGTTCGCTAACACTCCACCACGGTGCATACTCTAAAGAGATTATCGAGTTCCTGATCTCGCTTTCTCCCCGTTGGGAATGTGTGACTCTCGACCTCAGCGTCGTGATGATGGATTAAAGTCTGAGCGGTTGAAATCAAGACCGCTCACCACTGGAGGGATGAGGCGCCTCGAGCCCACCTGCCGCTCCTGCAGCATGTGGCCATGGCCTATCCCTTCATCCAGGACTACAGTGTATTTCCGTGGCACCAACTTACGTCCTACGATGTTCCTGCCCCTTTGCTCAACATGCCACGTATCTTCGAGCTCGGCCAAAATCTGCTGGAATGTTTCCTCCAACCCATGCGCATGATACCGAACCAAGCCATCCCCGACGGTCCACCCGAAACGCCTGACCACTCCGCCGTCATGTCGCTGCATCTCACCAGAGGCTTCTTTTATGCTCTCTCCACACAGTTGCAGCATCTTCCCCGATTTCACAACCTCCGCCGCCGGTTTGTGCACAGCGACAAGCGCGTCGTCACCTCGAACCCGTGCAGACGCTCATACCCCTCTTCGCCAAGTCAGGCGCACGGCTCGAGGTGACATTTGGCGTGAAGACCGACGCGGACACGATCCGCACCTGCCTGACGCACACGCTTGAGGTGAACGTGCTCCAGATCCATCGTGTTGCATAAAATGACGCGCTTCTTAAGCTCCTAACATCCTGGACACCGAATGGCCGACTTGAACTAGGGGGGAGTGACGAGGTTCTTGGGATTACAGTGAATTTAGAAGTTCGTGATCTTGTCCTCTCCATTTGCACCAAAAAGTGGATGGTGTGCCTGAGGTCTTTAAAGGTTCTTAACCCGTAGCGTTGGCTACGGACGGGATTTCCCGTGAGGCGCAGTTGCCATTTTGGGAGGGAATGATGACATCCGCCTTGCCTTATGCTTCAAGCTTCAGTATCAATTGAAGAGGGACCCATCTACTGATGTTATGGGTCATATCTCTTCTTCGTTTCATCTGCAAATAGTGTCAGCCCGACAAAGCTATCAGTAATGACATTGGGTCTGATTCTTCCACACCCATCACAAGTACGAGGCGTGATGTGGCCTTCTCGGCACGCGGAGAGATGATTCTCCAGTGCCCGAGGTGATTAACAGGAAGTAGGAGTGCATGAGATCTTCCGCACTGATAGGTTGATGCGAAAGGACGATGACCTTTACAGAAGTTGGCTCTATAAATAGATGATAAATAGATCCTATGTTGGTCCTTGTAGGTCCATTTACCGCGCTTGACTATACGAGCAACAATACAAGGACACAACATTCTCCTCTGCATTCCTTCGATCCGAAGGCATATCATGGGCCAGGCCGTGACGCCCTTTTCTCGAGCGATCAAGTACTCCTGTTAAGGGTGTGACCAACATTCACTTCAGCTTCTATGATGTTGCTGTTCTTCGTGAAAGGCTGATGTGATATCTTAAGACGTAGAAGGCGACCTAGGGTATTCTATGAATCCTACGTGACAGTTATCGAATAGGCTTACCACTCAGCCTATCACCATCACCTGTGTGCTCACTACCACCGCGAATCATTCTCTCCCGGGCCATAACTGACAGCCAACACCGGGGCTTATGTCTGCCAGGCGACGTTCGGGCATCGGTCTCTCGCCGAGAAATGCCAATATCGAATCTCTATTTATAGCTAAGGAAGTGGTCACTCACATACATAACAGCCCTTCCTGTGAGAGCGAAGCTCCCACCTCCCTACCTCCCTAACGTACTCCACGTCGGTAGCTCCAACCAGAATACCGTATCCCAGAAACCCGCAATGGCCACGACAAAGAGAGAGTACGGCAAGATTACGGGAAAGGAGACGCTCGGCCTGTTCGCGGTCGTCTTGATGATGCGTGCGTTCTCACACGTACCTCACCTGAGCTTGAGCATGAGCCTAACCCTACCTTTCATGACACCCGTGGCATCCAGCGATAATGCAGGTCCTTCGCCTCTTGCGAAAGCCGTTCGTTGAGTGGGACCGCGTGCGCTCGTGGCGCCGCGTAAAGGCCGAAGGTGGGTTCGGGTACGCGGTGTCGGTGATGAACGCATATCAGCTCCAGTTCGTGGACGGATCAAGCCAGAAGGTGTATGAGAAGTGGGCGCCCACCGAGGGCGTGAAAGTGGACGTTGAGAAGATCGGGGACTCGGGCGCTCAGCTCCTTTGGGCCACGCCGCGTGGAAGGAAGCGGGTGATTGTCTACTTTCATGGTGAGTCTCTTCCAATTGCCGTTGTCGTCGGTGTGGGCTGATGCTGTTGTGAAGGTGGAGGATACGTCCTCCCGACACCTCCATTCACGTTATCCTTCTGGAATCGTGTCACCAAAGCTCTCAACGAAAAGGGAAAGGACGTCGGGCTCGCGTTTCTGGAGTATTGTAAGCGCACCATCGAATTTAGTCTGATTGATGGCCTAACTGGAAATTTTAGCGCTCGTGCCGAAGGAGACATATCCCGTTCCAATGAAGCAAACAATCGCCATGATAAAACACCTCATCTCGGCTGGTACGAAGCCCGAGGACATTTTCTTAGTAGGCGACTCCGCCGGCGCAGCTCTCATCCTCCAAGTTGTCTCACAAATCCTGCACCCCATCCCCGACATCCCAAGCGTCGATTTCCAAAGCTCGAAACTCGGTGCTATCATCCTCATCTCACCCTTCGTCACATTCGACAACAACTCCCCCTCATGGGCTGAAAACGGGCGGAAAGACATCTTCCCGCCTTCCTTCTTCACGCATCTCTCTGGTCTTGTGAAGCCCGACATCCCCGAGTCACAGACCGCATACGCCGAGGCTGTGAAGGCGCCTGAGGGCTGGTTCAAAGACGTCGACATCCTCGTCTCGCGTGCGTTCATTACCGCTGGCGCCAATGAGTGTCTGCGGGACGACATTACTAAATTCGCTGAAGCGTTCAAGGAGGTGCACAGCAACGCGAGCTTTACGGTGATCCCCAGAGGCACGCACAACGAACCTTACGGAACGTTCGTCGCGAACGAGCCGGACAAGGGCGAGTGGCCTCCCAGGATCACAGAGTGGTTGGCAGAAGGTATGCTTTGACGGTGTAAAGTTGGTGCTATCCGTGGATAAGGTGGGGGGAACGGAAAGTGGAGTGGGTTTCGCGGATGGAAATTCCCCTTCTCGAGTGATCGAAGGTTATGCGCGCTCCAGTGATACTCTAGTCTACGCTTCGACTCTATTGGGCAACATGGTTTGGTTCGTCGCGAAGCTCTCGTAAAATGAAAGCTGAATCTATTCATACCGAGATTTCACCCCACTCCCAGGGATGTACGAGAACACTCTAATTAATGGCGGATATTAGCAGTACGTATGTGCTACCAATTGCACTAGACACGGTCGACAGGTCTAAAGATAACTCGAGGATTCATGTGTTGATGTGCGAAGAACGTGAAGTGGGGAAGGCAACCTACGCCTGCCGTTCGTCGAGCCGTGTTTGCGTCCTCTTCGAGGGGCGACTTATCTGGCCTTCCGCAGCATAGACACCTGGTGGGTGTAATGTCCGTTGGAGATTGACGAGCTTGAGTATCGAAGCGCGAGTGCCAGCAGGATACATTACCTGGCTCTGTCAAGGCAACATGTACCTGAATGGAAGAGGTGACGGGTTGAGGGAAATCTGTTCTTGGATTTATGGCCGGACAGGAAGCTTGACGACGAGCGCTTATTTTTGTCCCCCTTTCCCTAAGCAATTTGACAGGGGTCAATTTGTATTGCATGACCATTCGTTCATTTATTCCATCGAAAGCTCAACATACTGAGGCATTATTCTTTGACCAAGGCATTTTTCTCCGTCTCCTTGCCTCTAAGAGTGTAAGCTCTTGTTGCGGAGTCCGACGGCCCTTTCCCCGCAACCGCTCGGACCGGCGTGAAGAACTCCAGCGTATACTTGGATTCACGCGACGATCCCTGAGAGTTTCGATAAGATGATAGGAAGGAACATAATGGCACTAACACGGCCTTATAATTAGTATCTGCCTCCAGGCGTCTCGTTGAAGCGTTTACAGCTTAGCTTTCTATGCTTGGACACAATTTGCTCAGTCTCTGAATCTGAACAAATTCGTCATACGAAACTTTGTCGGATTCCTCAGTGTTACAGTCGAAGCTCGTGTGCATGAATGATTCAATTGAACAGGAGACGTCATATGTTCATTTTAATTCAACGCTTTTAACCATTCAGCCCGACATGTAGGGCCACGACGCAAATCGACATCGTTTTTTCGGCTTTTCTGTCAGTGTACGTCCCGACGCTGCCGACCCGACTGAGAGGAGAGCCAGCTCGGCGCCCGCCATCACCGATTCAGGGGCTCATAAACCGGTTTGTCTCTCTGTCTATCACCACGTTCCCTGCCTTCCTTCATCTCCTCAGCCTCCCAAGAACACAGATTAACGCCATAAATCCGCTTTAGAAAGCCGGTGGGCGAAAATTTCGTCATTGAAGAATGGAGAATCGGCCTGCCCTCCCGTCCTTCCCAGTTTCAATGGAGTATCATGCATGCGATTCGTAGAAAGCAGGTCGTCTAATAACCCTCTGCCCATGGACAGACACATCAACGTGTACAGTTGCTGATTGCGCCACCATCTGGAAGGAAGGAAGTTATTCTTCTTTTTGCGAAGGCAAATCGCTTCACGGCAATCTTCCGCCTGGAAAAGTGGCGCATGTGATGGGCCATCGTCTGACACCGTCCCATCTTCTGGTGCTCGTTTGTCCTCTGCAGCCGTCTTTCGAGACAGAATTAATGCAAGTCGTGGACTAGAGACTGTCAATGAAGTCCACAGCCCCAACCTGATGTTCCCACCACAACTTAGATATAGTAAAGACATGTAATAGAACATGTTCTAACCTCTTACTTTGCCTCGTTTCCTCCTTAAAGCTTTCCTACATTACACACCGGCCCTCCGTGGGCTCCTCTGAGCTCCTCCCCACCTCTGGCGAAGACATAAACGCCTCGCCTTGGCGCACCGTGCCCGCACGCACGCACCGATGATCCCATCCAGCCTGAAGAGACCTACCAGCTTCAGCAACTGCTTCGTGAATAAGGAACGGGTGTTCGGGACGGATGGAAGGATCCGAAGGTATCATGGGGTGGATATTAGGGCATAGGGCAGAGAAAAATCAACTCACGCACCATGCGCACCGCGCGGCGCCGGAACGGGCATGGCGCACCAGATGGCGGGTGGCTCAACTTGGCTCGCGAACGCGCCTCCCCGTTCGCGATGTTTTAATTGAATGTCCAGTCTGGTTCTTTCATCCCCGGTCTCGCTTGTACGTCCGCGAGGTCCCGCCAGAGCTCAAGTGGCACCAGGGACGTTGTATGTTACCGACAAATTGCGAGGAATATTGAATGAAGTCGATGCCCTCCTGTTGGTGTCAGAAAATATGTCTGGCTCGTCCGTCCGTGTATTTTATTGTATCATTTTCCTCCTCGAAAGCTGAACGGCCTAAAAGTCCGAAGTGCACCAACGCTTGGGAGTCCATAATAACGATATCTAATCTTCCCGACCTCAAATGCCCACATCAAAGTTCGGATCAGCGGAACACGTCCTCGCGATGGGATGAGCACAGCATCTCCGCCCTCCGGCCCTGGATCCTGACCGACTGAGAGTGGTTGCACTTGTAAATGAAGAGAAAGGCGAAGACAAGAACCTTGAGAGCAAAGAGCACAGAAGCAGCGAGGGTCGTGGGGGTGTCGAAGGCACAAGACCAACCCCGGACAAGGACGGAACATCGAGCACGAACGCACGATTCTTCCGAGGTTGGGGTTTGCCACCGACGAAAGAATGCACTCTCCTTCTCACATAACTCCGAGATCCACCTCCTGAGCCTCGAGGCCTAAAAGAATGGAGAAATAACAGAGGAGCGCGAACTTCATGGTATATTCGGTAATTCAATGGTACACAGCGCTAACGACACAAATACACTTTGGATTCGATGGGGCTATAAGTCAAGTTCAAGTTGATTCACTACGTCGGGAGTGGTAAGTAAATAACTATAACACGGGTGCTGTGTAATGTACAACAGGCGATCGGGAGGGCGAGGGCAAGGGCAATGTGCAGACAGATGAGACGATGCGTCGACGTCGACGAGCCATGGGGCATATCAATTCCAGCAAGGAAGGAGGGAAGGAAGTGGACGAGGAACATGGATAATGGAAGAATGAATAATAGATAAGTGAATTTCGTTAGGGAGTATTTACTGCTTTCTTCTCTTTGGGGACTTGGAACGCGCAAGCCCTTCGCGATAAGCCAGGGATAGGGAGGAGAGGGACGACATGGGTGATTGATGATAGAGGAAAGGGATGAGATAGGATAGAAGGGAGGAAGGGAGAAGGAAAACTGGGATTGTGCGATAGAGAGGAAGCGATGTGATAGTGGAGACAGTGGAGGAAACGATACGGAGAGAGGAGATAGCGAGGGAAAGGGAAGAAAGAGAAGACGAGAGATACGAGGAAGAGGAAACGTGATGAGTAAGAAAGAGAGAGAGGAGAAATGAAGAAGAGAAGAATGTTGTATTCGACCAAACAGTTGAATGTTGATCCCGGATCGACGAGCTGTTGCTGTTGCTTGATGGCGACGACGTTGACGTTGCGAGAGAGTAAGAAGTGAAATCCAAGATGATTGCGAGGTTCGATGTAGATGGGGTGGGGGCAGGGGCGTGTGGACGTCGAGGCCGGAAATGAAGCCCGGCCGAGAACAGCAGGCAGAGTGGAGTAGTGTACTACCGAGGTTGATGCGAGTGAAGTTAATGCCATGTTGGTCGAAAGGAAGCTGGGGATACGGAGAGGAGACGGAACGGATAGAGTGTGCTATGGTGCGTTCGATGAGATGCACGGATGAAGCTGGAGACGGAGGCTGTCGTGACGATAGAGGGGAACTGGACGGACGGAAGAACATGCGTGCTTGCTGACTGAGACCGATGATTGCTGATGGAGAAAGAAAATGAAATGGCAAGAAAGGGAGAGGGAAAGGAAAACTGGGAAAGCAATGCGATGATAGTAAAGAAAAGATAAATTGAGGGCGAGGCGAACCATCTAAGTTAAACGAGAAAGGTAACGGAAATGTAAGTAAGAAAGAAGGAGAAGTGATGATGCTGAGAGTCGATGATGATGATGAGCAAGCAAGCAATGTAAGAATCGTAACATGTTTCATGGGCAGTCGGCGTCGTCGAAGCAAGAGGCAGAGGCAAGAGGAGGAACCAGGAGAGGCATGATGGGAAAGAGTATGCGACAGGAACCATGCAATGTGTGGGAGAGCGTCCATGATTGTTCGATGTTGCAAAACACGATGAAGAAACCTGGCTAAAAAAAGGGGGGAAGATATGCAACGGAAAAAGGCATGAAAACGACGACGAATGGACAGCTCAGCTGACAGGACGACGACGGCGACGTCGGGAATGCAGAAAGACGACGATGGCGACGATTGCGAAAAATGAGAAGGACGACGCTACCCATTTAAGGGTAAGCAAAGTCAACATACATGCCCTGGTGTCCGTCATCATGGCCCTGCCCATGCTTCTCCTCGGGCAACACCATCGGCGGGTGAAGGTACGCCGAGAACAAGCTCTCCTCATCCTGGAGCGCCATCGGCGGGTGCAAATAGTCCATCGGCGAGTCCTCATTCCCCCCGTTCCCCTGCCCACCCTGCCCGCTCCCAACACTGCTCAAATCCGTGCTCGACGCGTTCGCCGAGCTGTTGGGCGTGCCCGACGCCGAGTTGCTGCCGCTGCTCGACCCCGAGCCGCCAGACCCCGAACCCGACACCGACGAGCCAGACGAGGGGGGCAGCATGGGCGGGTGGAAGAGCACCTCGTTCTCGCCCGTGCCCTGGGGCATCATGGGCGGGTGCCAGAAGGTATTCCCCGACCCGCGCAGCGCAGGGCCCTGGTTGATCGTCCCGTTGGTGTTGTACGTGCTGAACGGGAACGAGTCCATCGACGAGCGCTTCGAGTGGCTCGTCGTCGAGCTCGCGGCCGAACTATAACCATCCGTGCCCCCGTACGAGGAGTACGACACCGCAGACGAGGGCGGCTCGCTCGCCGAATCGGTGCTCATCCTGCGGCGCTTCGTCGAGCGCGGGCTGCCCATCCCACCAAGGTGGTCCATCTCGTTCCCGCTGGAGGTGTCGACGCCGGCGAAAGGGAGCGCATCGGAGGGAAGGTTGTAGAGCTGCATGAGGTAGTCAGGGTGGTACGGCCCGGGGTACTGGCCGAGTTGGAAGGGGTTGTAGAGACTGTTCTGGGAGTTGTCGGTGGCGGCGGTGGTGCCGCCGAGCGCGCCGAGGAGCTCGGACGAGCTGGAGGTGGTCCCCCGGAACTCGGTGTCCTCCGAAAAGTCGTACGACATCTGTGTGGTCGAGTCGGGCGCAAGGGTGGGGGAGGACTCGCGCACGGGCGAGGTGCGTCGGCTGACGCCGGGGCTGGCCGATGGAGTATCCTCGGGCCCGGCGCCGACGCCCCGCCGCGCGTCGTGCCTCGAGCGTTTGCGGATGACGTCCGACTTCATCGAGATGGGACGGGCGGAACCGTGCAACTTGTAGTACAAGCCACAACTATAATTGTCCTCCGTCAGTCCCAGTCCCAAATCCAAACGAAAAAGAAACGAAAGGAAAAATAAAATAAGATGAAGAAATCAAAGAAAAAAGGAAAAGAAAAACAGGAAAACAGGAAATAGAAGAGACACTTACGCGTTACAAACCGTCTTGCCCTCATCATCTTTCCTCCAGAGGGGCGTCGCTGTCGTGTGACAGTTGTAGCATTGGGCCGCTACCGAGGGTCGGGCTTGAGAATCAGTAAAGCGGGGCACCATACTCGCAGCACGCGTATGGGACGTACCCATGACGTCGACCGTTTCCTGACGCGGAGCAGCCTGGGCGCGGCCCTCGCCATGGGAATTCCTCATACTCTTGGGGCGTGGTCGCTTATGCTATTAAAGATAAATTTTCGTAAGTAAAATGAAGGAAACGGGAGAGGAGGTAGGGTACGAACCAGCTTGCAGTACAGCCCGCACGCGTTGCAGTTCAACTCGTCGTTCAGGCCACGACGCCAGAGGGGCGTGTGGGTCGCGCCGCAGTTGGAGCATTCAGCCTTGACGCCGCCCGGAGCGCTGTTGCCCACCCCGCCGCGGAGGACAGCTGGGTTCAGGCTCGTCGCAGTCGCACTGGGTCCGCTGGACCTCGTCGAGATGGTCTGAGTCCTGAGAGTAAGCGCCGGGCGGGCGGTGGGGGTGCTTGAGCGGGTGCCGTAGACGTTCTGCACCCCGGTGACACGCGAGGGGGCGATGGTCTCGGGCAGAACCTCTTTGACGGTGGCGGAGAGCGGCGGGACGCCCTTGAAGATCGAGTGCTTCGCAGTGCTCGGGGCGGGCGAGAGCTGGTCGAAATCTTCCTCGTCGCTGTTGATCTGGCTGCCGTTCTCGTCGTCCGCTGCAGCACCACCGGTAGAGGCAGTGGAGACGGACGACGCGACAGAGGCGCGCTTGGAGTGCATAGTTTGGTTCTGGTTAAGGCTGGAAATGGAGGGGGTGATGTAGTTGTTGCTGGAGATGGCAGCGAGGTTCGAGGTCGAGGCGAGGGCGTTGGAGGTGGTGTTGGTGTTGGAAGCGGAGGCCATGACCACGTCCTGCTGCTGGCCGGCAGAAGCAGAGGTAGCGTTGTTGGCCGTAGAAGCAGCAGGCGCTTCTTTTTCGAGGGCCTGTGCGCGGTTGGCGCTGGTGGCGGCAGCGAAGGCGGATGCCCACCCCTGCTCGCCAGCAGGCTCGTCGTTGAAGAGGAACTCGTCGAGAGCGAGCTCGATTGTGGGTCGGGAGATGCTGAATTGATCGTTATGTACGGAGGGCATGAAACCTTCACCGTAGGTCATGGGGGTCGTCAAAGTGGGCGTGGCGTAGAGGAGTGCAGAGGGGCCGAACGAGTCGCTGAAGAGGTTAGGGAGGCGGACAGAGGCGGCGGTTGGCCTGGGGGCGGCAATGGTGGTGGTAGTCGCCTGGGCAGAGGCGTCGGCCATGACTGTGTCCTGGTCGTTGTGGGCGGCGCGAGCCGGGGCGGAGGCGGCTGCAGCGACAGCGGCGCGTGTGCGTTTGGCGAACTCGGCCGAAGGCTTGGTGTCTGGCTTCTTGACGGGGGCGTTGGATGCAGGGGCGGGCTGGTCGACGCTGAAGGTGAACTGCATGCGCTTGATGGTGCCGGGGGTGGCGTTCTGCGAGGCCTCCCGGTTGCGCTCTTTTTCGATAGCTCGCTGTTTGATCATTTCGGTTGAATGATTGCGTTTGAAATCGGGTGCCTCAAGTTCCTCAATACTCCTGTCGTAAGGTGAAAAAAAGGCCGGGCGTTAGGGTCAAGGGTTCGGTAAGCGCTCAAGGCAGCGGGGGGACGCACCGTCCTTTCTCCTTGTCCAGCTTGTCGCCCATGACCTTGGAAAGCTTCTTGAATTCACGCTTGGACTTTGCGTTGTCGGTGTCGACCATGAGGTTCTGGAGATGCCATAACCTCCAGCTCAAGTTCTCGAGCCTTTGGCCTTGTTCCAGGTAGCTAGCGACCTTGGTGCAGACCTGGGCGCTGCGTGAGGCGTCTGATAAGCAAAAAAGCGACGAAAATACGCACCTTCCATGTCTTGGTGAGAGACTCTGTGTCGGCAAGGTTGCTGAACGCGACGAAAGACTTGTTTCCCTGTTGGAGTGGCGACAAAGGCGGCGCAAATGGGGGAGAAAAAAGGGCATGATGAGTGCAAGGAACAGATTGGCTGCCTGTAGCGACCAACTTTGAACTTGAGATTGAGGATAGAGGGCATTTAGCAGAATGAACGGCGGGGAAACAAAGGACGAGCAGAGAGACGGGAGGGTGGCCTGGTGGCTTGGTTATAGCAGCAGCCGCAGTGTTTTGATGCACGTTGTTTATTTCCAACCTCCTGCGAGACCACATATGACTCCCTATCTCGACCCGAGTCCCGACGGCGAACCGAGCTGCCCAGCCGAACCGGTTCGCCCCGATCTTCTCCCGAATCTCCAATCACACCGTCCCCCAGGTCCATATGCAACAGAATGCCCATTGCCCTGCCCCATGTCCCATCACAAGACACGCGACAAGACACACTCGCCCTCCTCGAGGCGTTCCTCCCTCGGCTACTTATGAAAAGGCTGTACAAGGTTAGATCACTTATCAAGCAGCGCGTTCGCCGCGTCGCCCCGCAACCACGTCCTGCAGGGCCGTTTCTCTAAAATAAGCACCGCGACCTTCTTCGAATTCGAAAGAATACCTGCAGAGTCTACCCAGCGCTGTTCGAAACGCGACGCCAGTGATTATAATCCCCCTTGCCTAGAGATCGCCACGGACCCACAAACCTGGACAGAGATCTGAGGAACATGTACATGTAATTAGATACACTATTAATGAGGCCCCTACTATACGCTCGTACATAATCCCCTTATGCCCGTGAGCAATGTACATTTCAGGGAAGCAGAGAGAGCGCTTACGACACCCCCACGCCCTCCCTTCCTCCGACTTCTCTTCCCAGCGTCAATCGTCGCGCTGCATGACTCCACCCAGGGCCCCTTGCCTGGGAATACCGCGCTCGCAGTTTCTCGCAGTTATATAAAGCATTACGCGCTAGAAAACGTTATCTCACCCCTTCCCTCCTTTCGTACGTACATACGTGCGTACGCGCAGCCCCTTCTCTGCTTCCATAAACTTCCAAGCCCACTTTGAATACCGAGCATCCGGGGAGAAGGGTTTACATGATATTTTTTCACCGTTCGATTTTGCGACCGTCCTCTCGAGCCCGTCTTTCTTATTCGTCGCATCCATCGCCCACCTAACAGTAATTATAATCACACCCCAATTCCTAGCACACACCTCACACACTATTATAATTGTCCCCCACCTCCTTAATTTCCACTGGCACAAGACAGCCGTCAAGAAAAAGAATTCGAACCATCATACACTACTTATCCCGCGTAGATGTCGACTCCAGAGTATTATAGACCAGGCATCCAGGAATTCTAATCGCTCCAAGACCATCACTACTATTACTTCTAGCCCTATCTCCATCCATTATCCTACTCTAATAAAGCAAGCGAGACCCAACGCCGGAAGGGAATGACCTGCGACCCACCCCCGCCTCCAGGGTTCTGACATCATGATCTTCCCCTCCGGCATATTTATTATTAATTCTGATTCGCAGGACACACCCAGTGCGGGGCCGTACGTTAAGTACGCTTCCTATAAGTCCGCTGTTGAATTTGTTAGCTAGTCCCTAGTCGTAGTAGAAGTAGTTGTGGAATGGAGGATTCAGAACCAGGATCGCCGCGTTGTTGCTCATGCGCACACGGACCCTTCGCCAGCACCCACCTATTAACCTCCAAAAGGGAACTTCCCTCCACCTCTATCAAGTCCACAAAGGAACCTATGGCCAGAAGGAATCCGAAAAGCGACTTATCACAAGTAAGTCAAGAATTTCACCAGAAGGACGAACGTCCAACCCGAAACGAAGACCCAAGATAGAACTCGAACTCGAACCCGAATTCGAAAGGAAGCCAATTGAAACATCTGACTGATGAGGATTAATATAATCTGACATCCCACAGGAGCAACAGCGGCAGCAGCCTGCAGATGACACGCCTCCCTCCATCCTCGAGGCAAGAATGGGACCTCTCCTGCTTCTGCAATCCTGACAGCTGCCTGATAAGTGAAGTCGTGAATCGTCCACGCTGGCCAGATCTCCCACTCGATACAGCGACACAGACTCGGACAGTAACAGATATATATATACTCTATGAGATAGCGATAGGATGGGATGGAACACTAGATGGCCCTGTGCGGAGAGTAGAGTATCTGATACAGACCACCGGATGGACGCGCAAAGGAAGGGGCTTGACAAGACACATGAAAGAAAGAACAGAAACCAATAACCCACATATACCCAGATACCTCCCTTCTCCCTTTCCCGGGCCCCGAGTCTTTCCTTTCCCTTCCTGGGGCTGATCCAGCCGACTCGGAAATGGGCTCTGAGTACACTCATTCACATACTTACGTTGTTACGTTGACCTTTTAAAGAGCCAAGCTTTCCCAAGCTTGGTCGGGGTTGATGTTGAAGCATAGACATATGGACGTAGTATGAACCTGAACCTTGTCTTGCTGTGAACGCGAACGTTAGTAGGAAGAAAGACAGAAGAGTCAAATGCAAACCAGCCAACGACTTCCAGCTTCCCCCCCTCCCCCTGTGCTGGTTAATATTGCGTATCGAATCGACGCACTAGGACATATTCCCCCCGGCACGTTCAAGTTCTGCTTCTGTGTCTGGTTCTGGCAGGAACGTGCCCGCGAAGGCAAACGCAAACGCAAACGTGCACTCGAGCTCCACCTCCACAATCTCCTGCATCTCCCGCATCTTCTTTGTGCAGTTGAGCAAGGCTGATACTCAGGTTGATTCGGCATCCCATGGCGTATCTTCCCCACTGGTGTCCGATTCCGACCTTCCTTGGTTCCTCCCTCCAGGTTCAAGTTGATTCCTCCCGGAACACTTCTCGCGATAGATTCTGGCGAGGAGCCGATGGACATGATGAAGTGATTGCTTGCGCGATCGCAATAGAGATGAGATTCCTCACCAGACCTGCTGCCTATCACTGAGTCTCGGCGGGGACAGCGATTGGCCGTCCTACCGTCTTCGTCTCGCCCAGCCATCCTATAAACATACGCCTTCCTAACGAGCGTAATGCAAGGCTTCCAAGAACCCAACGGGTAATATCTAGAACGGGAACGGACGTCAGCACCGCTCCTTCCCGTCGATCGTTCGTGTCAAGCGTGCAATAGCAAGTTGCAAAGGGCATAATACAGTTACTTACTTACGGGTGTACTTGAGGATGTTCGCGTCTCGCGGAAAGGTCGTGTCGTGTCGAGCCGTCTCACCTCGCGGCGCGGCGTTGTGTCGACCGAGACTCGACGGAGACCCTCTGCACAACCTCATAGACTCGCCGCCTCGTTGACCCCATAATCATATGCACCTCCGCGTCCTGCAAGGCAATGGACCCATATATTATTATCCTTCGAACACGCCGCACACGCTAAGTAAAGCAGACCCGGCGAGGCAGAGGAAAATGAAAAAGAAGAACTCACGAAAATGAAAGAATATTAATGTGGCGTCGCCTCGTTCCCAGTAGCTTTCGTCACTTCGAATCACCTGGGTAGGAAGAGAGCCGTAGGAGCGGAGGAGCGGAGGAGGCTCCAACGAAGATGCAGACATCTACAGCAGGCAGCAAAAAAAGGGAAATGACCACGCGTTCGCGGCTACGGGGCCAGGAGCGGCGTACCGTGCGCGTCATCGTCAATCAACAAGGTTCGTTCCGCCGATCCCCCAGATCGCCAGTGCCCCTCTGTCATCGAGCCGGCGAGCTTGTACGACTGATTGGAGCTGGCGGCGTAACTGCGAAGCGCCCTCCGAGTCATGCGCCCCTCCTTCGAAGTTACCCTCGGGCACGCACTGTCCTACCGTTCCGCCCCCCATGCTCCAGAGGAGCATCGTTGACATCTAGGGTGCAGCCAAAGCGCGATCGACGCCCGCGAGCCGCTCGAGGGTCGACTCGCCCGACTCTCCGCCGGGTGCCCTGCGGGGGATGCAAGATGCGAGAGAACTTGAGAGAAATTACGGCTTCCGAAGTGGCTATAATTGGAGCTGATGAGGTTCGAGCACGAAGGACGAAGGGAGAGTGAGTAGATCCGAAGGCAGCAAAAATGCACCCCAGTCTGTGCAGGTATCGGTACGGGCTTCGTTTGACGCCGGCGGGGTGAAAGATAAAGCGAGACCTCTGCTCTCTGGAGTAGAGTACGCTGACAAAAAATAAAATAAAAATGAATCCGGTATCAGCAAACGCCCAACATGAAGTTCTAGACACTGACCCACTGCTCCGACTGGGATCGGGTCCGCTATCTGCTCCGGACGCCGACAAAAGTCAGGTCAGCTTAACTCTAACAGGCAAGCCAAACTCCTACCTTGGACCGATGACCCTATCACGCGACCTTGCGCGCTTTCTGCCTCTGTTCGCCGCTGCTTCTTTAGCTTCGTTGCTGGCAAGCAGATCCAGGCATCAGCAGGCGCCAGCCATCACGTCGAGAATGAGCACCCTCATACTCACCGAAGCATACCCCGCATCACGGTGCCGCCATCGACGCCGTCAACAAAAGCTGAAAGTTGATCCCCGCCCCCATGCCGGAAAGTTACTAGCCAGGAAAGTCGAGTCCACCCATTGGTCTACTTCTGGAGCGATGTCGGAGGGGCAGGATAGGCGCTAGAGCTGGTCACTTCCGCCGTCACTGCGTTACTGTGAAAGCTTCCCAGAGCACACAGCCGGCGCCCCAAAGTACCCCCAGATAATCCCATAAACCCGAATCTGGTGGTTAATCTGTGCACAAACCCTGCTCTGTGCGAAGGAAGTTCGGGCTGAGCTTCGAATCAGTGATAAAGATAACCTTGACCGACCCTGTACGAGCACGCCGGACGAGCGCTTGTTCAAACCGCGCATATGTAGTACTTCGCCCATGCGCCCATCGTATCTGCTAAGGGGCATGTGCCGGCCGGTTGGATACAGCGATTAGGAGGCTCCCTGCCTCGAGGCAGGTCCCAAATGCAACGCCCATAAGTACTAAGTTATTGACTTGGTGCAATAGTCCCGAGTCCCGAGTCCAAGTGCAACCGAGAGAGATGGGGCAGGCATGTTAGCGTTAGAATGTGGAAGGTCGCCCGATGGAGAAACCGGGATTCGGGAGTAGGAGGGCAGGAAGGGAGGAAGAACGCGCTAGGAACGCACGAACATGCGCTGTAAAACCAACGCGGTAATTATCCTAAATTGGAGCTAGTGTCGATGGGTGAAGGTGTGGGTCGCCAAGCGCAACGCGCTGCATCCGCACGTAGCGTCCCGTAGGTCCATAGGAGATTCTTTGCTGGATTACGTCGGATCTGCCATGTCCAATGACATTCCAATCAACCACACCCGCGAAGAGATCTCCGCCAAGTATCACGGAAAACAGAAGTAGGGGTTGATGACAAGGCTAGGGGAATGTAGCACATTTCTTTCATTCAACGATTCACTCCCAAGGAGAAAGATTATAACAACAACACATGAGAGGAAAGAAGGGAAGGGAAAATGGAAATAAAAATTAGAGGGCACACACCTCGATCCGTCGACAGTGGACAGCTCTGTCGGTGCGATTAGCCCCAGTGCCATTCAGAAGGATAGAAGGCCATCGAGGAAGACTGCGTCCACCCGACACATCGCTCGTCGCCCAGCTAGAAGAACTATTCGTCAGGAGGAAGCCATCAGAAGGAGCCGAGTTATCCTATCCAATTGAGGCACTGTCCAGGACCACGGAAATTTCGCCCAAAGGAACAGAAGAAAACCAAGGTCCAAGGAGGACGTAAATCGGTTGTTCCAAACTTCTCCAGCTCAAAGCAAATCGTCGTCCTACCCAGTGCTCGAATTTCCAAACGATGTAATACGCACCGGGCACCCCGGGTCCTCCCGCGACATGACATGTCCCATATACTCGCAAAACACGGAAAACCACCGCATTCCGCAGAATCGCACCATGCAATTGCAAAAACGAACGTTTCATATCGACAACGCAGGACCTGGCTTCCTGGGTCAGATCTCTTCTCTCCTTCCAAAAGCACAGAAAAAACCCCACGGGGTTGCCCGTTGCCTCCTACTTTGGTGCATCGACGTTCATCGATAAGAGCCTCCACCCAAGAAAGGCAACCCGGGTTCGCGTCCCGCGAAACTGAATCGCCTTAGCCGCCGAACCCACGTGAGGGAGAGTGATGTCACAGGGACTTTTTTGCCGGATTTTGTACCACTTTTGGGCAATTTCCCAGACAGGTTCAGCCAGTCTGAGCCAGATGGGGAAGGTGGACCGGCTCGCTAGCTAGGTGGTTCGTCCCGGTTCCCCTAGCTCTAGCGAATCGCCAACTCTTCAGTGTTGCGCGTAGGAAGAATAAATGCAGATAGATAGCGACAGAAGGGAGAGACCAAGGCTATTCGCAATAGCTGTCCGGGCCTTATGTCCGTTGTTCCGTGAATGATTACGCCTACGCGCAATGTGGGGAAAGTCTGGGCCCTGAGTGAGGGGCGAAAGAGCGAATGGGATCCACAGCACCAGGTAAAGGGCGACCAAGTGGCGCTAAGAGCGAGAACGCGAGTTTCATGAAGAGAAGGTCTCTTTAGAGGCTTGGTGAAACGCCTGTATTGCCTGTGCGGTTAGATAAAGACAATGAATGGCGGAAAGTGAACAAGAGACATACCCAAGGGCGAGCTTGTACCTATGAACACGGCCCGCGAATCATGTTCTAGAAAGGCGATTGGCTCCTTACATAGGCCGAGCAGCTCGATTGATGGTCGATGCGCCCACTGTTCGAAAGAAGGATCGTCTAGGTCCTGATATGCTTCCTAGGGCCAGAAAAGGGAAGGGAGGCCCGATACCTCAAAGCCGGGGGTGAGGCGGAATTAGACCAACCTAATCTCGAAGACATGGAGACCATAATCCTTCAGTGTCCAGGTTGTCGCGCCCACGGAAGCCGCACGGAAAGCAGCTCAGGACTTTCCTGTCAGAAGAGGCCATCAGTATCAGCGTCGACCATCAGAGCAGAGGGGAAAATCATTAATACATACACTTCTGTTAGCTTCTGGTTCTTGAAACGGTACGGCTGTGATTTACAATTAGATGAGAGCATAATACCCCAAAGAAATAGTCGATAATGTGCTTTGTTCCCTCCAATGGTTCAACAATGCAGAGGACGGCGATAACAATCCACAATCGTGCTGAGCTGTTACTGGCGACATTGTCTATTAGCTCAGAAAAGTAAGTAGCTTCACCAGCGATAGTTCCTCGCGAACACCGAAGTAATGCCACGTATCGCGACGATATGGACTGGCGAATGCGACCGCTAGTTCCATATTCCAAGATTAATCCAAAGATAGAACAGCCTCTTCTGTCTTCAGCTACAGTGCGCTTTGGAGAGAATTCATAGAATGGGAAAGACAGAAAGCCCAGTGTCGGAATCGGAATCGGGTTCGGAAGAGAGCACGGAAGGAAGGTCCCATCCGAGACCCTTGCATGCTGATTTCATTTCGCGAGGGTAGACCGTAGAGAGACCCAGCCGAGGAAGGTTTAGGTTTTAGAGTGTGCGCAATCTATGAGGGAGGGAGGGCAGGAGATGAGTGCGACCGAGGTAGAGTGTAAGCGAGTAGGCTACCTCGTGTAAGGTACGTCCGATCTCTTTCCATCGCCACCCACTGGGGGCATAACATTGGCGCGGGAAGGCGTACGGGGGGCCTTTCTCGTTGGACGATGAGGATGAAACGAACACAAGAGAAGAATCGAAGGCGGTTCTGGGATGCTCGTTGACGTTTTCGCGTCACACAAGTTGCTGTTTCTCCGTCGAAACCGCCGACGCTGCTGAAAGCACCTCTACATCGTGGAGGGTGAAGACACGCTTCATACGGATGGTCGAGGAAGAAAACAGGAGGCATAAGGTGACCCTGACTCCTCTTCTGACCATGGAGAACCATGCCGGTCGGCGAGACGCGGTATCGCGTTCAAATCTACTATCAAATCGATGGATAAGTCAGTTTTTCCAAAATTAGAGGAGCCAGGACAACTCATTGACAGTTCACTGTATTCCCGTTTTACGCAATCCCTCACAGATCCTAAATGGCCAGATTATCGTAGTCAATCGCACGGACCGACGTCTCAAGCTTTGAGAGGAGATCGGGAGATCGGAGCGTGCTGTACAGGTTTGTGGGGAAGTTCAATTGAACCCGGGAGTGTAGGGACAAACCAGGGGAAGATCAACGTCAATTTCCCTTCTAATCTCCTAATTATAGCCCGCGATGCAGCTAACGGAGGTCGACGGAAAGCTGTGTGTCTATCAACGCGATCAACGAAGGGTTCAGCGAGAGCGTTAAACTTGAATAATAGACTGGTAGGCTTACATGCACCGGAATACTATAGGTCTTTGTCACGTTTATTTCCGTATAAAGATTCCAGGATGGACGAAAGTCTAAGTCGTTACAGTGGGAGAGGTAGGCTCGTAAATAACTCGGAGTCTGCACCCGTGGGACAAGAAATTGCGACGCGTCATCACGCGATCACATGATCTGGTGAATTGGTCACGCTGGAGTTTTGGCTTTTCATCCTGATGGCAGTGCCAGTGCCAGTGCCAGATCCAGCCACCCTCGAAAGCTCAATGAATGAGAGTCTAATCTCATCTTTTAAACCTCTCAGGATATATATAACTCCGGGTATCATCAGTGAGCTGAGGGAGATGTGCTTTATGAAGCGGTGAGGAATTATGCTGAGGGACGGCGGAGAGACATGATACTGATACTGACCTTCTCGTTTTCAAGTTGCCATAGGATCAAGTTCTATCGAGCATGTGTCTGAGGACACCCTGTAAATTATTGCCGATCTACTCTGGATTGCTCATCAGGCGGGGAAAGGTGGCGACGCATTTCCGAAGACAGCAGAGTAGTCCAACGTCTCTAAACAGACCAAGCTAGACGAACGGTCTGCTGAATGTACCCTCACTAAAAAATTGGTACTTCTCACTTCAAATTCGCGGTGATATCTACCCGGCTGTACAATATGTGCGTTCGACATCTAGATGTACACCACGATGCAACTGATACACGCTGCATAAACCTCCCATGCGGACCCACAGAAAGATTACTCCAACAATGTGAGCCTCACTGGAGCCGCTGGTTATCGAGGCCCCATCGTTTTTCTTGGATTTCACCTGACGTCCACCCGGACTTTGGTGCGGAGTGAAAAGGGCAAACCACATCGAATAATCTGAATAGAATGCTTGTCTGTAGGCGTATAGGGATCGGCGAGCATCATTTTTGAAACTCCCAGACCGGGTATTTATAAAACGGTGTTCATCGCAGTTATCTAGACAGGTATTCGCCTCATGTTGGGGCATCCGCGGTCAGGTGAGCCGTCCAGCGAGCACGCAATGAGACTAATGATCAAGCTTCAAGCTCCATACGGTGATTCCAGGTATTTTTGAAAAGTCTTGACAGATGCGGTGAACATTTTGCGGACGGACGAACGACTCGGTTTAATACGTGGTCAGAGGCCAACCACCGACTGCCAAACCGTAGGGCCCTGATCCTCAAAGATGAAAATATTTTTTCGTCTGTCAGACCCCAGGGCTCTTCTTCAACCTAGCGTTATACACCCAGGACTCGACGCCGTGATACGCGGGTGAAACTACTTGATTAACACCGAGTACGTTCGAATGTCTTCGGGCCCTGCCCACTCTCCCATCGAAGGTACCCTTCTCTCCTCCTTCGAGAGAGTCGTAATTCTTGAAGAGTCGCGAACTCCATTAATTTCCGCCTCATAATGTGAATGCCAGACGTCACCCAGTCGCTTCGTAGCGAGTCCCCTCCAGACGCTCCTTCCCTGAAATCCCAGGATGGCAGGCTTTCCCGAATTTCAAGACATCGGCCGTACCATAATGATCACAAGTCTCACTGGAAGACATCTTTCCCTCGGCTTCTCTTTGGTAATGGACTATGTTCTGGAACGTAAGCATAATCTTGTGGAAAGATCGAAGAACTTCTCTAGCGTTAAGAAGACGCCTGAGGCTGCAACGCGGAATGAAGAGGGTGCCATCAGGATACTGGCCGAGAATATCTATTCCTTAAAGTAATCTATAGCGTCGAAAACAAATTTATACAGCTTCTTGGTTCATTGGCTTTACAAAGGTTGGATTTTACGCCTTTGTTGTTCATGAATTAGGGTTGGGTATAGCGCACACGCCCACATCTAATCTTATCAGACATCTCGGCAACGCGCCAATCAGGTATGGAGGCACAGGCCCCGAGCTGTTCCGTGCCTTCCAATCACAACGACGTCGACAACCAAACGTTACGATTATCTCTGAGCTCAGCCTTCGGCCAGTTTCAGACCATCTTGCGACAACACTAGGTGAGTTGCAGCTGCTACAGTTGTCATTCAAGCAGCTGGTTGCCTACAGAGTTTCGCTAGGAAACACCCCGGCTTCAGAAGCTCGTTAGCCTGCGCTATTCAACTTCTTCGATAATGGAGACACTCATCTGCTCGTAGTCAAGGCAGCTGCCAGGTTTGCAAGGCTACGGCAACAGTTGGCGCTTGCGAGACGCCCGACAGCGCCGACGCCCGTTGCATACGAGAGATCAAATCATCTGGCGGTGATCGAACAACAGCGAAGAATTGTATTCAAGTTTCGCGAATGCTTCTCTGAAGTCTCTCGGCTCTCGTGTGAAGGTCGTCGAGGAAGTTCGAGGATATCTGGACCGACGTACCCCTGTTGGACTACAATCTGCAGATGAGGAGTGCCCGTGTTATATTGTACCATGCGAATTGTATTGTGCCCCCTCACAGCCCCTGACGCCCCCGCAACGCATTCATGGACATTCACCTTCAGACAAGATGACCTGTCGTCTCGTAGGTCAGCCCATCCCGCCATCAATAAGAACATATGCTGACCCGCGTTTAATTTTTGAGAACCTTGTGTTCGGCAGAAGGGGAAACACCGCACTTGCACCCGCCGACCTCACGATACGCGTGTAACCGATCACGTAGAAGCCTTTTCGGGTGAGTCGCCCATAGATCGCTACCTGCAACAATCTGTCTGGACGCGTCAACGGTCATGCAGACCATGCCGACATGCACGCGATGCGGGAAACTCGTTGGTAACGCGCCGTGTATAAAAGCGGGAAGAGACGTCTTTTCATCCTCATCCGCCACCCACATTCCTTTGGATTTATCTAGCGATGGTTTCTTACACTGCTTTGGCTTTACTCTCCTTTACGGAACCTCCGCTCTCGCTGCTAGAGTTGGTCGTGGATGTGGAACGACTATCAGCGCGGAGAAACTTGCTGCTGCCCAGAAGCATTTCCAAGACCATCGCGTCCATGCCCCCGCCGGCCTTCTGAAGGCCAAGCCCCTCGACGTCTATTTCCACGTTATCTACGCGAACGGGACACTTGAGGGTGGCGCTGTTCCGTGAGTGTTCTCGCAATCCCATCCAATGCGTATTGTGTCGACTTGATGTTACTCAGGGACTCCTTCATCACGGACCAAATACAGGTCTTGAACGAAGACTTCGCCTCCTCCGGTCTCGGCTTCAACCTCAAGAGCGTGGCCCGCATTGAAAATGCCGAATGGTTCAGCAAGCTTGGTCCCTACGACACGGCGTGCGTACGATGTTCCTAAAGCCTAGCTGTTGTAATTAAATACTGCTATGTGTTAGTGACATGGACACCGAGATGAAGAAGACCTACCGCCAGGGCGGGGCAGGGGACCTAAATGTCTATACCGTCGGGTATGTTCTTTCTCTCTAATCTTTCACCACAACGTATACAACTATCACAGGTTCGAGGTCGGCGAAGCGCAGGGTCTACTTGGATACGCCACCTTCCCTTCTGACTACAAGGAGTTCCCCACCGACGATGGTGTCGTGATGCTCCACTCTTCACTGCCTGGAGGATCCAGCGCCCCATACAACCTCGGCAGGACACTGACCCACGAGGTTGGTCACTGGGTCGGCCTCTACCACACCTTCGAGGGTGGCTGCAACGGCGGCGACGAAGTAGAGGACACCGCTCCTGAAGACGAACCCGCCTTCGGATGCCCAGCTGGTCGAGATACCTGCCCAGGCGGAGGTGCTGATCCCATTCGTATGTTCACGCCAGCTGTGCACTTTCGCTGCGGTTGCTGATTGCATTTCTTCTTACAGACAACTTCATGGATTACAGCGACGATAGCTGCATGACCTCCTTCACTCCAGGACAAATAACGCGCTTCAAGGACCAGATTGCTACCTACCGCTCTATCACGGACGAGATCGTCGACTTCGAGGCATAAGATCCAGACGATGGACATTACGTCGTGCTATTACACTCGCTATCAAGTATTGTTATTTAAATAATGGACTAATACCACTGCCCTCGCTGAAATTGAACACGCATTCAGGAACACCCTTTGAAGTGATGAAAGTCTCGCTCAAAGTCACAACTACAACTTCTACAAGTACGCCGGTACGCTACGCACCTTCTCAGCGCAGGCGGCAATAAATCGCCGTCTCAGAAGGCAAGGCGTGTGCTGACGAGAGAGCCGTATGGAAATCTTCTCCTTGCCATATTTTAGCCGTGCCGCGGCAATACAGACCAAGAGATCGTCCAGAAGGCTGCTTCAAAGTGACCGCGTGGAGGAAAGCACCCTCTGCATACTATTAAAGCCTAGAAGCTGGGAGAGACGTTCAGTAAGCCACCCACCACGTCCTCGCGAACATGGTTTCTTACACCGCTCTCCTCTTCTCGTTACTTTGTGGGGCCCCCAGCGTTTTGGGTATGCGAGCGGCGGGCCGGGGATGTGCTACGACGATCAGCGAGGCGCAGCTGGCAGCGAGTGCGCAACATTTCTCTACCCACCGCAAGCAAGCGCCGACTGGACTCCTCAAGGCGAAACCACTCGACGTATACTTCCATATCATATACAAGAACGAAACCCTGGAAGGGGGATTTATTCCGTGGGTCTCTCCTTGGTTCTTGTGACTTCTAGTTCTCTGACACCAGTGCTACATCTCGCAGAGAGTCTTTCATCACTGACCAGATGAAGGTCCTGAACGACGACTTCGCGAAGACCGGTTTGAGTTTCGGTGTGAAGAATATGTCGCGTATACATCACCCACAATGGTTCAGCGAATTGAATCCGTACGAGAACGAGTGAGCGTTATTTCGTGGCCCTCCCATGGCGAAGGACTAATAGAATTCTGGACAGATATATGGACGTTGAGATGAAGAGGCGGTATCGCCAGAGTGGGGCCGCTGACCTCAACATCTTTACTGTCGGGTCAGCATAATAATTATCTTCTTCATTGAGACAATAATTCTGATGCTTCCCAGTTTCGAGCGTGAAGCAGAGATGTATGGCTACGCCACATTCCCCTTCAACTATGCCGACAATCCGACATATGACGGCATTGTCCTCCTCTACTCGTCCATGCCCGGAGGGAGCACAGTCAACTTCAACCTCGGCCGGACGTTAACGCACGAGACAGGCCACTGGGTGGGTCTCTACCACACCTTCCAAGGCGGATGTACTGGCACCTTCCACGACGAGGTGGAAGACACGCCGCGTGAAGCCCGAGGTGCTGTTGGCTGCCCCATCGGCCAGGATAGTTGCCCTGGAGGCGGAGTTGACCCGATTCGTAAGTTGAATCTCGTCGAAATTTCTAGGAGGCATTGACTAGTGTTGCAGACAATTTTATGGACTACTCGGACGACGCGTGTATGACGCACTTCACCCCCGGACAAATTACGCGTCTCAAAGATCAGATTGCGACCTATCGTCAGATTGTCGTTGACGTTGATGCATAGATAATGTGCTCTATGGAAGAGTAAGCGTGTTTTCTTGATTGTTGGCTCCTGCAAGGGACGGCATGCGAATGGGTAATCAATAAAAGCGGAGTCGATAATATCAGGCCACGATGATTCCATCGAAGCAGAGACCAAAGAAAAGAGGGAAAGGTGCTCGACTGTAACTGGTCAAAGTTTAGACGTTAGTACTTGATAACGCAAAATGCAAAGAGCAACAGCTTGAGGAAACACGACCTGGAGGGAGAACAGTGACTTCTGCGATCGAGTCACCAGTCGCATTTCAGAGTAAATCTTCTGAGATCAAGTCGCGTATGTCCCGTCGTGCGAGTTCTTCCACGTCCTTCCTCCACCAGTGAATTCGAAAGCTCATCTTCACTTCGACGAGAGCTTCATATAACGGATCGGCGAGGTGTCCATCGAGGGTGCTCCAATCACTCTGCCGGAACAGACTATTGAGATCCTCTGAGTTCTGGTGGGTATGGCAAATGAATGTAAGTGATACATTTTTGATGCACGACGAGGGTGTTGAGAGCCGGAACATCCATAAATAACCACCTGGACTGAAGTAGTACTCGAAATGAGTGTCGACAGAAACATTCACGATATTGAGGTTTCGGAAAGTCCCCAAGTCAATCGGGAGTTCTGAAGCTTCATAGCATACAGTGGTTGTACTGTTCAGAGGAAGCGTCAGAGAAGACCATCGTCGAAGGGGAGGAAACATAACGTACAATATTAGCGTGGTCAACGAATACGTGATTCCAGGCAGGACATCGATCAATTTGGCAAGATTCAAAGGAATGTCGGCATTCACCTCGAGGAGCCGATGTTCTGCGACGTAGGTGGATGAGCCGCCAACGGCAGGGCGAACGTGGACGCCGAACGGAACACCCTCAATGTTTCAAGATTGCAAAACACGTCGACTCTGGAAATGGTCGCTCCAACTGAGTCCTCCATGTACTCGCCAAAATCAACCTCGCGAATGTGGAGGAATTTCAGGGATTTACAGGCGAGAATGTCGGAGAGGGCAAATTGGAACATACCTGCCACACAAAGTGACTGGATGTGTCCCGATCGGCAGAGCTTCCTGAGCGAGGTCCGGAAGGGAATGCTGCTCTCGTCCTAGTTGAATTTCCCGTCAAAGTGGTTCAGCCACAAGGATTGGATGCCGCTGTTCGGTGCTGCGAGTATGTCCATGATGGCCATTTGCTGTTCTCCTTCACCAGCTGGGGCATGCCGGTCGAGAGCAATAATGAGGAACCGGACATGTGTTGCGAGATCGGGGTTGCAAACCAACATTGTTGAAATTTTAATTTGCTCGTTGGATCTAGGGAGACTGGGCAAGCCGGCCAACCAGCACCTTACAGAGAAGATGGGTCAGGGCACGATGCCTGAGACGAGGACGCAAGGTAGCAAGGTGGAATAGGCATCCGGGCCATTGCGGCTCAAGGTGAGTTTTGCTCCCAGAATGTCGATAATGAGTTCAACAAGTTCGGCGGGGAGTTGGGACGACATTGATGATGGAGGCTCTGATTATACGTTGGATGTATAACCTCAACTCAGCCTAGAGCCTGCGTGTTGAACGTTGATGGGAGGATCGTCATCTTATCTTATCTACCGGTATATGACAGCGTTCAGAGGTTCATCTAAGTACTATGAATCAAGAACGCCATTTGATATTATATATACGTTGTACAACATTACACTGTTCGGTCAGTCTTGTTTGTTATATCGTCCACCCAGGACGAATTCCCCTCTGAGACGCACAATTTATCCCAGCCAATCGGTGACACCCTTCTTGATAAATGTATCGAGCCCCTCCGTAATGGGAGTCTCGCCTCCAACCAAATCGATTGCTAAGCCAGCTGCGTCTTCGCGATCAAGAAGAAACGCGAGAACAGTGGCGACATCGTCTCTCTGTAGTGCAGTGATTCAGCCGTTGTGTGTCGTAGGAGATGACACATTCCTACCGAAATGGGTTTGCCCAGGTGGGTTCGTCCGATAGACGCGACATCCTTCCCAGCGTCGTTTGTCAGCCCTCCTGGACGCAGGATTGTCCACTTGAACGCAGTGCGGACGACGAGGTTCTTGTCTGCCTCGTATTTCCAATGCATGTAAGCGGGGATGACCTTTCTGATGCGTTCAGACAGAGCCTTGTCCTCATCGTTCTAGAAGATGTGGCGAATTGAAAGTAAGTACTCGCCACTGAGAGACCAAAGATACCTACATAATGCTCGGGGATCTTGTCCGGGTTTCGAATATCCACGGCCGACACGAGAATGAGTCTCGGCTTGGTGCCATCCACGGCTTCGATGGCGTCAAAGACCTTCACGGCCCCCTCGTAGTCGACCTTCTTCGTCCTCTCCTCACCACCGTTCCCACCCGCGCCTGCAGAGAAGTAGACGACGTCCTGCCCTGTGAACGCCTTGGTGAAGTCTTCCACAGGCGAGTCCTCCAGTGAAAGGATGAGTGGTGTTGCAGAGACGTCCTTAATGTCTTGCTCCTGAGCAGGATCTCGGATTATGGAAGTCACAGACTTTGTTCCAGCGAGCTTCCTAGCCAGCCGGAGAGATACCTGGTTGAAAGTGGTGAACTCCGTTTCACTAAATCTTGCCTCGCTGCAGACTTGACTCACATTTCCGTGGCCGCCAACAATGATCACCTTTTCGCTAGAGGACATACCGAATTGTATGGAGTAGTCAAAGATTCTGTATAGGCCGAGATGGAGGTCTGATTGAAAGAAGCCATTCTGCCTCTTTCTTCTATTTATAAGTAACAGAGAATATAGATTAGATTAGATTCTAGGTCTGTACCTCGTGATTCCATCAAAAGCACCGCTTCGGTAGGTCGACGTTTCAACGATACACTTTTTTCTTTCTTACTACCATGTCTGATAAAACCGACCTCCTTGTCCTCGGTGCGACTGGCTTCACTGGGACCCTAATTACCCGGTACCTTCAGGCGCACCCCCAGAGGTCGCAATTCAGCTTGGCTCTTGGCGCAAGGTCGCCTAAAAAATTGGACGCGCTCGTGCGGAGCCTCAATCTCCCAGCAAGCGTCAAGCTTGTTGACGTGGACGTCACGAACCCGGATGACATCGAGAGGGCGGTGCGCGGAACGCGGGTAGTGATCAACACGGTCGGACCGTACTGGCTTTGGGGGACGCCTGTCGTTCGGTACGTTCTCGTTATGCTATGGAGGGTGACGTATTAACGAGAGACTTTCAGGGCTTGTGTCAGGAATAGCGTCCACTATGTTGACTTGACGGGGGAGGCAGCGTGGACGAAACAGATAATCAGAGAGTGCGTCTATCGACCTGCACCACCTTTCGCTCTATTGACCCTCTACAGGTTTGACTACTACGCGACAAAGACCGGAGCCATAATCGTACCGGCTTCCGGGTTCGATTCAGTCCCATCCGACATCTCTGCTTATCTCGCCAATAAGACCCTCAAGTCTCTTCCTCCAACGAACGGTGAATACGTTCAGGCCGGCCCGTCAACTAGTGCCCAACTGTTCCGTGGAGGTGTCTCGGGCGGAACGATCGCGTCAGCGATGACGATGATCGAGAAGGTCCCGAAACATGTTCTGAAGGAAGCGAGGTTGCCCTACAGCCTCAGCCCAGTCGTCGGTGTGGTACGCCCTCCCTTCAAAGCGCTGTATAAGCTCCCCGTCCCTGGCGCGAAGCAATTGTTGGGCGGATTCTTCGTCATGGCGCCAACGAATAGGTCTGTTGTGCAGCGCACATTTGGCCTGCTTGAGTGGCAAGTGGCGGAAGGCAGTGAGTATTATCAAATCGTAACCCATGTTGCAGCTGACGCGTTATTATAGAACGAAAAGAAGCCCAGGTGGAGCGCTATGGACCGCAATTCAGCTACGACGAATTCCAAGTTATGCCCAGCGCCTTTTCCGCCATCATGCTATCTGCAGCTGTTGTCCTCGGTCTTAGCATGCTCATTATTAAACCAGTGAGTCTATCAGAGTGTTGAACGCACTATAGTTCATTAAACAATTACTTGCCTGCCTAGATCCGCAACCTCGCGAAGAAATATCTGCCCCAATCCGGAGAGGGTCCTTCGGAAGAGGCCATGCAAAATGGTTCCTTCCATATAACCAACATCACGACATCTACAACGACCCCACCCGTCCAAGTGAAGACCATTGTCAAAGGCAAGGGAGATCCCGGGTATCTCCTTACAGCCAGTAAGGATTTCTGCTCGCCTTTTCTTCTATGGCAGATAACTAACATTGACTTTAGTCATGATCTCTGAGTCTGCCCTGTCCATCCTCCTGCCGCTGGCCTCCGAGTCCCAGGAAGCCGTCCCAACTCCCGGGAAGAGCAACAACATTCACGCTCTGACAGCCCTCGCACAGCAAGGAGGCGTCCTAACATCCATGACTGCTTTCGGCGACGTTCTGATCAAACGTCTGGAAGAGACAGGACGATTCGAGTTCTCGAGCTCCGTCGTGGGTGGTGTGGAGAAGAAAAATGTCTAGATAGGACTACTGATAAGTAGATTCGGACTTGTTTACCAGCGTTACTTACCACTACGCTCCTTCTTCAGTCTTCGCTCATTGATTTTCGTTCTCTACTTAATATTGTTCTCGCTACTACTCGTATTTATATCGTATTCTTGGGGTTATTAGGCCCGGTTCTATGGCTATGGTGTGGAATGGAAGTGGAAGGGTTCAATCGAGGAAAGGTAGCCTCTGTTCGCCCTGGCGAGCGCTACACGCTCTATACCTGTTGCATCTGGATCGAGGGTATCCAATTTAAACGCCAGGGGGCTCTTCCAACGGACTCCAAGTCTATATTCACTGGAAGTAGGAGGCGGACAAGAACCTCGTCGCCCACACCAGACGTTCAACAAGTGGGTCATCCTGCGTCCGCGACATTTGTCAGCAAATATGTACTCGCTTGTGTGGCGCATGTACGGCGATCGAAGGGCGCTAAGAAGTGATCAATAAGCCGACTGAATAAACCAATAGATCAGCCATTTAACCTATGGCGCGTTGTCAACGACTTAGACTAGGTATAAATAGGGGAAATTGACCCACTCCCTCATTCCGAGTCCATGGGATTCTGTATGTTCGCTAGTCTCCAAAACATGAGCAAGAAAGTCATCATCGTGGGCGACCACGGTAACGTCAGTCAAATTTCCACACAACCAAGAGTATTAGTGTGGGTAGCGTTGCTTATGAATCGTCTTCCGTAGAACTGAGTAATGTATGGAATCGCAGAGGGACGATGTGGCGTCGATCCTGGCTCTCCTCGTTGATCGAGAGGATGCAGCTGGGCTAGCCATCGATTTGGTGGGAGGAAATACTCCCATCGAGGAGGGTCTGGATGCGTTCGTCAGAAAAGACCTCACAGATTGGTTGGGATAGACATTAGAAAGTTGAAGATAATCCGCAGTATTGAATGGGTGGAGACGTACAATATTAACAATTACGGACTACACTGTCGTCTTATGAAAATTAGCTCTTTCAGTCTCAAGAGCGTGAATTGGACGAACGCACCTTCTATACATGTCGTACAACACCTGCCTTCAACAAAAAGACGATGGCGTACGGCTCCGGAAAGCCGCTCTGTCCAACGGCCGGATAACGACCGTGAAGCCCTTCTCGTTGAAGGCAAGCAACTCCTTCCTCGCCTCGGGCTCGAACTTATCATGCCTGGGAGGAAGGATGGCGATCGACTTGAGGCGCTTGTTGGGGTGCTGCCTGTCTTCCTCGCTTTGAGCCCATCTGGCGCGAATGATTTTGATGACGGTCCTTGCCTGGAAATAAACCTTGCCGGAGAGCCGCAGCGTCTCGAGTTTGGGCAAGAGGGGTGTCTCGTCTTCTGGTGGGAGAGTGAGGAAGTTGAGCAGCTCGTCGCAGGCAACACGGTGGATCTGGAGCACCCTCAGCTCGGGCGTGTGGATCAGACAGGTGCGGATCGTACTCGTGTCGGTCGACACGCCAAACGTCAACTCCTCGAGCTGGGCACCTGATTTGGCGAAGAGGGGCACAAGCGTCTGCGAGGGGTTTGTGGTGATGACGCGTTTGTCGTAGTACATGAAGAGGCGCCGGAGGTTGGGGAATGCAGGGAGATGGTGGACCTGCATGAAGATGTTGTAGAGGAGGCCCGTGCTGAGGTGCAGGGATGTGAGAGTGCTGTGGGCGGAGGCTTCCGGTGGCTCAGTGGGGAGGATTTGGCCGGGGGTCATGCGCATGGGCTGGATGAAACATTCCTGCAATTTTGGGCCGACCTCGAAGATGCGTGGAATGTCGACAACGGAGACAGGGCCGTCGTAGGACGTAAGTTGGTGCCACGGAAGTGCGCGGTAGTCTGGGATGAAGGGAGAGGCGATGGCCACATGCCGTAGGAGAGGGGCGTTCGAGAAGAACCCTAGGTGTGCGCGGGGTGTTTCGTCCGTCCAGCGTAGAGAGGCCTTAATTTCGACCGAGCGGAGGGAAGGGAGGTGACCTTGTATGCGGCTGAGACCTTCTATCATCACGATGCTGATATCGAGAGAGACATGTTCCCAGCGAGGAGAAAGTGAGATGAGCAATTCAGCAATTTCTTCAGAGTACGGTGCATGATGGCGGACGTGGAGGGTCAGCGGACAGTCACCAGATCGCTTGACAAGAAGTCTAGGTATGCACAGCTCATGCTGGAGCGTCGAAGCGTCAATGTAGATGTTTGTCCAGAGCTGCGGAGTGGAGAGGGCCACATTTCTCCAGTGCTGGTTGACATGAGCCAGGACCAGGGCAGGCCTCAGCGTCCTCCTGCTGATCTCTGAAGGAGGGGACAAAGGTAGGGCTAGGGTGAAGATGTAGGACAGGATTTCGGGAGGTAGCTCCCACACAGGTGCGATAAGGACCCGATACTTGTTTGCAAACTCTTGCACGTTTGTACGTTCGCGTTCGAGGTCTCGGAGGAGGCGCTGTATCTGCACTGCAGCGCGGTCAATTTCAGACAGGCGCGCGGATGCCTCACTAATTGCATGGCGAATCTGGATTTCCTCCGCCGGCATTGGAAGATATCGTGTTGTGTTTTCGAGCAGGTGTTCAAGAGGAGATACCAGTGGACGTTGCAAATCCGAGATGCGTGCTGATAATCCTTCAAAGAAATCATCTTCATCTCGGTTGAAGAGCGTGGTCGTCACTCCCTCACTGACGACACTGTAGAAGGGGCGAGATGAGGTATTTTCGGAGGTACAACGAAACGGCGACCCACATTGTCACATCTTGGCCCATACCCACTGACATTCCGTTTATGACACCGTCGTCGTCCACCTCAGTCGTTGTTCTGTTTGTTACGAGGCAAGCAAGAGCCGTAGGCAGAGTGTGAGGTACTTACAGGTCCAACTTCGAAATGTTCATGTTAATTTATGAGGCACCAAAGTGTTAATATGTTGGAGAAATTCGATTAATCACGGTTCTCATACTGAGCTGCGCGTTCGGGTGAGTTTGTAGATCCAATGTGGACGTTTGAGTTAGCTTAGCTTGATTACGTCAACAATGTTGCACGTCTACAGATCGGTGTTTGCCGAGCGGAGTTGAGAAGATACTCTTCCCCCACTGCTGCCATTTCTCGACTTTCCCTTGGTTACATACTCTGAAATACGGGCATCATACCGAAACTGCTGCATTTATGACTCTACGCCTGACAGGTTGAATCCAGAGTCTCGTCTAAACAGTCTTTCTCCGACACAGGCAAGTACTATTCTGGCATTATTTCGCTTGATTGATGTCGTTTTGTCATTTATTCTGAGCATGTTCAATTCAGATGGAAAATCAAGGGACATGGATGCCTCCCCCGTACAACCTTTTGACGCCACCAGTGAAGCTTTCAACCGCACATGTTGCTAAAGATCCTTCCGTCTCCAGTAATTTTGCTCGTCTCGCGAAATGGTGAGACTCTTCCGGAAGTAACATTCCGAGTGCTCACAGTTTGCCCTGCATTGAAGGTCTCCCGATGGCTCCGTTTTTCTTGCGCAATGCGAGAACCGCGCTTTCGAATTGTTCGGGATGTGCGCAACTTCTTTTTCTGTATTATTTCTTTGCGTGAAGCGTCCCTTACCTTCTAGCAGGTCACTGAACACAAAGGAAAACCAGAGTATGTCCTCCGTGTGGCGTGCGTTACTGCGTCCAGGAGTGATAATTTTCAAGTCACCCAGTCGATGAGCACTCTCCCACAAGCATCCTCGATCTTGGACTTTAGGTGGTACCCTACAGCGTCTGCCCATGATCCCTCTTCGTTTTGTTTTGTGGCATCAGTACGAGAATGCCCAGTAAAGCTTCTTGACGCCTCAGATGGGAGAGTACGTGGTTTCTTGCTTAATTTCTTCTTGAGCCTGATGTTGGAAACCACGTTTAGCTTCGTGCATCATACAAGATCGTTGACCACAGGGAACGCCAGATTGCTCCTCATAGTTTGGCATTCGACTTAACAGCCCAAAAGTTAGTACCAAAGAGATGGATGGTTATGACAGCTAACGATTTGGCATTTCGGCAGGTTATACTGCGGCTTTGAAGACGCCATCGAAATATTTGACCTGTCTCGCCCCGGTGAAGGTACCCGGATGCACACGACTCCTTCAAATAAGAGCAAAGATGGTCTAAAAGGTGAACCATCCCATCCGCGTTCTGAAAAGCGATATCGTATTCATCAACCCAAGGTATCATATCTGCGTTGGCATTTTCACCATCGTACAGCACGGACGAATCCTTCTACGCCGCTGGAAGCTTCACACCGTCAACAAATAACATCGCGATGTTCAGTGACCAACAAGAGACTCCGCTAATGTTCGTTTCTGGCGGCCCTCGAGCGGGAGCCACACAGGCAAGGCGATTCCTCTTCACATTTGGCAAACTTCTAAAACCCCTGCAATCCGATCGCTATGACGATTAGCTGCAATTCAATCCTACCAAACCGCATCTCCTCTACGCGGCTTATCGAGGAAGTGGGACAGGATCGATCTACTCGTGGGACGTCCGCTCAAACGTCGATGCCCCTCTTGAAATTCTGCAGACGCCAGCTAGCACGAATGCGAACTCCAAATCGAACCAGAAATTCCGATTTGACGTTGACATCGCAGGACGGATGTTGGGTGTCGGCGACCAGGTGAAGGCGTCTCTCGCAAGGTATCTCGATCTCTCTAACCGTCATTTCAGCTAGGAAATGTCTCCATATTTGATCTTGAGTCTACCAACAGCGAAGTGGACAGCAACATGCGTGACATTGGGATGGATGATGCCCCTTTAGTCCGGCAGCCTACACTCGTGTACAAGGCACACGACGGTGAGTTACCATTCAGTTTACGTCTCGAATCAACATCCTCAGCCACTTCCGTAACTAGATGCCGTTGGATCCGTTGCCTTCCACCCGTATATGCCAGCGATTCTAACGACGTCAGGCTCGCGTCATTTTACCAACGAATACGATAAAGAGGAGGACTCATCTGAATCCTCTGAGGAGGAAGATGGTGATGCCTCGAGACCCTCTGATAGGAGGGAGTGCACGGTCAGACGGCCAAATCCTTCTCATCCTGTTACCTTCGACTCCAGCATCAAGGTATGGAATTTCGAGGAACAGGGTAGTCGTAGCCAGTTGTGTCAATCCGTACCTCAGTAAAGGACTCAGAGACACAATCCTCGTGGTCTAAAATTACCAGCAGAAACTGGAACACTCAGGTTCGTTCAGGATTGCCCCATGTCTACTGGCTATTGAGACCCAGTAGTGCCGTTCAACAATAAGCGCTGATGATATTCCCGTTTAGATCTTCTATTGAAGTGGAGACGCGCGCTTTGTGGTGCGTCTCGATCGTCGTCCATGTGGTTCAATATTTGAATAGTCAGCAGTTAAGTACAGGACATGAGACTCCCGATCGTTCCTTGTACTCACAATCGGCAAGACAAAAGGATTCAAAACATCCGCTATCCGCAAAGGATACAAATCTTGCCAAGACGGAAGGTCAGAAATCCAAGGTCGCAATGCGTAGGCGACGTCAAGTTTACAATTTAGTGTACACGATTAGTTAGGAATCAACACTCGCGCATTGTCGCGCGAAGGTAATAGTGGCAGTAAAAATTATGACTGGGTAATGTCCGTGCTCTTTACCTATCTTACAACACCGAGAACCTGCATATATATCACTGTCCCAGGGAAAAAGAATATGGAGACTTAGACCGCCTCAGCACCGGTATATGGCGTGAGCGGGCGATGATCCAACGGCGAGTCCGGCGGCGAGCTCTCACCACTATCGCGCGCGTCAGAGGTAGGCATGAGTGGGATAGGCGTAGGAGTAGACGGGTGGTCTTCGTGGATACGTTTCTTCATCACGATCGTGACGATAGGGCCGGCCACCGGAGGTGGTGGCGGGGGTGACGACTGACCCTTGACAGTGGCAACCTGCCCGCCGGAGCCCATGGGCGCGGACGTCTGGCGCACGTAGGAGGCAGTGACTGCTTGTTGCGCGAGGTGCGAGTGTGTACGGGTGACGATCATGCAGAAGATAACGCCCTGCAGGAGTTTGTTAGAGTGGATAGGGCAATCTCCGGAAAAACGAAGCGTACGATGACTGGGTTTGTCTGTAAAACATGGAGGTCAGGAATTGCGCAGTCCAGGTGTACGCGGAAAGCTTACCATGCCGACGGTTATCCATACCACGTTAGAGCTAATGATCATGAATGCCAGCGATAGGATAACGAGCACGCTATGAACCAGTCAATATTTTGCCGCAAAGGACGAGAGTCGACTGCTTACCCATAAAGCGCGGCACTTTGAATTAATATTTCAAGGATTCTCTGAAGAAAATTAGTCTCGTAAGCGACGTATGGAGGCGAACGCGACCCACAGATAATCCAGAAGGGGCTGTGTCCATCACTCGCAAGTTGCGTTGGGACATTGCAACTCGGAACGCAATAAGCGCTGTTGGGGCCGTTCGTTCATAAACACTCGCGCAAGATGCCATGTCGGTACGTACTTGTGCAGTAGAAATTACAACTATCGATAACTTCAGATCGAGCTGCCTTCAGGGAAAGAGAGGAACATACAGGAAAGTTATCGAGAAACATGCGAGGATCCATCGGCGTGACACGCCAAAGATAGTTTGCCTGGAGTTCTGGAAGAGCCAGGTCGTGACCGTCCCTGTAACTGATGGACCGTCATTTGAGAGGAAGACGCAGACGAGGGACAGATCATACTAAATAACGATATCCAGAGAAGGATAGGAAGGATGGTTATCGGACGATTGTAAGACCAAACGATATACAGCCGGTATATCTGGTATAAAAAGTCCATTAATAAATGTTGCAAGAGCGGAAGTAGGTCGACCTACGAGGAATCCGTCGGCGATGAGGGTCGTCGTGACGTAAAGGGCAGAATACGCGACGCTGGACGGGTGATCCAGGGACATGTAGAACAGCTGAGCTGGGTTGATTTGACCAGCTTCAATGGTAGTAGTCTCGTCTTGAGGCAAAATAAACGCTTTGAATGAGGCGTAGATATCGATAATCAGATGCTAACAACAAGGTGAGAAGTCAGACAACAGAGATGAGAGCGGAAAATAGGTCGAACGCACCGCGGTTATCGTTCCGAACAGGATCCATGCCACGATGAAAATGGGCTTGAAAAGTGTTTCGTCTCGAGCTTTGGATCGTCGCCAGAGGACTTCGTTACACCGGATAAATAGCACCCAGAAGACACCTGAAGAGCGAGTGAGGAAAAGGTATGACATATGGCCATCTTCGCAACGTACCATTAAACAGGCATTCAAGGATAAGACCGGCCAAATGGGCGACATCGAGGGGAGGTTTGTTTGTGAGGGGGGAAGGCATCTCGTCAACGACTGAGAGATGGTGGTGGGGACAAGGAAGTGCCTCGCTTTCCGGGAGGAAGTGAAGAAACCATGGAAAGACGTACGACGCTCAAATATAGATGAACAAAGAATAGACGATCGGGAAAATGGAGACCCAAGGGCCTAGAAAGTGTATTGAAGGAACAAATCCACGCGAGTTCAAGGAAATTTGGGATTTGAGTAAAATTTGAGGGATAGATTTACTATAATAGTGAAGCGAAGGCAAGAAAAGACATGCTGTGGATCTCAATTACTCCAGATTTGGGCCGCAGGGAATGACGTCCCGCAACGTCCCAGAGTGGCAGACCCGGTGTTGTGTTGTGAGACATCCAGAACCAGAAGGAGTGGAGCGCCCTGGAAGACAATAGACGAGTTGTACGCCGAATGTCTAGAACCTGAAGAGAGTATTCTTGGAGGGAGGGAGTGAACGTGCGCAGGTAAAATTTCCTCAAAGATGTCCACGATTCCGTCCTAAAGGGCAGATTGAAAGCCAAGAAAGACATTAGCATCAATTCAGAGTGGATGACGAGCAGTAGAAGGATTACTTGGGTAGTTTCCATAGTTCGGTGGCGTTTTCAGAGTCCATCGACGGTATCATTGCCTTCGCAGTGACTGGACGGAAGAGAAACACGAAGACGGAGCTGCGTGGGAAAACGGTAACGGCGCGTGTGTCACGGAGAGGGTGACGCGACGCGACGCGCGTCCGCCGTCGTTGCAGTTCTCGACTCATTCCCAATAGATCCCAATCAGCCGAGGGCTCGCGTCATGACTGGTCAGTGTCTTGCCGATGTATCAGGCGATCCTGTGTTACACGTTGTGTGCGACTTTCTTGGGCAGCCCTGACATAGTTATCTCCTATTTCGCAACTTCATCGCTCGGCTTGCATTGCGTATCCCTCTTCACCCATTGCGATCCCATACTTACGTCACCCCTCGAAGTCCCAAGTCGGAGCTATCACGAGTTCGCAGAATGCGTAATCCTGCGAGCCATCGTGCGGTAGACATCTCACAATTTTATTTAAGAGGCTTCCTGACAAGTGAAAGGGACGGTATCTGAACATCGCAAATGCATTCGAGAGGACTCGTATTTTCAGCACTTTTTGCTCTGTTGAACCCGCACGTCGGAGCCTCTGTCCTAGGGCCTCCGTCGACACTGGTCAAATTATCGTATGGCTCATTCGAGGAAAAGGCGGCGGAGAATCTGGTTGAATTCCTGGGCATACCTTTCGCAGTTCCGCCGTACATTCTCCATCTTTCTTTCATAAACGCTGCTGATTGAAAATTGGGCCCTTGCTAGTGTCGGGAGGCTCAGATTTGCACCACCTGTACCCCCAACACCGTTCAAAGGCGTTCAGCAAGCGACTTCTTTCGCAGCTGCTTGTGCCAAGCAGGTGTTTGAAAACCCGTTATTTCCAGGCCCTACCACCCCTCCGAAGACTGTACGCACATCTGGCACCCTCATTCAATATCTCGTAGTGCTCATAATAATTTTAGGTCTTTATCTCAATGTAATCAGGCCGGCGATGATTCCATCAGGTCGAAAGCTACCTGTTCTCGTCGTAAGTGCTCTTGGTTTTTTGCTCTCCTTTTTATTCAAGGCTAACAAATTGTCAGTATATCTATGGAGGTATGACTCTAGGAAGAAGGGTCGATGACATTGGCTAAATAGCTCGCTATCTAGGCGGCTTTGTGATTGGAGACACGACCCAAGTTTATGGCAACACTTTGGTGAATAGGTCATTAGACCTCGGAGAGCCGATTGTTTACGTGACAGCGGCCTATCGTCTGAATGGTAAGGATCTCGCGAGTCATTTCCTCATCTGTCATTGACGTTTTCCTTCTAGCTTTCGGTTTCTTGGCGGGTAAAGAAGTTAAGGATGCAGGAATAGGGAATTTAGGTCTGCGAGATCGTGCGTGTAATTCTTTATCTTCTTCTTTTGTGGCCCTGACCTTTTACTGCCCAGAACAATTTGCTCTAGAATGGGTTCAGAAATATCGGCGCGTTTGGAGGCGATCCAAAGAAAGTGACCATGTAAGACTACCAATTCTACCTTGATATTTACTACACGATAATCATACAATAAAAAGCTGGGGTCTCAGCTCTGGTGCAATCTCTGTCGGCTTCCACATGCTCTCGAACGACGGTAACCCTCAAGGTTTATTCTGCGCCGCCGCCATGGTACGTACCCACGATCCATCCCTCTCTCCTTCCACTGATCTACGCCTCCCTTCCGACAGGAATCAGGCTCTCCACTCGTTCTTCCCGACATTCTCCAGCAACAGAGATATTTCGACAGCGTTGTTACCGACACGAACTGCACCACTGCGCCTGACAAGCTCGAGTGTCTCCGAGATGCCCCGTTTGAGCAGCTAGTAGCTGCAGTCGACCGCACACCGTCGCTGTTTGCGTACCAGAGCCTGAAGGTCGCGTGGATGCCCGTGGTTGATGGGGTTGTTATCGTGAGGGATCCACTTATTTCGTTGCAGGAGGGGAAGTATGCAAAGGTGGGTAAGCGTGGAGATCGTCCTTAATTCTGTGTTCATAGGGGTTTGGTCTGTTTTTAGATACCGTTTATCACCGGGACAGTGGAGGATGAGGGAACGTAAGTCTCTTTTAAAAGTTTCTATAGGCTGACGTCCTTCAATGAACCGCCGTTCTCTAGTCTGTTCTCGTTGGGAAACATGAACATTACGTACGTGAATTTGATCCTTGCCTCTTCTTCACCTCATAGCCTCTTTCTTCACGCAGAACCAACGCCCAGTACCTCGAATACATGAAATCCAAGTAGGTTCGATTTCGAAGTCTCAAGTGAGGCCTTCTGATTCTATGTTCATTAGCTACTTCCCATCTATCTCGGACGCCGATTTGGCAGCGTTGGAGGTCGCTTATCCTGATGACGTCACACAGGGCTCGCCATTCGATACGGGCACGGCCAATGCTTTGACGTGAGTAAAGACCATTCTCACTGTTCCAAGCACTCGACTCATCGTTCCTATAGCCCACAATACAAATGACTTGCGGCAGTCCAAGGAGACTATGGTTTCCAGGCTCCACGTCGATATTTCTCCCAGTTCGCGTCCAAGACTCAGCGTGTGTATGGCTACAGTATGTCCCTTCCTTCTTCGTGCAGCAGCTTCTTGTTGAATACCACTCTCATAGGGTATCTACGCCACAGCGCCACTCCCTCACCGCTTGGCGTCATTCACGGCGGCGACATTGATGAATTTGCTGGGGTTGGTAACGGCACCGACTTCATTGGCGCAGACGCTCTCAGTGCGCAGACTTTTTCTTCCATAATATACCTCGCTCATCAAACGTTTCAAAAAGTCTACTTCACTCGAAACCTCGATCCAAACCCACCTGCAGACGAAAAGCCTGCTCCGGAACGCTAATTGGGCGCCTTATGGTTCGTCTTTGGGCAACCCACCGCTCCTCACGTTTATCGACTCCGAACCTCTGGTCAACATCACTTTTGACACATACCGAAAGGAGCCAATGGCGTTGCTGACCAGGTTGTCGATAAATGAGATCGCGGGGAGGAGTGTTTGAACGTTTGTTGAGTCTGCTCTCAATTTTGTTGTTTTCATTTCTCTGTGCTTATTTGGCTTGAGAGCATTAGAGATTTTTGCGTGTCTTGATACTTACAGAATATGTAGCACGAAAAGGTGCTGGCCCGTCGCGGCGGCATAGTGCAGCCATCAAACGTTCTACTAGGAGTGAGAATGACGCGATCGAGGAATTCGAGAATCCTAGGAGCCCTGTTTGTCCCTGGAGCCACTCGGAAGACTCTGCTGCCGCAGGTGTTCTGGCAACTAGAGAAGCGTCGGCTGTGACCAGCCTCCATAACCCTTGCTTGCAGACGATTTCCCTCTTGGTCAGGAATATATTCTGGCTTTTTGTACAGGAGATCAGGGGCTTTCATGTATTTGAGAGCGGACATGCATACTTCCTCGCTACATTACACTTGGGGTGAAGACAATCCACATCCACGCATCCACAAGGTGGAAATATTTGATTGTTCTGCCCCTTTCACAATATGATCGTCTATTAAGTATTTCCAGGTGTTCATATGAGGGTCTGGTTAGATTGCAGTCGCGTCAGCTGCGTTTGGTTGTCAGAGCTGTGTGTCAAACGATTTTCCTTGTCTGAGTGAGGTCTTGGAAAACCTAACCACTGCACCATTCGTTTCCACCAGCTCGGAACGTTATCTGAACCTCTGAGATTGTTAGGTATTGCCTTGAATTCTTAATTTTGCTCCCATTATATATTACCACTTTCCCATTTTATTTCTAGCTTTTGTCATATCTTTTTGGCTTTTGTATCTATGAATTCATTGCATAAAACTTTCGTCCCGGCTTGAGCTTGGGACCATCGCCGTTTCCCTTATCTTATGTTTGAATCTCGATGCCAAGTCCCTAGGGAACGAGATTTGGCGCCGAAATGAATAAGCGCTCATTTTGTCCAATCCCACGCTCGGAGCTCCGTCTGTGTCAGTGGTCTCTCTTTCCTGCCCTCTGCATGGCCTTACAAGGTAGAAAATCAAGACAATTATACTCTATTGAATGAGCTCTGCCCTTGCCCTGCCCCTTTTCGACGAACTTGAAATGCGATTACATAATATTCATCGCCCTCACGTGCACCACTTATTAGTCGGCAAAATCCGGTTGCTCGAATCTGAATAAGGGACCTTCCAAGCAAGGGAATCAAAGCATTCAGTCAACTGCCCATACCCGTCTTACCCTTTGCCAGTGCCGTCAGACGCGTTCGAGCGGCTTGAACGCTCATGGCCTTCCTTCACCTCCTCCTTTCTATATAATCGGTTGCCACTCGAGATCTCTGGATTGTCGACATGCCGTCCCTCTCCGTCGCTCGTAGTGCCAATGCAGCCTTTACCCCCACCTATGTCCCCGCCATGGTCATCACTGGCGCCACCTCAGGCATAGGGCGGGCCATTACCGAAGCATTCGCTCGCCACCAGCATGGACGCGTCCATATTGTCCTCGTTGGGCGCAACCATCAAGCAGCAGAAGCAATCATCTCATCCCTCCCTACGTCCAAGGACTCGACGTACGAGTTCTTCCCGTGCGACCTCACGCTGATGAAGAATGTCCACGCGATGGCGAGGGAACTCCTCGCGCGCTTGCCGAAGATCAACTTTCTTGTGCACTGTGCAGGATTTGCGGATCTCAAGAGCAGAATTGACACCGAGGAGGGCATCGACGTGAAGCTCGCGGCGCGATACTACCAGAAGTTCGCGCTGACGTACGATCTGCTTCCTCTCGTCCGGAAAGCGAAGGATCTGGGTGAGGCCGCGAGCGTCATAGACACTTTCGGGGCGGGGATGCCGTCGTTCATCGAAATGGAGGACCTGGGGTTGAAGAAAACGTACACGGCGTGGAGGGCTCTGGCCCATAGTGGGCCCTACAACGATCTTATGATGGCTGTAAGCCCATACTTTCCTCCATGATCTAAGACGCTCACACATCCTTGACCCTCAGGAATTTGCCCGTCGCGAGCCTGAAATTGCGTTTGTCTACACAGGCGTTGGATTCGTGTACACCTCCATCTTAACCACGTCGAATCCGATCCTCTGGCTCCTCTTCCTCCCCCTCCGCCCTCTCTTCTGGCTGCTGATGATGTCGGCGCCGGACTACGCGGAATACGCGCTCTTTGCGATGCTCGATGCGGACAAGGGTCTCCATCGTCGGGACCAAAAGGGAAACGACATTGGGATGAAAAACTTCCCGCAGGTTAAGGATGGGCAGAGACTCATGTGGGAGCATTCTGTCGTGGAGACGCGTGTGCAGGTCGAAGAGTAAACGTTAACTCCTGCAGTCGCTGTTTATGTAAATATTTCATCGTGTTCTCCCTTCTCCCATAAATAGTTGAGCCCAATTGTTTTCTTTTATCTGACGCACCATCGGGACCAAGGCGAGCGGGGTCGAGTAAAGTTCAAGTAAAAACCAAATGCAAACGCGTCTTCTTAAATTCTGTCAGATCCCCGAACTCCCGTCCTCAGGCCTCAGCGCGAGCGGTCACCCCTTGATTATCTTATCTTATCTTTTACCTTCGTTCATTAAGTCACCATTTCTCACCCCTGTTCCTGGTTGTCGAGCCAGCGTCCCCACAACTCCACAACTTCCTGTCTCTCCTGTTCCATGTCTGCGCTCATTTCGCATAGTAGAGTCTAGCGGCACGCCTGCATGGAACGATAGAACCACATCAATAGATAAGGTCGCAGCGAACTCCATACACCAGCCCCACGCAAGCTCACGCATGACGTGGACACATGCGGATGGAACGTGTAGGGAACGAAGGATCCTGACAAACAGGTAAGAGCAACATCATACTGAACAAGTCAATCATCGAATTCACCACGCCTTTCACCTTCAGATGAACCTAGACATTATACGGCTTCGTGGGACGAACATTAGCGACAACGTCTTGAAAGACGGAAGAGAGACAGACATTGTTATTCCGTGCGTCTCCCGATTTTAGATGCGTCTATGATCATTTACGCAAAAATTAGTGTTATGGGTCCGACTGGTGCTGGAAAGAGCACGGTTTGCAGCCTTTTACTCTGCGAGATAACACTCTCTTAAAAATTTCGTGGCAGTTTATCAACATCGTTCTTGGGAAGGACCAGCTCCAAGTCGGCCACAGCGTGAACTCTTCTACGGTTCAACTTGCTCCAGTCGTTGTCGACCTCGCCGCTCATTCTTCCGAACCTGCGGAATCCCGTTTGATTCTCGTTGATACACCTGGGTTCGACGATACCTTCGTGGACGACGTGGAAATTTTGAGGCAGATTGCCAACTGGCTTGCTGCCTCGTAAGTGGAATCATAATTCATAGCGGCTCTTCTTAAGACACATCCAGTTATCGGAGACGTATGCCGATTGGTGGCGTTCTCTATCTTCACGATATATCGCTCAAGCGCTTCACTGGGACGGCACGGAGGAATCTAGAGATGTTTCGTCGCTTATGTGGCCAAGACGCACTCCCGAAAGTCATTGTTGTGACGACTAGTTGGAACCTGGACACCCTGGAATCCCGCGAGCGACGCGAAGTGCAAATGAAGTCTATTCACTGGAAGCCCATGATGGACGCAGGTGCTGAAGTCCGCCGGTTTGACGGAACCTATGGGTCTGCTTGGGAAATTGTGAATGTCTTCCTCCAGCGTGCGGCGAACACTCGCCGAGACGCTCATCTGAGGAGGATTGTCCCCCTTCAGATCCAACGTGAGTTGGTGGACTTCAAACTGTGCATTCCGCAGACAGACGCTGGAAAGGTGCTTCTCTCGACTCTGGAAGAGGCCCTCCAAGCACACAAGACGATCCCCGCTCTGGAAGAGGCTGCGGAAGCCGGAGATCCCAAAGCAAAGGAGAAACTCGACGAATTGCAGGCGAAAATCCGCGACCTTCAAAGGCAAATGCAAGCTCTTAAAATATCTCTTCCGCAGCGGATCCTTCAGTGGTTTCGCATTCTGGTGCGTGGTGTACATCAGAACCTTCCTTCCCGCCTAAGCGCTCAATATTAGCAGCAGTGATTGCTTGATAAGTTGAGGCGCTGGAACGTAACCTCGTGCATCCGACCCCGTTTCACCTTCATGTTTTTCGGATAATTTATTGATTCTTGGAAAGACCCGAATTCCGAAGATCTAGATCAGCATTCAGTGAATTCGAGATGCTTGGGATAGACGCCCCTCAATGGAAATATCAATATCTGTTCTCCACCGAATGCCCCTTGCCCTACCCTTTCTTTGTATCACGCGATTGGCTTTTCTCAACTGTCCCAAAGACACGCACCTACCGCAACAATACCGCAAGGTGAACACAATCCAAGCTGTCATGAATGACATATCTTCGCCCACACTCCTTTACGTACTACCCTACGCACGGTGCCACAACCTTCCGACCCGCGCTTCAATTTCGTACCTCGACACTCAATACCCTGCTGCATTGCCTAGATATTGTCTTCAAAAATGGCGAAAAAATCTGGAAAGGGTCCCAGTCGTAAAGCAGCCATCGTGAACGATGGCATCTTTCGAGAAGGAAGAAAAACGGATATTGTGGTCCTGTGGGTCTTCATCGATTAACCTTGCGCTTATCATGATTGAGATTAGCTGTAGAGTCATGGGTACAACCGGCGCTGGAAAGAGCACGGTGCGCAAACTCGACCTTGAGCCTTAGTGCCCTCACTCACAATTGCCTTCTGCTACTAGTTCATTAACACTGCTCTCGGGGAAGAGCGCGTGCGCGTGGGGCACGGGTTGTCCGTCTGCACCGCTGAAGTCCAGGCAGTTGTTGTCCACCCAGCTCCTGAGAACCGAATTCCCGAAGGCCATCGTCTCGTCTTAGTGGACACCCCAGGATTTGACACTTCCTATGAGGACGAGGAACAAACTCTACAACTGGTTGACGCCTGGTTCCAAGTCTAGTGAGCCGAGTGACCCCCTGTTTTCGTGAGCGTGCCTAATTATCCTTCCTGAAGCTACCGCAAGAAGGCGCCAACAGGTGGAGTCATCTACCTCTATAATCTATCCCATGATCGCTTCTCTGGCGTGGCGCGAAGGAGCCTGGAGAGGATCTGCCGTTTACGCGAGAGTGCTGGTCTGGGAAAGGTTGTTCTGTCAACTACGAATGGGGGGATGCTCCATCAAGAAGAGCGCGAGCGCCGTGAACTCAATCTCAGAGACAAATTTTGGAAATCCACGATCGAGGCGGGGGCCGAGGTTCACCATTTCCAGAAGGAAGCGACGTCGGCGTGGAATATTATCGAGGCTTTTTTACCTGTCCCTGAGTTGGGAGCAGCTCCCAGCCTTCTCTCGTCTAGAGACGCCTCTACTCTTCCGCCGGATGATCAGGCGTCCGAGCATGTCATGGCCGTGGAACAGGGCCAGAATCCCGCTATCACTAATGACGCGACGTTGGTCGATAGCAGGCGAACGGACATTGTGATTCCGTACGTTCTCGTTGATTTCATCTGTATCCCCCCTTAATGATGTTGAATCTAGTGTCATGGGTCCAACGGGTGCCGGGAAGAGCACGGTAAGTGGGTCAGGAGTTAAGTTGAAACCACCCCCCTAACCCAGGCGGATGTCGTAGTTTATCAATCACGCTCTAGGAGAGAAGCAGTTAGCAGTCGGCGACGACATAACCTCCTGTACAACGATTATTTCCCCTGTGGTCATCGGTCCGATCCCAGGCTTTCCAAGCCTCAAAGGCTATCGATTGGTGCTTGTTGACACGCCGGGCTTTGACGACACCGTTGTGGATGACTTCAAGATGTTGGAACGAATTTCTGCTTGGCTAGCCGCCTCGTGAGCTAAACTCCCTGATGTATGTCGAATTAATCTTACCATTCGACCAAGGTACCGCCACGAAATGGCCATCGGCGGGGTCCTCTACCTCCAGGATATATCCAATAAGCGCTTCACAGGCACCGCGCGAATGAACCTAGAGATGTTCCAGCGGTTGTGTGGAGATGCTGCTCTTAACAAGGTCATCCTTGCAACCACGAACTGGGGAAAGAGCACCTCCGAACGCGACCAGCAACACGAAGAAGAAATGCGGGTTCACCATTGGAGTACCCTGCTTCAGCAAGGTGCTGAAGTGCGCCGATTTCTAGGAAGTTCCGCCTCTGCTTGGGACATCCTCAACGTTTTTATTCAACGTGCCGATAATGCTCGTCGCTTGAACGAGAAACCGCGGCCTCTTCAGATTCAAGAGGAAGTAGTGGATTGTCAGAAGTCTGTTCGTGAGACCATGGCTGGGAGATTTTTGCGTGCGGTTAGGGAGAAGGTAACAAAGCGGGCACAAATGAGCTGCGTCTTACAGTAAAACATGGTCGCTACTATTTATTAACCATGACCCCTGACTGATGAAAAGTTGGTCTTACTTTACGAATGGCTACCTGTACACTACCTTCTGCTCCGAATTGCTGTCGTGCCTCATGGGGTGTCCTCAAGGGAAACATGTTGAATTCGAGAAGGGTAGCAGAGATGCAGGATTGTTATTCATAAACCACGTCAATACGGTTGGCCATGTCACTCAGTCCTGAGTCATTCGACGAAGGTGGATGTCAATATTCCAAAATGTAAACACCAATGAGGGGCCGGGTGTAATCACCACTGACTTTGCGAGCGCTTCTGTAGTATGTACGAATGAGATTCCAAGGCTAATTCAACCGGCGTGAGGATGTCTCATTGACATACGTCAATTCAACCGCGACCTACGGAATGTTCAATGGATTATTGGACGACGCAAAGTGACTTCTTCTTGAATGTTTTCTCCTGCTGCCTCTCCTGTTCCCTTTTCTTCTCAGCAACACGAAGCAAATTTCCTCCTGCTTCAGTATTCTGGAAGCCGATACCCCTGTCCACCATCTCTTCCTGTATTTGAAGGACTCCTGGAGGACCATCTGCACGTCTAAGTAGGACATTGATAATGTCCCAAGCGGATTCCGAACTTCCCAGCAAGAATCGGCGTACACAGGCCCCCTTCTCAATGATTCCATTCCAGTGTCTAGCCTTCATCTCTTCTTCGCGCTCACTCAGGACATTGTTAGTAATGGAGTCCCAATTCGTGGTCACCATAATGGTGCGCTTCAGGCTGGCATCCCCGCAAATATGGCAAAGCGTATGTAGGTTCTTGTTTGGCGTACTTGTGAAGCGCCTGGTAGATATGTCGTGTAGGTAGAGAACTCCGCCTATCGAGGCACCTTTGCGGCGACTTAGGATAGAACATTAAATTTGCTCGCCGACACAAAAAGTGGACTACACTTACTACTGGGACAGCCAGTCGGCAATATTTTTCACGATGACTGGATCCTTTGTGTAGGTATCGTCGAAACCAGGGGTGTCAAGAATGACCAAACGGCGGTCCCTGAGGTTCGGAAAATTGGGAATGGGTATAATAATACCGGGGCAGGGCTCTGTGGTGCAAGAAGTCGTCTGGTGGCCAACTTCCATACTCTCTGTCCCAAGAAGGTGGTTTATAAACTACAAAGAAGTGTAATGTTAGTAAGAAATATCTCAGGATGGGCGTCCTGAGAATGATCTGGCTCACCGTGCTCTTCCCAGATCCAGTTGGACCGAGGACACTATGTAATCAGCGTAAATAAGGGCAAGGTTAGACTTGAATCATAGACACATACGGAATGACAATATCCCCTCCTTGAATGTGGAATTTCTCTGCATGAAGAGGCGGTTGTCCCATTGAACGGGATGAAGGGAGCACTTGGAAAGTCGAGTGTCGTGGCGATTCTGTTGAATGTGCGTTTGCTCTTCGCTCTTCGGTTCAATAACCTTCGGCTTCTGAGAAATTGCAGCAGCGCTCTGACTCACGGAAACTTCATGGCCACACTCTAGCAACAAGGTAGAAAACGCGTAACTTGTCATTCAGGTGCGCACGACGGCAAGCAATAATTCGTTGACGTGGGAGGCATGCAGTTTCCGTGCGAGTCCGGACAACTGACAACAGACAACACGTAAGATGACCCAGCCGCCCTTTAGCGTGTTTCGATCAGCAGATGTGAGCAGACGGCACGGTACAGAATGGATGCTCGTCTGATGATGAATAAGCCGTGAGGCAGGCCTCGCCGTGAGGCGTAGGTTGCTACAAGTTACAACGCCCTTCTTCCAATGTCGACGTTGGCGATGCTGCCTATTCAACCTCATGCACATGGCCAACCTGCGTGTCCTCCAGGTGTGAACAGAGTGAGTTTCAGGCTGAAAACGCATATATTGGTCTAGCAGCGCACTGATCGGGATGCATGGAGGGCGATAAAGGCCAATACGTACGACAGCCCATTGACAACATGACCCAGAGGAACTCGCTGGAGCCGCGATGCACCGAGTTTTCAGGGAGCCTGCAGACAGGATGACTCGTGGCCTTTTCCTTGAGTTGCAGAATGATATCTGACGTCTCCCAATCTACGGTCAAGCCAAGGTCAAGCCACGTGGTGGAGGACGGTGGCGGGCTCAACCGGGCCGGGGCGATCGCCAGCGCCTAAAGTGATCCCACGGATGACGCTTGCGCCTTGCTCTCGTACTACGTTCTCTGAGTCTCGGACGGGTAGAAAGTCACAGCAAACAATTTATTGGACAGATTTCAGGTAAATCTGTACTCTGTATTTATGTGCGATCAGATACAAAGTGACGATGAATTAAAACAATTCAATGGATAAATCGTCACTGGTTAGGATTACAACGCCATGTAAATAAGGGTTGCACAATGGGTAAATATGAGCTCAGAAAACTATTTCAACTGGGGATGGCCCCAGACCGTTTACCTAGCCCTTGAGATTGTATGTTTTTGGCTAGATTTAGAGGACATTCCCCTTCGCTTCGACGATCCGACTGAGTGTTGTTGAGGCCGCCTTACAGAGGCGGGTTTCTCTGTGCTTCTTGAGTGCATAGAAAGCTGCTTAAATCGAGCCTTGAGGGCCGTAACATCGATCTCATTCAGCTCATTGGAGAAGGGCGTTGATAATGCCCCAGGCAGATTCTGAGTCCCCCATGAATCGCCGCGTTTCAATTTTCTGGTCGAGGATAGATTTCCAGTGTTCTGTCTTCATGAATTCTTCGCGTTGCTCAAGTTCTTCGATGGTTGCGGATCCCCAGTTCGTGGTTACCAAAATCGCCTTGCTGATGCCGGCGCTGCAACAGAGGGACAAGAACAACTCTAGACTCTGGCGAGCACCGTGGGCGTATCGCTTTACCGATATATCGTAGAGGTAGAGGGCACCTGGGACAAGTTGCTTCTGGGCGGCACTATAAACAGAACTCAGCCGGATCGTAGCAAATATTGATCTCGACTCGCCTTTCCAATAGACAACCGACAACCTGTTGCATGATTTCGACGTTACTACACCCCACGGTATCATCGAGGCCAGGGGTGTCGACTAGAACCAATCGATAACCCTTCTTCAGGCTCATGCTGGGCAAACCGGGTTTGCTGTCGACGACCACTCGGTCAGGCTGGGTAGTACAAACGATTGCCTTGTGCCCAACATTCACTTGGTCTCTTCCGAGAGCGACGTTGACGAACTGCATCCGGGACGTCCCCAACTAGTCAGTGAACCATATCTCATGAACGCCCGAATGAGTAACGCGTACCGTGCTTTTCCCCGACCCAGTTAGACCCAAAATACTAGGTAGGCGTAATGCATGAGGTAGATCACTTTCTCAGTTAGAGATAGAAACGCACGGGATGACAATGTCTATCACGGGGAAATCATGCGAGCAGGGGGGGTCAAAGCGTTGCAGAAGGGTGCCGATGATGTCCCAGGCAGATGAGAGTGAGACTGGGTGGAATCGGTGTACTACAGCCCCATTCTCAAGAAGGTCTTTCCAGTGATCGCTCTTCATTTCCATTTCGCGCCGTTCAAAAGCCTCGAGGACAGATGCTCCCCAGTTTGTTGTCACCAAAATCGTCTTGCCGATAGCGTCATGCCCGAAAATCCGCGAAAAAAAGCCTAGGTTTCGAAGTGCGGCGTTCGTGACGCGCTTGGTCGTTATGTCGTGTAGGTACAAAACCCCACCCAATATCACGTTCGGGCCGAGGCTAAAATGTCGCATCAGACGTGTTTTTTCCTTGACTAAAAAGATGGCTTTACTGACCAAGTCTTCCAATCAGAGATGAGCTTCGCAGTTCCTAAATCATTCTCCAAAGTATTATCAAATCCGGGAGTGTCGAGAAGGACCAAACGGAAGTTCTTCAGCTTGGGACAGTCAGGAATGGTGTCGATCACAACTCTGGAAATCCCTGTGGTGCAAGGGTGCATGCCATGGCCCTCTTTCAAGTTTGCGTCTCTAGAGGCAACGTTGATGAACTACACACAAAACTCTGATAAGTGAGGACCACGGGCGAAGCTTAAGGGGACTACCGTGCTTTTCCCAGAGCCGGTCGGGCCTATAACACTGGAAAAGACGTTAGTTATTCAACGAATTCACCAGACAACGACGCACGGTATGACAATTTCTGTCTTTGTAGTCCCTTCATCATTTGTTTCACCGCACCGGGGGTTGGCTCCTTTCGTCGTCGAGTTCGAAAATGTATCCATTGGGTGTTGAAGCTCTCTGGGGTATGGGGTCGTGTTTCAAAGCTGGTGTTGAAAGCTTCATACACGTTGACGACTCTCGCCATGCAATCTGTGAAAATCGGGGCCATCTCACATGCACGCCATGCAGCATCCGCACGATGCGTGTCCGGTTCTTGGCATGGCGTAGCGCGAGCGGACGGATCTTTCATTTCATGCGACGTGTGAGATCTGCGTGGTGGAAAGGATGTGTTGACCACGGTGCGTCCACCGTTCGTAGGGGTCACAAAGCCACGGCCCGCCAGCGCTCCGTATGTGCCGACGATGAGCTCCCCTTGCAAAGTACCAGACAAAATCTTTGTCCAATTGACTGTCTCGAAATGTCTTATCTTCTGGTTGAGATACTTTTCCTTGTGATAAATTTAATTTGGAGAACGAGATAGCGAGCACTGGAGTCAATAACCTGAGCGATTTACGACTTGGGGGATCGAACTTCGGGGGGAGGATCAAAGGAGGTTTCAAAACAATCACGGACATGTGTAGAATAAGTATCCAACCCAATCGATCACTTTGGAAAAAGCGTTGTGAAAGACAGATGTCATCACTCTATACCTGAGTACGGGAGCTTGCCCTATAGCCCCAAGCACCCTTAATTCATCCAACTAGACTGGAAGATTTTCGACGCGTCGGCTGTAGCTATCCTTCAGCACTGCAATCACATAACACCTGTGGAAAGCACCCACCAGGAGGCCAAACATCTTCATGAGCTTCTTCGGAAGGGAGAGCTTCACTCGTAGCTCCTGGACCTGATTCTGAAGCTCCTGCATCTTTTTCTCTGCATCTTTGAGGTTAGCCCGTGCTTCGGAGTCACCGTTCTGCATGAGCGACTTTTCTAGTGTCACGGTTTCATTTTGCATCTTAAGGAGCTGTTTGAGAGTATACCGTAACTCTTGTCCTGCTTGAGTTTCTGGGATGGACATCCGGAACTCGAGGAGCTCCTTTTGGATCTGAAGGTCGAGAAGGCTGTCGACGTCGATGTGGCCCAGGAGGTGATTTAGGACGTCCAAAGCGGATTCTGAGTCTCTCAGGAATCGTCGCACCTTGACTCCCTTCTCAATTAAGGGGCTCCAATGCTCGTCCTTCATTTCACTTTCCCGTTGCTCAAGAATTTCCGTTCTACCCGACCCCCAGTTCGTGGTGACTAACTCAGTCTTCTCCAAAGCATCTTGCCCGCAAAGGCGAGAAAACATCACTAAGTTCTGGCGGGCTGTGCCAGTGAAGCGTTTTGCGGATATGTCATGGAAATAAAGTACACCGCCGACGAGGTTTCCTTCTCGGCAACTGCGGCGAAGAGATTAAACAAACGCTTGAGAGAGAGTCGAAGTTCACGCACGACTTTTCTAGCCATCTCGCGATGCGTCTCAGAATTTCTACGTCCTCATGGTGGGTGTCATCGAAGCCAGGGGTATCCAGGAGAACCAAACGGCAGCGCCTGAAGTGGGGGTCACCAGGGAATGGGTTATCTAGGACAATTGGGAGAGGGTCGGAGGTGCAAGACGTCGTGCCATGTCCGGCCTTCGTCATCTCCCTCCCCAATGCAAAGTTTATGAACTAGAAAAGCAAAAATTTAGCGTGATGAAAATTTAAACTTTGAGCTGACTGACCGTGCTCTTTCCAGCTCCAGTTGGACCCATGACGCTGCCATTTAAATTAGTGATTGTAGATGTAAAAGCCGGGGATGGTGACCAACGGGACTATGATATCTATCTTCTTTCCGCCAGATTGAGGATTCTTGCCCTTCCTTCGGATAGACATTGGAGAACTGGTTTTGGGAGGGAACGTATATGTCGAATGTTAAGGCGTGAAGCGTTGAGTTGCCACCGAATTGTTTTCCTTGATGCCTGACGTCCTTTGCCCACAACAGAAATAGCCGTCTGAATCCCTCGTGAGACACCATTAGGCGTGGCTCCTTCGTGTACACGAACACGTTGGTTCCGCGTGTGGGATGCCAAAATTCCTTATGCCGGATCGTGTTGGCCACCCCCAAGAATACGCCCAGCTGACGAACGTTAGTACGCCAGGCGCCCATGTTGCTCCCTCTCAACATTCGCTGCAACGCGTTTGAAGCGAGGGCTCTTATTTGTCGTAGTTTCAAGATGGTGCCGGTGAGGGGCTGAAGCATTCGAGGGCGTTGAACCGGTGACCAGTAAAGCCCTTGATTATCTTATCTTATCTCAAACCGTTTCCCCACATGCTCTCGCCATCTTGACCGCATCATGCAGTCAGATAAATGACGGGAATTGACTAAATTCACGAACCTCGAAGTATACTATCCTTGCCGCATAAGCGACCAAAGATCCCGCATGAATGACTGGAGTTCAGAATAGTAAGCGTTGGATAAGAACTCTACCTCTAAAGACCCCGCTAGCTTTGCTCCTTAAGCAACGCAGGCAGTGAGGTTCGTTCAGTGCCTCATGCAGCCAGAAGGCCTACCTCGCTCCTCTACTCGGGGGCGACAATCGGCCTCGAAGCTCTCCCCGTAGGGGCTCCTTGGATCTACATGAGATTGCCAAATCTTGTTAATAGAGAAGTGACATGCATATACTAGGAGTTTCCCAATTCCCCATTTTTCACGTAGCCTGCCAGAATGTCTGAGGGGCCATACTTCAACGCTTTCCCGTCACCGAGCCTTCACGCAGACTCGGACCATCAGACAATTCACCTTGGATTAACAGAGGTGAATTCTCCTTACAGGCATCTTTGAAAAAAGGAATAATACTGTACAGACTTGGTACAGACGTCTACAACATGCTCTAACTTTCGGGATTGCGGAGGTCCGGAAATTTAATGCCTAATTTCCGAGCTCTTTCGTGATCTCATTGAGCTTTGAGAGCTAATCCTCATGACTCATCGATGCGCAGGCGATACTTTTCTTAATCATCGTTTTCGGGCATTGTTGGGGCCTCTCTGATCTTCTTTACAGGATCATATGCAAGTCCACCACAGGGCTTATATCTGGTTTTGGTAAATCAAATTTATCCGATTTTATCGAAGAACGCAGGGTGCAGCGACACTGCAGATAGACAACTCGACGCCGCTGCAGGTCAATCTGTCGTTTGGACGTCGTATCTGAAGCAAGTGTTCGACATGGCACTCGACATCATGCCTACACTTGACTCCCTCTCCTATAGGCTACATACAGTCTTGAACGGCTTCCGAACTAATGCTCGGGTAACTACCCAGCGTACGTGAATTCCTTAGGCGTATGTCCGGTGTCGACGTCACCATAAGCAGGAGTCTCGAAACGTTGCACCTCACCTCGACAAATCCATTGATAGGAAGGCGTGGTAAATGGCGTGACGTCGTGCGCGAATCCATTGGTCAAGCGGTGCTAATAATAGAGTGGCAGTCCGATGTGAGTAAGAAGCGAGGTGTCCAGTCTAAAAAAGCCCTTATGGCTAGCTATCTTCTCTCCCAGATATACCCTTACCTGGCTGATTGTCAGGCCGCGGACGAAAATCGGACGAACATATGGTTACCGAGGTTCTTACTTCAAGGTCAGCATGGGAGCGAATTCGAGTATCATTTAAAGCACTTGTCTAGGAGTGGTGGTGCGTCCAACACCCGCTCCTGCTCAACGACGTGCCATGGAGAATACTTACATCCGAACCGCCGTGCCGGATGATTTCGATCGTATCGTCGATGCCGGGGCACGGAGTATGAAGAATGATCCTCTCCTTGCATACTTTGGATGCACAAAATCAGTAAGTCCTCGCCTTCCTCATATGAATAGAATGACTCTTATGGTATTGTGATTAAAATTTCGTTCGGTTGAACAGGCATTTTTGAAGACACATCTACGGTTCACTCTTAACTCGTGTTGGCTTGTTGGAGGAGTCATTGATCTTGTCTGCACGCTCTCGAATGATCAAGAGAGGGTTCTTGGAGTTGGCATATGGATGCCACCTCAAAAGCGAGTTGGCTCTTGGGACGTGATTACTGCATTGCGCGCAGGTGTTATGTCCCTCGGAAGTGTGGTGGGTGTGCAGGGACTTTTGGTGAGATTAGTCCCTTTGAGCGGCTTTGAGCGGCGTTTGTGATACTGATACATCGTACCAGCGGATATGTTGCGAGTTCCCGACCATGGTAGATAAATCTTGGAAACAGGGTCAATACTGTCTACTGGACGGTCCAAGCTGGTCCTCGGACAGTACGTGGTATCTGAAGTTAGCATTTACGGAGCCTGCGTATCAGAAGAACGGTATGTAATCAATAAAGGAGCTGGGTTTTCAGCAAGGTTGATCAAACGAATTTGGAAGGAATAATGACGAAGCTAATTAAAGGGCGCTTCAGCAGATCTGTAGAGGTAGGATGGACTCTGGAGGCTACAAGTCCCAAAGCGCGCGACTATTTCTCTCAGTTAGGTTTCGAGGTCTGTCTATCTTCTCCCTGTGATCATTTGGCCGCTTACAATTTGATTCCAGATTCTACACAGAAGTCGAGTAGGTACCGGAGTAGTTGATAATGAGGGGAACGAGGTGTCTGGCGGAACAGGTTTCGAAGTTTTCTCAATGTTCAAGGTGGGGTCTTTCGGTGTTCGAATTTCCGATCCAGCTAATTTTGCTAACATGAATTACTTGTAGAGGAACTTGGGCATAAATACCTAATGAACAAAGTTGTAAATATGAAATACTATATGCTTAATCCGTACATTTTGTTGCCGAAGATGTCCGGCAACTGCATTAAGCGCCCATATCCGGCTCAGGCGGGCCGACTGGGGGGGGCTTTGCCTTGCTTGTGCAGGACGACAATGAACGTAACTAGTAAACAAAGAACAACAACGACGCCAACATTCCGGAGCGGCTGCGCTCAACGTCCACGACAGCATTGAACCCATTCTTCCTTTCGTTCTCACCGTCGGTCTCATTCTATGTGGCTGAACTATACGCCTTGATTAGTGAGTAGCCTTCGATCAAGGGACGTGCATTTAACCAATGTTGCATGTGCAGCATAGGCACATTTCATGTCGGATATCCCTTTGCACAAACTTCGAAGAAACAAGCCAACTCAAGAGCCTGGAATTTCTCTTCCATCTGACTCTCCTATGCCGCCTGCAACAGTTGCAAAGACGGTGGTAGCCGCGCGTCGGAATCGTGAATACAGTTCGGGGAGGAGACAGGGACGATACGCGGACGATTCGGACGAAGAGAGAGGGCTGCTAGGATCGGCGTCGTATGACGATGGAGATGATTTCGATGCAGGAGATGCACATGCGGCACCAGTACGTGATATTTGTGTTGTCAGACTGTTCCTATTTCTGTAACGCCTCGTAGGAAGCCCGTGGTCAACCACCAAAGAGTCCTGGGTTCAATGCGAAAGACAAATCACGAACGATACCCTTCAGCCCACCTGGTATGTTACTCCCATCTGACGCAGGATTGTTCTTTTGACCCGTGTGCAGATAAACTTCAGTCACGATACCCTGCCAACATTGTTCGAAATCAAAAGTACAATGCCTTCACCTTCCTCCCAATCGTCTTCTACGAACAGTTCAAGTTCTTCTTCAACCTCTACTTCCTCCTAGTCGCGTTGTCCCAATTCGTTCCTGCGCTGAAGATAGGTAAGTCAGCCACGCCATGCACAGTTTCAGTACTGACTTTCTCGGAAGGCTTCATCCTCACCTACATTGCTCCGCTCGTCTTCGTGCTTTGTGTTACAATGGGAAAGGAGGCGTATGACGACTACCAACGCTATCTACGCGACCGCGAAGCCAATTCTCAACGCTACCTCGTCCTGACCCCTCCTACGAATGTACCCTCAAATTCTGATGCGGAACAGGCCTACCTCAACACCCATGCAAACACACGTTCCGTCCCCTCATCTGCTCTACGCGTCGGCGATCTTATTCATCTGGAGAAGAATCAAAGAGTACCAACTGACGTCGTTCTTCTTCGCACGTCAGATTCGTCAGGAACATGCTTTATTCGGACGGACCAACTCGACGGAGAGACGGACTGGAAGCTCCGAGTTGCAGTCCCTGAAACGCAGAAGCTGGACGAGGCAGACATTGCGAGACTAGATGCTGAGATATATGGTGAGAATTAGCATGGTTTTCATTCGTTCTGACTTCTGACGAAGTTCCACAGCCGATGCTCCAATCAAGGACATTCACACCTTTATCGGAACTTTCACGATGAACAAGCCTCCCTTGCCTCCACCTTCTGATCTTTCTGTTCCGATGCAACCCTTACCGCCAAGTGTCTCCCCACTGACTGTTGAAAATGTTCTTTGGTCCAACACTGTCCTAGCGGCAGGCTCGGCTGTGGGGTTCGTCATCTATACTGGTCCGGAGACCCGTGCGGTCATGAACACCAGCCATCCAGAGACGAAGACAGGACTGCTGGATCTGGAGATTAACAACCTCGCAAAGGTTGGCACGGCTTCTCTTCTCGTATATATTTGAGTTTATAGCGTGTAACTTACAGATTCTGTGCATTGTCACTTTCGCCCTCTCACTCGTCCTCGTTGCCTTGAATGGTTTTAGAGGACAGTGGTACGTCTACGTATTGCGGTTTCTTATCATCTTCTCTTCGATCATTCCCATCAGGTGGGTAGCCATTGCAGTCCCCTCTTGGACGGGGTGTTAACGTGCTCTTCAGTCTGCGAGTTAACCTCGACATGGGCAAAACGGTTTACGCGCACAATATCATGAACGATCCTGAAATTCCTGAAACAATTGTCAGAACAAGCACGTTACCGGAGGAACTTGGACGGATAACGTATTTGTTAAGTGACAAGACTGGGACTCTGACACAGAACGGTACGATTTTTGAGTTCTTTCATGATAACTTGGTCTGATTGGATGCACAGAGATGGAAATGAAGAAGCTACATATGGGTACCATGTCCTACGGTTCTGACTCGATGGATGAGATTGCACATCAACTGGAAATCGCATTTGGGTCTTCGGGAGACCATGGCCATCATCGACAAGGTTCTCTCGCTACCGGCGCGCAACTGGCAGTAAGGGGACGGAGAGATATGTCGTCGAGAGTGAGAGACGTGGTACTCAGTCTTGCTCTTTGTCACAACGTGCGCTTCTTTTCCTATCCTTTTCCGAACTCACTGACTAACTCTTATTCAGGTCACCCCCGTAACCAACGACGACGGCAGCGTAACCTACCAGGCGTCTTCACCCGACGAGGTTGCGATTGTCACATGGACGGGTTCTGTCGGGTTATCCCTTACATTCCGAGACCGCACGCGCATGACGCTATCCACTCCATCTGGCGCAAAGCTTGATTTCGATATCCTTGATATCTTTCCCTTCACCTCAGAGAGCAAACGCATGGGCATCGTCGTTCGAGACAAGCAATCTGGCGAAATCACTTTCCTGCAGAAGGGGGCTGACGTGGTCATGGCGAAGATCGTCCAGCGCAATGACTGGCTGGAAGAGGAAACTGCAAACATGGCACGAGAAGGACTACGCACGCTCGTCATGGCCAGAAGACGGCTCTCAAGCACACTGTACAACGAGTTCGCGAGTGCATATCACCAGGCATCCATCAGCCTCCAGGATCGAAATGAGGCTATGGGAAACGTTGTGGCCAAGTACCTGGAGCACGATCTCGAGCTCCTCGGCCTAACTGGTGTGGAGGACAAACTGCAGGACGACGTGAAGGGCACTTTGGAGCTTCTGCGAAATGCTGGGATCAGGATCTGGATGTTGACGGGCGACAAGGTGGAAACGGCAAGGTGTATTGCGATCTCGACCAAGTTAGTTGCCAGAGGGCAGTACATTCATGAGATGGCAAAGCGTGCGTATCTGCAACCTCGGTCATTCACATAAAGTTGACAATTTTGACGACAGTCAAGACTGCGGACCAAGTGCGCGACCAGCTTGACTTCCTCCAGAACAAGCTGGATTGCTGTCTCGTCATCGATGGAGAATCACTCCAAGTATGATTTAACGCCTTCTTTCTCCATAATTACCTCCTCTTACAGTTGCACTGATCTAGCTATGCCTAACCCTCTTCAAAAACGAATTCATTGAGATCGCCACGAAACTTTCGGCCGTTGTCGCCTGTCGATGTTCGCCTACTCAGAAGGCAGACGTAGCTCGTCTCATCCGAGCTTTCACGAAGAAGCGAGTGTGCTGCATAGGTGACGGTGGTAATGATGTCAGCATGATACAAGCTGCTGATGTTGGTACGTCCACTCGTTTCCACCGAAGAAGAGCATCCATCGACCATATCATTTTACTAGGTGTTGGCATTGTGGGCAAAGAAGGAAAACAGGCTTCTCTCGCCGCAGACTTCTCTGTCACCCAGTTCTCTTTCCTCACGAAACTCTTGCTGTGGCATGGTCGCAATTCATATCGGCGGTCGGCGAAGCTGGCACAATTCGTCATCCATCGTGGATTGATCATCTCCATTATGCAAGCAGTGTTCTCGGCCATCTTCTACTTCGCCCCCATCGCACTGTACCAAGGCTGGTTAATGGCCGGATATGCGACAATTTACACCATGGCCCCAGTGTTTTCGCTCGTTCTAGACAGGGATGTGAGCGAAGATCTGGCCTTGCTCTACCCAGAGCTTTACAAGGAGCTTACCAAGGTACGCCGCTCATTTATGGGTTAAATCAAATGCTTTGCTCAGCGAAACGTCTAGGGTCGCTCATTATCGTACAGAACGTTCTTCCAATGGTTGATGATTAGCTTGTACCAAGGTAAGTCAGCGATGTTCATTCCAAACTTTGCATCATTGTTAAACGACCCTGAAGGCGCCGCTATTATGATCGTCTCTCTCATCCTATTCGAAAACGAATTCCTGCACATCGTAGCTATCTCATTTACCGCGCTAATTCTTAATGAACTCCTTATGGTCGCCCTCGAAATCACCACATGGTGCGTGTCTTTTTCTACCGCGTACCTTGGGTATCTGTTAACGCCACCATTAGGCATATCTACATGGTTATTTCTGAGATTGTAACACTCTTGCTATACGCTGTCAGCATCGTCTTCCTTCCAGCGTACTTTGGTTAGTGGCAGTCTTCCATATCTGCCAGCTAGCATCTTAAAGCCTGACGTTGTGCTCCAGATCTATCTTTTGTTCTCACCGTGACGTTTGCCTGGAAGGTCGCCGCCATCGTTGTCATCAGCGCTCTTCCACTGTACATCATTAAGCTGATCAAGAGGAGGATAGCACCAGCGGCTTCAAGTAAATTATTGTAACGTACACATTTTGATTTCATACCCAGTTTCGAAGCACGGACTATTTGGCCTGGGGCATACTAGTAAAAAATAAATCCTCAACTATTCTTGCAAGATTTCAATTCGAAACAGCATTAATCTATAATAACGTTGAGCAAGGATGATGTACAATCAAGATCAAATCAAGATGGCAGAGCTACGACAGGCAAGGAAAAAGGGACTCATTACGGCGTGGTCTTAACTTTCTTCTTCGGCGGTTCTGCATCTTTGTCCCCTTCCTTGGGCTTAACAGGCTTAGGCTTGGGCCGTGGTTTCTCCTCATCTACATCCATCGCATCCGATGGCTTCGCTTTAGGCTTTGGTTTGGGCTTCGGCTTAGGTTTCTCGTCGCCGTCGACGGACATGGCGTCGTCGTCCTTTTTCGTAGCTTTGGGTTTGGGCTTCGGTTTAGGCTTGTCAGTGCCACCGTCAGCGTCTCCCTCCTTCACCTTCTTTTTTACGACTTTCTTCGTGCCGTCAGCCTTCGCCTTGCCCTTGCCTTTCGCTTTCGCATCTTTGGCCAACATAATGTCTCCGCTGGCATCTGATGCGGTCTCGGCGCCTGAGCCATCCGAGTCGCTTTCGCTGGGTGAACCAGAGTCGGAATCGGAGGCTTGGAAGTCCTCTTAAATAACAATCAGCAGATGAAAGGGCAGAAGAAAAGAATTACGCACCATCTTCCTCCTCGCTTTCATCATCGGCACCAGCAGCGCGAGGGGCTTTGGGCTTCCTCCTTCTACGATCGTCGTCCGAACTCGCAACGCTCTGCATCTCATCATCATCGTCATCCCCTCCTACCGCCGCAAGCAATAAATCGGCATCGGGCACCATCTCATTCTTGACCTTCACCCGCTTGTCGCGGAGATATGCCTCGGTTGCCTCGTGCTCGCCCTTGTTGATAGACGTGAAAGTGTGCTCGGGTCCGTTCTTCGTGATGATCTTCAGGTCGAAGGTGCGGCCAGCGGCTGCCCCCGATCCGGCGCCGACACGCGAGAAGACGGCTTGGTAGATGTCGTTGAGGTCGATGAGCAGTGGGGATTTGGAGACGAAGAAGAGGTAGCGCTCGAGCATGAAGAGATCGCCTTGCACGGCTTTGAGATTGGCTTTGAGGCCAGGATGTCCATCTAGACTGCAAGAGATGATAAGATAAGAGCTGAGGGAAAAGCAACTTAACGACTCACGCCTGGAAGCTGCCTGAACCGATAATCTTCTTGCCAGCGAGGCCACGGAAGACGCTTGAGACCACCTCGTACGTTGGGTCTTCGTAGTTCTTCTTCAGCTTGTCATATTTTGCAATTTCTTCCTCCGTCAGATTCAGTTCCGCTGTAATCTCCTCTTCTCTAGAAAATTGCATGACAAGGTATTGGTAATGCGTCTGGCCCTGTCGTATTGGGGTGCTAAGGCCGAGCTGCATCCAAGAAGACGTCAATAACGGGTAATCCTAGTAACTGAGGGAACGCACGATGAACAGTACATGCAGATCATCCTTTGGAAGGAGGAAAAGCCTTGCTATACTTTGATAGAGGATCTTGTAGTCGTATGTCTTTCCACGCAGACGTAGGAAGGTAGGGAACATATCCATGTCGTATCGGCCACGAGGAGTAAGAACAAGCACTTCCTCGAAGCTGAGAATGAGGTCTCCGTGAACTTGCCCAATCTTGGCCCTGTCCTTGATTGTGTCATGGAACACCTGCGCGGCGTTGATCTCCTCCTCCTCTTCATTGTCCGATTTGTTGGACCCAGCGTCGGATGAGGGTCCCTTGAGCTTCGTGATGTTGCCTGGGACATAGAACCGGATCTCGGTCAGCTCATCGCCCATGTTTTTTGGGGCCCCTTTTGACACGTTTTGAGGCGTGAATTCTAGTGAGACTTCTGTTTTACCGGCGATGTTCGAGTTGGCAACGTCTGCCAGGGAAAGTTCGAACGCGGTCTTGTCGGAAACGATGAATGCTAGTTCCTGCCCTGTAGTTTCCTTTTAGCGGAGTGCGCAGGGAAGTGTCGGTTTACGAGCGCACCTTGGAAGTCAGTTACTCCCCAATTCCAGCCCTTGAAAGCGCCTTCTCTCGTCTCCAGCGTAATTGCGAAGTGGGTCTTTAACACATTCGCGACTTTGTCATGGTCCTGTATTTAAGGCTGTTCATGAAGCTCTTTCTCCAGTAACAACCTCCACGTACCTCCCTCGTGAACCCGTCAAACTTCTCTTTCCTGTGATCTCGCAGCCCCAATCGTAGCTGAAAATCGCGCGCGACGCGTAGCCACTGTGCCCATTTTAAGTCTTCTGCTTGCACGTAAGCTACCTTCTCGGAATCTGTCGCTTTCCATGCCACACCGGCAGCAGCCACGCGCATTTCTACCATACCAAACGGCGGTTAGTTTTGCTGGTTCCAAAGTCAAATGTAGGAATCAAAACGTACTTCCTGACTCTGCCGTGAGTCCATGGTAGATCTTCTCGAATTGGTAAATCCCGCCCGACATTATGCGCTGTTGTGCAGAGGTGGGCGTCGACGTGAATAAATGTCGGCAAACGCGACTAGAGCGTTTCAAGCTCCGCCAAGTCCCAGAGTCCCACAGCCGCTGCGGCCGGCCTTATTTCTTTAACCACAACAAGTACATTCCAATATTTCTGTGGGTCGATATATCTCAATATTCCAGTAATCGGTATAAAAATTCACGACAAGCCAGTTGTGGGTGTCGCCACGACTCCAAAAGGTGTCAAATCCCAGAATCCTACCCCAGTACAGGTTCTTTTTCGGACTACATTCATACCGATGAACTCAACATAACTCATCAAGCTCAAGTTTCAAGCGTTGGGCGTCAAGCACGATTTCTTGGGACTACTGAGGTGAAAGCCTTACCTCTAGTAGGTCCCGATCACCCCATTATGAATGTCTGTCTTATTCGTCACTCGCAGTTAGCCTCATGCTTGAACACCTACAATGTCGACTACAGTGGGCCCAGAAACCGCCGTTTTAACCGTTGTGAGGTCTGAAAGTCTCTGATATCACTTGCTCTCCGTCCTAATGCGTGCATCATATTCAGATTCTCCGTTTTCTACGCCTGTCGCAAGTACCTACTGCGGGTTCTCTACTCGGACCTACGAAACCTCTCAACATCGGCCACACCAGGGACACCAGTAAACTCTCGATTTCCCGACGGATCCACGACTCCAACGCGAGAAAACATCGAACTCGAGACCCTTCCGCTGCCGTCAACTCACACACCAAAGTCAGGAAGATTCTACACGGAGGATGCATTATATCTGCATACGGCGATTGCACGAACCATCTTTTCGTGGTGTCTAGCCGAGAGCTGCATGCTTTTCTTTCTTCTCATGCTGCAAGGAGCAGGCATTTTCTCTTCAAGGTGTCTATATGCGTCCGTTTCAGCTTGTGCACGAACCTGACTTGTTTGCAGCACCCGGCTCCTCAACTGGCGGTTCTCACTCTTCTTCCTCATGGCCGCGATGCTCGTCATCATTCCCCTTTCCTTGAGCTTGCTGTTAGCTCTAGGAAGCAGAGGTGCGCACCAACTCCCTTCATATGTCGTCCCAGCTCATGAGTTTTCAGACAGTTGGACCTTCAAATCCCTCTTTGGCCCCCGAGCAATCCTGAGCCTCGTCCCAGTCGGCCTGTACCTCTTCGCCCTCACCTACGTCCCCCTCCCATCTACCCTCGAACCCACCGATGCGAGTATAACCTTCCTCTCTCGGCTAATCGTCCTCGGCACGATCATTCTCGGCCTGCTGTCTGGGTTCGGAGCTGTGAGCAACTCGTGGCAGTTCTTGCCCTTCGGGAATCGGGCACAGGCTGTACCGACCGAGCAGGATGTGGACACTGCTCAGTATGCGTTGACGAGCATCAGGAATGACCTAAAGGCACGGCGGGCGGAGGAGGCAAGGAGAGAGGGAACGACTGCGGAGGGATCGTGGATGTCGCGAGTGGGGTCGACTTTCCGCGGAGCTGATGGTCGTATGTCGTCTGAGAATTTCCTATCTTTCGTTCCTGATTTTTTTTTACAGTTACTCAAGAGATACAGGGCCTCGAATCGCTCGAATACCAAATGAGCAGGAACCTCGAATCGCTGCGGGAAAAAAGGGAAGCTGCCAAGTTTGCAAGCACCATCCAAGGTCAGATATTTCACATCGTCGGCAAAGTTTTCGCGGTCTACTGCGTCATTCGTGTCATCAGCGTATGTATCCCCTTCTCCACGCCCTCCAATACCGAAAACTTGGTCTTTCACTAGTCCATCTACAATGTCGTCTTCCTTCCATCCCGCCGTTCCTCCTCAACGACCTACCCGGACGTCATCACCGACCTCCTAGCGTACTTCCTCTCACACTTCACCTCGCACGCCTCGGACATCAGCCACGACCAGCTTGCGTCGTTCGCGCGCCAGATCAGCCTCGTGCTCGTCGGTGTCATCATCCTGAGCAGCATCCGGCTGGTGTTGCGCGGTGCCACAAAGGTATGTACTCTTTACCTCTTCCCAACCCTCTTGGACACCCCGGCTAACGTTGGTACCTCCAGGCACTGCGTGTGACAAGCCGAAATCTTGCAGCCTCGCTCATGCTACTCGTCCTCGCACAAATCATGGTATCTCTCTCTTTCCTTCCCTTTCTCTCCTCCATTTCTCATCACCCCCCCTCCTCTCTAGGGCATCTACCTGCTCTCAACCCTCGTCCAAATGCGCTCGTCCTTCCCTCCCCCTCCAGAAGGCGGCGGCGAGGCCCAGGCAGGCGCTAACCTGTTCTCGACTATACCCACATACGAGGTATTTGGGTCTCTGTTCGACTGGTCGTTCCTTGCTGCGGCGGGGGTGAGTGTGGTTGTGAGGTGGGGCGCGGAGAGGGTTAATGGTGTCGGTGATGATTAGGTTGGGTTGGGAGGTAGACGTGGACGTGGACAGGGACGGTGAGTGGTGTTAAGTGTTGGTTGTTGGATGGTAAGAGTGCTTACGAATGTTGGGCTTCAGGTTTTTTCTGTATATATTATAATTGTTTAAAGTTGCAATACGGACGATGTGTCCGCCATGCAAATTCCGGTCTACACTCTGCTAGCCATCTCTACGCCAAGATGGAGACCCTTCAAGCTTCACGGACTACCTCAGGACAGTTTATGCTTTGTCCAGCCGACATTGCCGGTGCTGGGTATTGTGCGACTCAATCATCACATCTTGAGATTGAACAACCATACTGGAAAGCCTTTTCCTGGATTATTTTTGATATCTTGATACTTTACCGCCTTAGACACCGATTGCAACGCCTACCTTAAGGACAGGATAAAAAAATGATTGAATGAAAGGCCAGGGCTTGTGGTAAGAGCGAGACGATCCTCTTGAGCGCTCACAAACTCGGGGTTAGACAATTAGCCTGACTTCTGCTTCAACTTCAGCGGTGGCTAAGGCTTTGACCTCCACAATTGCGAGGGTACTCATTGGTATTTAATCAACCTGGTTTCGCATTTATTGATGTTCCGAAGACGAACATAGTTCACATGTGTGATCGTAATACGCGCTCTTGAACGTGGTGGTCCTAATATGGTTTTTTAGCACAGGTACAGCAATCCCATACTCCGTGAAGCGAGAACTGAGGCGCCCAGTTAGGTCCCCCTTGAATAAGTACTTCACGTTACGCTCGCTTTCCAGCTTGCCTTCGGGAATCTGCCACGGAAAGGTAGACCTGTTGAAGTCGTATCGCGTGTCGAGCTCTGGAAGGCGATACTTGCGGAGGTCCCATCGCACGACAGCGAAATACCATATGCACGCGAAGCAGGGCCGGTGGCTGGTCGCGATATACAGGTCTTCTTTTTCCCCTCCGTCAGGAGGTTTTGCCATTTCTTGGGCTATTCCTTTGTCGTAAAGATATGCAAAGAGTTCGAGCTCGCTGTGGCAGCGAGCTGGGGCAGAGACGGGGCTAGTGGCAGGAGGATACGCTTCCAGGAGTAGGCGCACAATTTCTTCGGGGTGCAAAAACCGTATGTATTCGCGATCTGCGTATCGCTCTAGAAATGCGGTCCATTCTGCTGATGTGGTTGGCAGGGAAGCTGGAGTCTGGTAGCGCGGAGGAGTTACAGTAACAGTGAATTCACGCGAGAAGAGGTTGCGAATGTCGGAGTGCTTGCTCGAGATGCACGCTACTTCGAGCGAAGAATTAATGGCGCCGACCCTGTTGAGGTAAACGCACAAATCAAAGCCTGATTCTGGGAGTTGTACGGATTGATTGTCAGACCAAGAAGTTGTAGGCGGAACAAGCTTCTCACCGTTCCGATACTGGACCGACAAAGGTGTGACGTGTTGCTTGAACTCTGCCTTCTTTTGCATGAGATAAAGCTGAGCGACCAAGGTATACAACCCAAGAGGACGTCCAGAGGGGCCTTGAATGATCTTGCCGTCTAGTATGGCCCATACATGTCTCTCGAGCTCGTCGGCGATCCCTATGACTGTCGATTGAGCTTCCGTCTCCATATCAGATGCCTTCCTCAAGAAAGAGAGGCAGTTCTGAAAGTCTTTCCACCGACGCTTTATCTCATGATCCATTCTTCCTCGGCACCGGGCATACACCAACTCTCCAAGCTTTCCATAGAGATCGCGCCCTTCCTTCGCAAATTGTGCGACCCTTTCGTCGTTCTTCTCGTCAACGACCTTGCTCTCGGTATCGCCAGCATTGTCGAGTCGTCGTTTCCGCTCCCGAAGGTAGAGAAAGAACGCATGGTGGAACTGGGCGACGTCTCTGAGGATTACCCAGAGTCCCGATAGGTAGGGGCTTAGTTCGAGCAGGTTGCAAGTATCATCGGAGCTCGTGATGAAGATTTGAGTTCTGTCGGTTCGCACCGCCAGAGCGATGCGCTCTTTGGGGTGTCGGGGTAAAAGGTTGGCGACCGCGTTCAATAGCTTTTCTTTATCAGTCATACGCGACGATGACTTGGAAGCAGTCTCGAGATCGTCCTGGAGCATTGTTGGGCTACGCATATGCTTGTCAATCACAGCGGCGATCGAAACGAGGACTTCGATGTATGCTTTGTTTGTCGCCATCTTGGTGGTTTGAGATGGTCTCATTTCGCCCCTCGAGGTGGCTCTTCGCATCTTTCAAGGTCCGACGGGTACTTCGCACGGGGTGCAAGCACCAGCCGGCAGTAGCCGGCAGACCTCGACATCTTCACCGTCGGGTTTGTCTTCTCTTGAGCGGGCTGGGCGGCTCTCAGTCGAAGAGCGCTGTCCGGTCTCGATTCATAAGGAATATCTTGTTTGCTGCAAGGCCGAATTGCGCCTAGCGGAAGGCGTGCTTCAAGGCTGGCCATGTTGAAGAGAGAAAGGTTCTTCTGTATCTGGTATTTAGAGCTTCCGACTCGACGCTCTTGGTGAATTTCTCTGGATATCTGGGGGACCCATTCTGGTTCCGCTTTAGGAGGCTGAAACAGTGGAAGTGGTTCAAATATTACAACGACAATGAAGACGACCGTTGTGTACTCGAGCCAAACCCTAGTAGGCCGTCCTCAATACCTCCTCTACGTCATCGCTGACAACAAAAAATGACCCGACAGTGCTCTCCGATGCACCCCTCTGACTTCGAGTAGATGTGCCCTCCTCTCCTGCTACTTGCTCTGGGCCCTCACCGTATTGTGCCCTCTGATTCCACTCCTTTATAGCAAGAGACAATATCTCGTGCCGTAACCTGCGTCCGTCCTCCTTGTGCACCCCACTCCAATCTGGTAAACCCCAAGGAAAGTAAAACTTTCCGTGTTGACCTTTCTTGCGTACTCGCCTGACGACCTTTGCAAAGGCTTCAAAATACAGATGACATCCGGCGCAAGCGAGTTTGGTAACACCGACGTAGTCGATGCTCTTGAACCTGTCGCTGTTCTGAGCGAGGAAATCAAGGATCTTTATTTCACAGTGAACTGGAAGGTTTTTGTATAATGGTTTGGGATTGGAGAGCTTCTTGGTAATTTCTTTGATTTTGTCGATACTGCATTGGCCAGTAATATGAAGCGCATGAAGAGCGCCGTCCGCGTTAAAGAAAGTGGCGACTGAGTCTTGCGGCGGTATGTTCAAAGCAGCCGCAGGTTGTCCAAGGCGGTTGACCTTCACTTCTCGCTCCAGATATTTCACAAATAGCGGATTCTTGACGTTGTTGAGAAGTATGCCTATGGAGCGTTTGACGTTGACTATCTTCTTCCAGTATCTTTGGACGAGACCCTCGATTTTCTCTGCTAGGCAAGAGTTGTGAGTTCGACCGCCAGTGATCATTTAAAAAAGGTGTTCCGACCCTCTAATCCTTCATCTGGCTTCCCGCGGAATTTATTCCAAGGCTCCTGGAGGTGCTCAACTTCATGATACCTGTGCATGCAATATATATCCGTCATCATTCCACCAACCTTGTCCACAGAGCCTTCTTGAGTGATTTTGTAGAGGGTGTAGATAAATGAATGCAGCTCGTCGAAGCCTTCCATGTCGGACGGCGCAGCAACTTCCTCGGGCTTGTAGTCGGGATACTTCTTCTTTATTTCCTTCCCCATTTTCTTATAGTATTTGCTTGCCCGGCCCTTCAATCTGTCGAGGATGTGGTTGTAGACCGTATCGTGAATTCGCTTCACGCTGGGGTGTTCGACGGCGAACCTGTCTACATTAGGGTCTCCGATGTGTCTTGCAAGAATCTGTAGGCACTCCTACAAACTCTGGATGAATTCGTACGTCTTGTCATGAACCTCGTCATTTTCAGCGAGGAGGATTTCGGTTTGCTTGGCTGTCAGATCTCTATCCACCGCCAGGGCGATTACTTGGCCCTTGGATTCGAAGACGCATAGAGACGCAATTGATTCGGAAATTGAGGCCCAATCATAAGAACTGAGGTCGTCGTGCTCGAAATCGCCTTGGAAGGTTGGAGAGAGGGTGTCGCGTCGAGAATCGTAAGGTACCGGATAATCTAGTTGGATCCTATGGCACAGTGCCACAAGCAATTCTGGTTCGCAGGTGCTAGACATCGATGAAATGAGAGGTTCGTTGCAAGAAGGCTTAAGGAGCGAACAAGGTATTGAGGTATCTGTGCTCGAGAAAAATCAAAATAGAATTTCCAACTTCTGGAAAGGGATCGTAGTATCCATATAAGGACGCCCGACCCGATCAATCAACTCTAGCCGACAGCGACAGGCCTTCGATCTTCGTCCTCTACAAGTCCTATACATATACATCCTGAGCTATACACAGGATTGTATAGAAAGGTGATCTATAACGGATGTCCTGAAAGTTGGTTCGCCTGGCGTTGTCGTTCCTGACGACCGGATCGCGAGAGCGTGTCACTGTACAGTTACTCTCCCGCCACCTCACCCAGAGAATGGATCATACTCTTCCAATTGACATTGTACATCACCTCGGAGGCGGTTTTCCCTCAGTCCACACCAAGCCCAAGCATGAGTGTTTCCTCAAGCACATGCCTTTTCCCGGCCGGGGGACACCCTATGCAGGTGACTACTCCCTTTGGGGCTGGGAACGAACGATGTATCTATCACAATTACTTCAAGAGGACATGGGCGCTTACCGCTGGTTTCCGGCGCTATCTACCCAAGTGCTGGTCGATCTCCATTGCACGCGCTCATCCTCTTGAGTGCGTGCGTTCTTCGTTCATGTCCTTCGGGTTATGGGACTCCTGAGTAGTCTGAAGGGAAGAAATTCTCGAGTCAGCCTCGGAGAAAGTGGGGCTGAGAAGGAATAGATGCACCATAAGAAGATATCTTGACGAGTTGGCACGTTGAATATAGCCTGGGTTTGGACATCACGAGTAAGCTAGAAGCAAGTAATATCATGAATTTCGATGTTGATGTTCCTCTTCCCAACCCTCTTCTCAACGGACACCCCGGCTAACATTGGTACCTCCAGGCACTGCATGTAACAAGCCGAAATCTTGCAGCCTTGCTCATGCTGCTCGTCCTCGCACAAATCATGGTATCTCTCTCTTTCCTTCCCTTTCTCTCCTCCATTTCTCATCCCCACCCCCTCCGATATAGGGCATCTACCTCCTCTCAACCCTCGTCCAAATGCGCTCATCCTTCCCTCCCCCTCCAGAAGGCGGCGGCGAGGCTGAGGCAGACAGCAACCTGTTCTCGACCACACCTGCATACGAAGTCTTTGGCTTGTTGTTCGACTGGTCGTTCCTCGCTGCAGCAGGGGTGAGTGTGGTTGTGAGGTGGGGCACAGAGAGGGTGAATGGTGTTGGTTCGTGTTGGCACAGTGGAAGAGAGAACTTGATATTTAGGCCTCCTACAGAGGTCCTTATATACTGTACACACTTTGTATCTAGTAGGTTCTACAACTATCTACTAAATACTATGCCTATACGAAGCTGTGCTATGATGACTAATCTGCATTCCAGTATGTACGGGCGCCTACTCAAAGATCCGGGACAATGCCGGATTGCCCGATTCCAACAGTTCGGATTGATAGTGAGTGCCGTGTTCACGTTTGGAGTTCGGAGCCGGGTACTTACAGGTGTCAGGGTTTAGATTTCTTTGTATCATATTCTCTGGGCCGTCATTGGAGAACAATTGTCATCGAAACATCGGGCGACAGGGCTCTGCAAGAGTCACGACCTATCTCAATCATGTGCGGGGTATCAGGTCCTCTGTTACTTCTCTGGAACAGCAGCCGCGGCTGGGAAAGGTGGTGTGGCTTCAAATAAATGCTAAGTCGTGGGAGACTAGCAGCATGGATGCTGAGTCTTGCGCAACGGGTGTTCAAAGGAAGCAATTTATTCTTCTAGCCCACTAATATCAGGTTCTTCGATCGAATGACATTATTTACAACATTCAGACTTTAACTAGGAAGTCTCGACCTCGTGCACTATACTAAGACGGTTGAACCAGCGGACGATCCGTGTGATGAGCTCGCTTTCGAGCGTCTTGTCTGTGAGCTCCCAGCAGTAGGCAAACTGTCTTCCCCTTCGCCATCCGGGCACTTCGACGGACTTGCCACAGGCGAAGCACGGACGGCTGCTGGTAGCAATCCACAGTTTCCGATTGCCTGAGATGCCCACCTGTGGTGGCAAAATGTGGTCATACATGAAGGTAAGGAGTCTGAGCTCAGACTCGTATGGAGCAGGTTCAGAGCCGACTTGGGACAACAAATCGGCATCTTCACTGTTCGAGAATCTGATGTTCTGGTGCTGAGTAAACCAGGTAAGAAACCTTCCCCATTCCTCGCTGTTCTTCGGCAACTGGCCGGGAAGGTTCACAGTCGAAGCACACAGAGTAATAGAGAAACCCCCCTGAAGGACGGCGCGACATTCCTTTCTTTGAGCGACCCGGCAGGCCAGATCGATGGCTGCGTTTATTGAAGCGACCTTGGACAAGTAAGAGGATAGGTCAAATTTTGATGGATTATCTGGCCAAACTCTTTAGGTCAAAATCATTAGGGAAAGAGGAGAGGCCAAATACCTTGCTTATATGCAACTGACAGAGGCATTACAAGCCGCTTGTACCAAGGGTCTTCTTGCAAAAGTAGAACATCGGAGATGATGAAGTATGGAAAAAGCTCTTCCCCAGTGGAGGGATCAATCATGGACGTGTCGCTTGCCTCGCATTGCCACAATCGGTGCAACTTGTCGGCAAATTCACGCATCTTCGAGCAACATTCAGGATCCTCTTTGTCTGCTTTGTTGTTAGTAAAGGCGATGAAGCCTTGGAAATCCTTCCTGCCCTGATCTATTTTGTGCTGAAAGCGGTGTAAGGACCAACCGTACACCAGCTTTGATAGCACTGCGCGAAGAGTGCGATCTTTAGCCCTGAGCTCCGCATCGTACGGATCCGTCTTCGCGTTTACTTCTTTATTTTTGCTGAACTTTTCTTTCACATGGGCCTTCGACACCTTGAATTCCTCTGCCAACAGTCGAAGCGTCGACCAAAGGACAGACAGATATTGTTGAAGTTCGGATTGGTTGAGACTGGCATCAGAACTGCAAACGAAGAGTGCAAATTGCTCTTGACTGTGCCAGGCAGTTATGGAGATATTCTCTTCAGAGTGTCGGGGTAAGAGGTTGGCGAGAGCAAGAAGGAGTTGTGGTAAGGAAATCTCGCCGCGGGATTGATCAAGAGAGCCAAAAGCCAACAGACCCCGCCGGCTTTGGTCAATAGCAGTGACCATTGCAGCAAGCGCTTGGGCGTAGCTGCCATCATGTGTAGTTGGGCTCATGGGTTCAACAGTGGGGGTGCAACGATTTGATCCCATTGGTTTCCTTAGAGTCGTTCAAGGGCAATCTGGAGGCATGGTAGTTGGAGCACTGTTAATGAGGGGTTTGGTTTTCTCGGAAAAATCCATACGCACCTAGCTTAAGCCAGAGGCCTTGGGTATGGGGGGGTGATTAAGCAAGACCATTGTTTAAACGGTGTTTAAACTAAGGTTTTTCATTCAATGCACTCGGATACAACAAGATAATGTGATGCAGGATGGATTAAACAAGAAAGAGGTCAAACAAGAAAGGGATTAAACATGAACGATGATTAAACGAGAGAAGGGTGACATGTGACAAGTGAATAAAAAGGGAGAGTGACTAAACGGGAGAGTGATTAAACAGTAAGATGATTGAACAGGAGGCGATTGAACAGGAGGGTGATTGAATGGGAGGTGAGGTGATTGAACGGGCGGGTGAGCGTCAGACCGAGACGAATAATCAATTAATCAATGGGCTACCCTATGCAGCGAGAGCGATCTCCTCATCGACCTCATTGCCCTGTTCATCAATGTAGGCCCAGCCGATGCTGCACGATGTGTCAGTGGATGGCAACGGGGAGAAAACCTTCCAACTCACTGTTTCTTGCGCTTCTTTTGCCCACCTGTCTCATGCCAAGCACTATCCAACGCCCTCTTCAAACTAGAATCAACCTTTGCACTGTTTACAGCTTCTGTGGGCTTCTCTCATGCACAAAGTGAGCGTCTCCCAGACGACCTGTCAGAAGCACTGGGATCCTTTTTTTTCTTGTCTTTCGGTGGCCGACCTGGACACTTGGACTTGGGAGCGACCGAAGGTGCTGGTAGAGTAGCTTGAGGTGCAACTGATAACCCAGGTGTCAGGGCAGCACTGCCCACCTCAGGCACCTCCGCAATGAGATTCTGGATAGCATGGAAAGGATCTCCAGGTCCGACTGTCGCAGTCATAGCTTCTGCATGTTTGCCAAGGGTTATGCTGGTCTCAGGGCTACTCGCGACTTGAAGTGGGATTTGTGGGTCTGATGACGTAGAGGGCGCGACTTTGGGAGGTGTTGGAGATAAGGTGGAAGACTGAGTCTGCACGGAGATGTTGGATGGTTCCTGATGCAATTGAAACATGAATGGGGGTGAGAGTACTGAGAGGAAACCGAAGAGGATGTAGACGTTGCCAGGCATGGTCTCGTAGCTCTTTGGATCTTTGAGGGACACTGGGAATGGGTACTTCGTAGTGTCATAATAGTCTTGAGGTTTTAATGCCACCTTTTTCCAAGGTATGGGTGGCACCGTACCCAGCTCGGCAGACCATAAAATGCTGCATAGGTTGGTCATTCAGTATAGCACCCTGCAAAATGAGACAAGGCAGAACGTACCCCACACGGCATTGAGATATGCAGTCAGGAGTTCGATCAACTGAGACGGAGTGGCAGACTTTGAGTCTACACGAGGCAAGAGGGGAAGACCATCATTGTTCAAGGGAAGTGGTTCAAGGGTGGGTGCATGGAACTTTCCTAAGCATTACATGACATTGTGAGACAAGGGTAGAAGGCGGATAAATATAGAACTCATGAGGGAGAACTGAATCGGTGCCGCTGACCCACGCATCAGCCTGTGCCTCGTGGTTGTTTGGCTTCAGCGCCAAAAGCGCTTTCTTGGTGCTGTCAAAACCGGCATAGACTCTGGAAGTGAGTGTGAGTTAAGGGGAAACAATAAGATTGAAAGGAACACGTACGTGAGGGCCTTAATCCCATCGTTGGTGCTCCTGACTGCGTAGGAAAAACTGGTATAGACAGTCCCAACACAGCCACGAGAGCAGAGCGTCTCGAGGAACCTTGCCATAAGTAGAGGGAAATGTTCACGATTCCTGTGGCATGGTAGGTAAGCCGCTCTGAGAAGACCTGAGAAAAAACTTAAACGTACATGTCGACATCAGCGAGAAGCTCCTTAGCCTTCGCTTTCCAAAGGTCCTGATCTGCCATAGCCCAAAGGACAGCCACCGCTTTGTTCCTCAGACCACCACCCATGAGTGCCAGGAACTCTACCGAAAGCTCTTGCATCTTTGATTTGATGGCATCCTCATTCTCTCCGGCAAATAGTTCACGTGGAGAGAAATCGCCCATGAAGATGGCGGTGGCACTTTGAATCATTGTGTCCAGTTTTTGTTCCACCTCTGGCGATGCCCCATTGCCGCTGCCGGAATGCCTTCCTTCCTTGTTGACAATATGATGAGTGAAGTAGTTTGTAAAGCGTCGCATGATCGCCTGGACCCAGGCAGTGTAGGTTTCGGCCTTCGGTTTGGCCCCACCATCGTCACAGTCATCCAAGCTATCAGTGATGAGGGAGGTCAGGTCACTCTGTGCGGCTGATTCCGTGGGGATGCGGCCTCGAATATCGGCAAAGACTTCGTGTTCGAGAATTTCCTTAGCCGTTGCCTTCTTCCAGTCGGTAAGTTCCTGACAATTGCCTTTCAACTGGGGATCAAGGGCGTAAACTTGCTGTTTGAACTGTGGCATGTACGAGTTGATGTGCTTGATGTGTTGCTGACCAAGTTTGAAACAAGTTGCTTGAGCACCAGGCCGCTTAACCTGGCCATTGTTGGGAGTGGCGCTGTTAGGTTTTCTAGCCATGCTACAACAGAGGTGGGGAGGATGGAAGGTAAAAAGAACGCGAAAAAGGGAGCGAACGTGTCGAGTTTTATAACCCTCTGTGGCTTAAATTGACACGTTCCCAAAGTGGCCGGCGTTTTGACAGTGCCACAGTCCAAATACCGAATGTGGCTATCATGCCCTCATTTGGTTCAACTCGCTTTGCTGATTGTTCTCGCAGCAGTACCGATTACCAATTCACTTGGCCGTCATGACCTTCCCACCATTCCTGTCGTCCGAGTCCCTTTCAAAGCTATAACTCAATTACAATGTGTGGGCATGAGCAGACAAAATAAATTTACATTCTGGACTAAGTTGCTATATTTGATAGGCCACCGGGAGTGAACACATCAGGCTGCAAAGCGTACAATGAGAACACTATTCGCGCCAGCCACAAATTGGGGCGAGGACCACATAGTGGCTTTCCACTGCCCAAGCCGGAAGTCATACACTTCAATTGTGCGGCCGTGTTCAAAGCCACAATTCCCCAGGAGCAGCTTGAAGTCGCTCAAACGAACATAGGCTCTAGCCTGACGTTGGGCAGGCATGGTTGTTTGAAGGCAGAGGATGGGGTGAAATGGCGGTATAGAAGGCAGACATCTTTTATACCAGAGTTTGGACATGGAGAGCACAGCGGCCCACTTGTGCTTGGACACTGGTGGCTGGCGTCTACATATTTGGGATGGCACTTGGATGGTGCAATGCTTCCTTGCAGAAAAAAGAGTAAAACTTTCGTTTGAGATGAGACTCAGTGGAAAAGGGCAAAGGAACAGACATCAGCCTCGGATTTGAGCCTCCACCCTTGACACAGCATTTCCAAGGCCGGATATGCCGTCTGGAGGGCTGAGAGTCAGACCAGGGAATGACAGCTGAGCACTGAGCACTGAGGCCGGGGCCACAAAATGCTGCAGACAGATGAGGTGCACCGACTTGAGGGCAGGCATGGCACAGGCCGGTTGACCATCCTGTGAGCGCCCCTCCACGAGAACGATGTTCAGGATGTTACCCACCGCCTATGGTGCACCAATTGGTCGTGGTTCAATTTCCCACGCTACACATCATGCCTTCCTCGAGCATCCTACAGGTCGAAATGTGTGATTTGCAAGATACATCTGGGCTCTGGTAGATCTCTCTGGCATGCATACTCCTCGAAAATTTGATTTTGGCAAATTTTGGAATTTATTTGGGTGATTTTTAACGGTTTTCGGTCATTTTCAAAATATCTACTTAGTGCTCCTACTTATATACTCAATCACGACCTCTTGACATTGTGTTTCCCTCCAAATTCCCCTTGCCTCTCACATTAGCCAATCACCCGAATTTCATTCGTTCTCCCTATAAATACAGCATTTCCCTACTTGTGCACGGGAGATCACCTTCGCTTCCAATCCCCGCACCTCCCTTCCTTCTTCCCTCCATCTCTCCTCTCTCCTCCTTCAACATCCTTCCTAGCGGAGACCCGAACCTACGCCCGAAGCATGTCCCACGCCGTTCACTCCCCTCAATGCCCCCAGCAAGATGCGGATCAAACTCGAGAGCAGCAGCAGCTCGTACGATGGGGAGAAGGTCTGCGCACGCAAGATGGATGGCACGAAACACCATTAGTGACATCCCCGGCAGGCAGCCATCATCTGCCTTTGGGTCAGCATGTCCACAGACAAAGCTCTTAGCCCAATGATACCGACGAGGAACACCCACCTTGTCCATGGGGTTCCAAGCCCAACACCGCTGTCCATGGATGGGATCTATGGCACGTTGACCTTGCAGTCATCTGGTAAGGACAGGAGGAGAGGCTTGTAGAGCTTCGTGCACCATCATCTCCTCTCTCCATCTCTCGATGTCGTTCTCATTGTGGGCATGGCACGGGACAAGGGCGGCGGAATGCGGGTGTACGACCACCGAGTTTGGAGTTGGGTGTCTGCCAGCACATCAGTTTTGAACAGCAGGGGGTGAATACAAACTGCGGCTTACCCTCGTTGGCCTATTCGTGGGACGGCCATCCTATACATGAGCGGTAAGTCATCGCTCACACACAATAGAACCTCGTACTGACCTGATCCCAAGACAGCCCTACCATCTTCCAACAAGGAGGTCAATGCTCGGACCTCATTCAGGCATCATACGGCGGGGGGTGAGTCGCCATCGAGAGGACAAGGACACGGTGGGAGGCTGATGACAGGGTCACTGGGTCAGTCATGTCTTCTCTAGGATGTGTGCCCAAGCTTACCCTCATAGTCCAGGTGGCTCGCAGCGATTCCTAGAATCACGCCGCTCATGTAAGTTGTGGCTGTTGCAAGGAATGAGGAGCACTTAGCCCTGCTCATCTGTGCCACTTCATTTCTGCGTATGACACATCGTCAGCGCCTTGAAGAGATCACAAAGACAAGGCGGCGATTTACCAGGTACACGTTCGCTGGCCTCGAAGATGCTGACATGACATGCATTAGAGAACGAACACGGTGAGTAGAGGACGACAGGCTCACCTGCTCGCCATCGTCGGCATTGGCGTCGTCGAGTGTTCAAAGGGAGAAGAGGGAAGAAAAGAGAAAAGAAGAGGAGTGGGGAGGAATGGGATGTCAGAATCAGCCAAACCCACCCGCCCTTATATACAGATATACCCTCGCTTTTTCGAAGGGGTATACCAGCGTAATTATTTAGTACTACCAAGATATTATTTTTAGATCCTACATCACGGAACACGACCCCTCACTTACACATCAACAACTCTCCCTCATTCCACCACCACCTGCCCATAGCATCCCTTTGTCCCTCGTCCTTGTCCCTCATGCTTGCCACTTCTATATGCCGCTCTCACACTGATGTTGTCCAACACAAGGAGGGGACGGGGAGACCTCCCAGGTATGTCGCATATTGTTCGTCTCTCATCTTGTGCTAACACCCCTCCCATGATGCCCTGCAGCTCAGTGCTATCATGCCCCCACTCCCAGCACAATCGGATGGGTGGACCCCAGACAACAACAACTACAACAGGCCAGCACAGCCATTCGCCCTCATCTTGCCCCACACTGTCAACCTTGTGCCAGCACCCCTACGCCGTGATCGCCCACGATCGCACCATATCGTGAATAGCAACACTATTGGCTGGTATCCCACCACCCACCACCGCTCTCACTTCCACACTCACGAGCACGATAATGCCAATCAGCCTGCTAACCTCTGCCCTTTCACTGGTACCACCTCCACCGATGCTGCCCTTTCATAGACACGACAACAGCAACAGGACTTAGCCCACAGCCTGCCATACCTCCTTGCACCCTTGCCTCCTCACCTCGCACTCACCCTCACCCCAGTGACCCCTCTCGGATGTTGACAACATGTTCGTTCAGCATTGTTTGGGGTGTTCAATTTGCCCACTTACACCTCTACCATTTCCCACTTCCTCGCACCATCACCGCGCACCACCTTTGCACCGGCCCCTGGTGGTTTCAACCCTCCAGAGTGATACATTGACGGGATGCTTGCTGTCTTTCCCTGTTGTCTCCCATACTGTGCTTTGTCATCACGTGGTTGATGAAAAGGCGAAACAATCGAGCGAATGGCCACTTGGCCCATTTCTGATTTGTCCTACCTCTTTAACACACACCATGTCCAACACTGACACTTCCGACCAGCCTAATGCCTGTCAAAGGTAGTTCTTATCATCATCACAGCTGCGTTGACTGATTGTTCTCTCCTTAAGGCTCTCGTTTCCAGCACAGGCCCCCATCCGATCCAGGACCTTGGATGTCACAGGCATGTAAGTATTGCTTGGCCTTACTTTGGCATTAACTAACCCTCATACCTAGCACACTTGCTCCGTGTGTGTGCCAACAGCGACAAGCAGCTGCACATCGAGTTGCTCATGCCACCAACACACGCTTGTTGCAAGGCCAACAAATTTATCGCTTAGCCCTTGAAGTTGGACGCCGCTATTTGGCCACCTTAGAAGGCGCTTCTCATGGCCAAATTACTCAGGATTTGGAGGTGTTGCGGGAGCATCTGCAAGTGTTGGAGGTCCTCATCAACCGTATTTCAGATACCACCCCACCTCAATAAATTGTTCCCCCTTGCTCTTGCACCAACATGAATCAAAATCATTTTTTGTTATCTGTCATCAAGAAAGCTTGTCCAAACATGCTTTGTCTTGGAGGATTGAGCCACGTAGCACATGTTGTCCAGTCGCCACTGCCACCATACGTCTTTCCCTTTTCCCCCACCTCCACACATCTTTACCCCGTTGTGCTACTGAACGCTCACTCCCAACAGTATGCCTGCTCCAAATCTGTCCCTCAAGTCCTTCAAGAAGAACCTTGACACAGCTCAGGCTGCATTAGGCCGTCAAATTGTTGAGACCGGCCTTAGTCGTCAGGCTGAACACACATCTATAACCGGCTCTATCATCACACATGAAGTTCTGCCTCTTCCTGCACCCCCACCACCTCTGCGCTATGCAGACCCACTACCACAAGAGACGGAGAAAATACCACCCCCAAAGAAGAAGGTGTGTATTCGTGTGGTGTGCAAATCAACATTGAATGATGCATCTTACTTCCTCACAGGCATCCGAGCAACTCCAAGATTTTGTCGACGCCCTGCCCGAGCTACTCAATGTTCTAATGGACGACAACTCAAGCCCCTCGCTCAATATGCTGTGTCAGTGTGGAGCCATTGGAGCTGTGCGCACCACTCTCTGTCGCGAATGCTTCGGATATGAGCTCTCATGTTCCGAATGCTTTATTCGACAGCATTCACAGACACCTACTCACTGGGCCGATGTTTGGAATGCCACTGGCCAATACTTTGTCCGTCATGATATTTCCACACTACGAGAAAAAGGTTACGCTATCCACCTCAGCCACAATGGAAATGTCTGTCCAAACCCCGCCTCTGATACCGACATCTTCTTCCACCTTATAGATGTTAACAGTGTTCATCACACCAAGATTCAATTCTGTGGCTGCCCCGGTGCACTTGAGAGACCCTTTCAGCTCCTGAAACATCGCCTTTTCCCTGCGACTTTGCGTCAGCCAAAGACAGCGTTCACCTTCCGGACTCTGAAGACATTCCACATTCTCCACCTTGAATTGAAGGTTGCCGCATATGACTTTATCAGGTCTCTTCGGCGACTCACAGATAATATGTTTGCTCATAAGATCCCGGTATGCACAAATACAATCTGGTTCAGTCTTCAACTTCTTATTCTCATACAAGGACCCTTACCCACAGTTTCGACTAGTTGTTCGAGTCTGGCGGCTCCTAACAGCCACAAAACGCCTCGGACAGGTCCACGGCATTGACATGCTCCTTCCAAATCGCCCTGCAGGCAACCTGTCGGTCTATTGCCCAGCGTGTCCAGAGCCAGAAGTCAACATGGAGCCAAACTGGCAGAAAACCCTGATTGAATACCGGTTGGTACTAGTCTTTTTATCCCTCAATTATCCAATATCTAACAGCTGTTCAAGTCATCTAAACCAGACCCAACACACCCTTGACAGCAACCACCACGCCAACAAGTTCATCAAGAACACTGATCCAGACAATGTTTCGCTGTTCGGTGGTAGGGCCTGCTTCCCTGATGATGCCATCTTTCAGGCTTATCTAAAAAGCCAACCCGCCAATCTCCCAGAGGTGAATGCAAGTCATAAACTCAAAACCATGATCTAACAATGCCTGGTGATTCCAGAAAACCACATGTTCATATCTCAACGCTGTCAACAAACAAAATCGTAAGAAGTTTAACAACATGGACATTACTGGCATCGTAAACGCCCAATGTGGCCATGTGTTCGTGAAGTCTAGCGTTGATTTACAACTTGGGGAAAGGTGGGCTAAACTCTGTCCTATCCATTTGTACATCAACTTAATAATTTCTTTCCAAGGTTTGCCAACACTGACTATGCACTTGCGATGGCCATCCGTCAATATACCGCCCAAAGTCATGATGCTGGCAGGTTCAAATGCTCTTTTATCACTAGCTGTGATCACCTGATTTCCTATGACATCTCCTGCGCCTACTGGGTCAACATGGTCGACCGCTTCAAGCGAAATTTCCCTGACCTTGTCGACACCATCCGCCGTATTCGTTTTCTTATTCCCTTGGTGCACGTCCAGAACCACAAGGACAACTGTATGTACCAGTTTTCGAGTGCATACACTGATGGCACGGGTCACTTTCACGGAGAGACTGCTGAGCACATCTGGCCCGAGTTGAATCAACTTGGTGCACAGACACGCCAGATGAATAACGGAAATCGGCAGGAGACGCTCAGTGACCATCATAATGACTGGAACTGGAAGAAGACCGCAAACCTTGGTAAGTTCTGGACTGTTACACATCATCTGCTCATATTTACACACTATCTCAAGCTGCTACTCTCCGCCTGGATCTTGACCACACACGGCTGCTTCTTATGGAAAAACGAAAAGTGTTCCAGAGCCTCTGCGATCTTTATGCTGACAAATGGCTTGAGTGGGATAAACTTGACAGACAGCTTTGCACAGTCGGCACCGACAAAGAAATCCAATGCGTCTATCGACATAATCAGAAGAAAGGTGTGTCACTTAAACTGCTCAGATGATGATGTGATAATAACACACACACTCAGTTCCTTCCCAATCACATTTATGAAATGCTCAAGGCTGAGCTCAGTGCTAGCGATCAGCAGGCATACAACAATACCACTTCTGGACTTCCAGGCCTTTTGAATGAGGCACTCGAGATCTTGAAAGAACAGTAGGTCTTGTCGTACATTGTTATCTAGACTGATCTCACGTGACAATAGACGCGTCATCCAATCCTCCAAGCAAGAGCCGACCTCTCAGAAGACGTCAGAAATCCAAGGACGCAGGGGCCGGCTATGAGACAAGATCGATGCATGGCGCAACATTCAGAAGGACCTGATTCCTCAGGTCGGCAACTACGTCATGAAGCAATCTGTTTCCGGCTCAGTTGTCGACACCACAGAGCTCGAAATTCTGTTCATTCCATCTGACTTTGATGAACCCACACATGAAAGCCTCAAACTTGGAAGCCTCGCTCGCTATGAACAGCAAATGCAGGAGGGAGCTGCGTTTGGTACCCTTCACAATACACGGATGATCGTCAAGACCATTGTATCTCTGCACTCCGAGAAGAAGGCACATGCATATGGGCAGGAGTGGCACACCTGGGCAGCGGCGCAAATTCGGGAGGTGGAGGAACGTCAGGATCGGGCCATTGATCACTACAACATTATCTGACAACGTCTCATTGCCCTCAGCATGGCGAGTGATGACAATTTCTTCCTCCCTCTCACAGTCCAGGACACGTTTCGCAAACCCACGCACCTCAAGCGAGCTGTTGGGGATTCGCGGTGAACAGATGGTGCTATCTGGACAATGTCAGGAGTCAATGCTGGGGCTCGTCTCCCACAGTCTGAGTATGATCCTGGTGAAGGGTCTTCCTTGGGAGCGATTAGGCCAATGGTGCAAACTCAGTCCTCTCAAGCCAAACGTATGTGCCATTTTGGTGATCTTGTGGTGCATTTAATCTCATGGGTGATTTACCAGGTCGTCAAGCTCTGCTCGGCAAGCAGGGGCCAAAGGGTAAACGATGCCAGCTTGAGCATAAAACTGGCAGCAAAGACAATCAAACTGACATTGAAGAGGTACCCTCTGAGAAAAGTATGTTATGTGTGATATATGTATTCACTCACTGATCATGTCTGTAGAGGACGATGGCCGGATTTGGCTGCTTAAACCAAAGGCTCGGATGACAGAGAAGGAGCTTGAGGATTGGGTCAACGAAGGTATGATTGATCACTTAATGAATCCAGGAGCTAGTTCTCATTTCCACCCCAGGTGATCAAGTCCAATTCTTCTGGGCAGAGGCTGAGGTTCAGCGCTGGCGAGAGGAGCTGGAAATCAAACAGGCTGACTTCTTGCGCTGCATACGTGCCTTTGCAACAATGTCGTCAGTTTGGTTGAAGCTATCATCAACCAGTTCGTCAGCCGGAGCAGCTGCTTACGCACGGAAAAAGTCAGCCATGTACAAGACAATGGAGTGTGACGCAAGAACATTGTTTGCTGCTGCTGGATTTGGGCATCTTGTGGAGTCTCTCGACAACGCCAGCCCAAAGCTACTTGCTGAATATGTTCATGAAGAGTGACAGAAACCCCAGAATCAAATGCCATGCCCACGTATTGTTGAGTGTCCTCTTTCTCAGCTGCCATTGCCCAATTACTGACAATCAATCCCAGTTACCAATGCCGGGCTCTATCACTATTTCCCAGGGGGAAGGAGGAAGGTAAACCCCGGCGAAGAGGAGATATTTCTGCCGTTGACTTAAACAGTACACCGTTTAAACAATTGATGTGTTCAAACGCTCGATGTGTTTAAACAGGCAATTAGATTTAATCGGGACCAGGTTACTGTGGAAAAGAGGAGAGATTAAACCGTTGGTTTAAATCAATCAATGGTTTAATCGGGCCAATGTTTAAACATCTGTTGTATTGTAAATAATGTAGCATTATATATTGTAACCTTAGTTTAAACACCGTTTAAACAATGGTCTTGCTTAATCACCCCCCCATACCTAAGGCCTCTGGCTTAAGCTAGGTCGGGGTGGTTACAGTTCTCGGCATCTGAATCAAGGATTATCTTATCTTATCCACGGCGCCTATATTTGTTTCCGTTGACAGCAATATGACAACTTGAATATGGCCATTGGCAATTATGCCTCAGTTACTGGGAAATTATAACCTAGGCAAGACACCCTTATTTAGCGATCCCATTGTGTTAATTCACCAAATCCCAGGTGCCTCATACGGCATAAGCATTCAAAATTTTATTGCTAATTCTGTAGGTCAAATTAGTACACACTTTGGACATGACTGACCGACACATGGACGAAAATTGTCTATCATACCCGCCGTAGTACCTCCTGGCTAACGGCTATCCACATTGGACCACCCCATATTGCACCCACTGGTCAACCAGCCTTCTCCCCAACTCATCAGCAAATTTCTCTTTCATCCAAGATTGTTCTTCGTATCTGCCTTGCGAGAGTTTCCATGGGAAGACACATCTGTTGAGATCGGCCTGCAGCTCAATAGGAGGGATGCTGAATTTGTTAATCTCGTCGTTCAGTACCCAAACGTAGCAGGTGCAGGCGAAGCACGGCTGATGGCCTGTAGCGAGGTATAAATCCTCTCTTGCGTCTATTACCTGTTGTGCTATCCCATGTTCATACAGGTATTTGAGGAGTTCAACTTCGGTGTGACATTGAGTGTTCCCAACCGACTGACTATGAGGATAGGCGTCTAACAGGTGAGAAATAATTTTATCGATGTCCAAGAACTGGATCTTGCGGCGGGATGCAAAGTCCACGAGGATATCATTCCACTGCGCTCCCGTCATTGGTAAAGCGGTGGGGGGTTGATATGCTGGGGGCGTAACAATGATCGTGAATCCGAGCTCGAAGATACAGCTAAAAAGGCCATTCCGTGGAGCTTCACAGGCCCAATTGATGCAGGAATTTATTCTTCCAACCTTGTGCAAGTAAAGGACTAGGTCAGAGTCCTTCTTGTCTTACATGTGGAACTGCGATGAATCTTTGACTCTGAAGAGCGGCATCAAACCTACTCACCAGTCCAATACTGCCTTGCCAATGGTACGATGAGACACTTGAAGTCGCTTTCCTTCTGCAAGAGAGAAACCTGAGCCAGGAGTTGGTAAAGTCTGGGGCGACAAGTGCTATCTTGCTGGTTGACACTGCCAGCCAAAATAGCCTTCATCGCCGACAACTTGTCTTCCAAATTCGTGATAAATTTCTGCGCTATCGCTTGATCCTTCACTTCCATCTCAGGGCATTTTTGCTTGAGAAACAAGAGACACTTCTGCAATTGGTCCCATCGACAATCTATCGTTTGCTTCAGTTGATCTCCGCAATGGCTGTACACCTGCGCTCCGAGGTTGCACCGTAGAGCGAATTCTTCCTTAGCAATTGCCAGAGCGTTCTCGTCGTTCTCTGGATCAATGACCTTCGACTCTGCATCTCCGAGCTGTTCGAGTTTTTTCTTTCGTGAACTGAAGTACGCATTTGCCTTCCGATTGCCCTGCGCGATCTCCTTGAGGATTTCCCAAATTTGCGAGAGGTAGGCCTCAACCTCAGATGAATTACAAGCGTCGTCCGAGCTTGTGATGATAAATTCAACTGAGCCCGAATTCAGCCGGATAGTTAAGGCGACACGCTCTTCAGAGCATTGAGGCAAAATGTTGGCAATTGCGGCCAGCACGTTCGCCTTCGAGGGCTTACAATCACGAGCAGTGTCTGGTGGGTGTTGGGAAGCGTGTTTGATGTTCTTCTGGAGCATTTCCCAGTTACTGAACTTGCCATCAATAACAGCTCCGATTGAGGAGAGGATCTCAGCGTAGTTGTTTTCGTATACGTTCATGTGTTGGGAGGTGGTGTTTATGCCATGATGGGTCCCATTGACACCGGAGCTGCCGGCCCGGTATGGCCCTTATCTTATCTCTTTGATCCACTGATCATCAGTGCAACTAACATTCCACTATCTTTCCAACCCTATTCCAGACCGCGAAATGCAGGGATAACCAAAACGGGCGCTCCGACGATCACCTCCTGCAGCGTCGCAAGATCCCATGGAAATTTAAACATCTCTCTCTCCGAACCACCATGACCACCCTGCTCATCCCCAAGAACGCCTCCGAATGGACACAGGCCAACCTCACGGCGTACAAGATAACCATAATCGACCAAGATCGGACCGCGTTCTTCGACTTGGGCGGTCGCCTGCCCGGTCTGCCCATGTCGCTCGACGCACTCGCTGACACGCCTGATCGTGAGGCAGCGGTGCATGTGGACGACGAGTACGAGACGGAGAAGTACCTTCACCTGCTGGAGCTTGCACAGGGCGCTTCACGCGATGCTGGTGGTAGGGTAGAAGGGGTAGAAGGGCAAGAGCAAGGAACGAGGCGAGGCGGTCGCCTGGAATCGGCGATGGCGATGTTCATCGAGCGGTTATTGCTGAAAATAGGGTACGACACTGAGCGCAGTCTCCTCTTACACAGGGTCGGGCTTCCCCTCACCATCGCCTACACTGAGCGCCTTGCCCAGCCCTCACTAGCGATGTGGGACACCGACGAACTGGTCACTTTGCTTGTCCAGACTGACCTCTACCCCTTCCATTCCCTCTTGCTCTCCACGGGGCCGGAAAAAGTCGATCCAGAAGCTTCGTTGATCGCCTCTGCAATCGCCTCATTCCAATACAACAACCGGACGCACATCGCATCTCAAGCTGCGCCGTTCAGTGTCACGACCCGTCCCCGGCTCCCGGCACAATTATCCGGCTCCCAAGGCTGTATCCAGCTTCCGAGGCTTGTGGTAATGAGCCGTGCTCTTCCGGGACACTTCTGAGACATCTGGGAATGAGCCGTGCACTTCCGAGGCACTTCCGAGGCGAGCCATGTTTCCGGCTCACTCCATTGTGTCTCCCAGCCATTGTCCCATTGTCCTTCATTGTTCTTCTTGTCCCGGCTAAGTTATCTATTACATAATCATGGTCCATTATTCTACATAGCATAAATACCCATGTACAGTAGTAGATTCCTCAGTCGGAATATCGAGCTCGACATACCCCCTTTGCTCTAGTTCACTGCCGGAATCCGGCTCCTCCCTGTTCATCCGAAATCGGGGACACCCAGACGTTGCATGGTGGCGCAGCTGCCCTTTCCGTCAAGCTGAAGCCAAGTCCCCACCCCATCCGGCACAGTCGTTACATTCAGCACGATTGTGTTCCCGGGGATCACATTTACGGGCACGACACCAACGTTCTATCATATCCCCATTTCGGTGGCACTGAGCAAGGCCGTGGAGAGTGGGCTGGCACCAGAGGAGGCTGTGGAGGTGCAGAGATACGTTCCAGAGCTACCAGGGGAGAAGAGCCAGGGGATGCTGGATGCAAAGAATAGGCATTTGCTGCTGCAGGAGTTTTTGGCATTCACGGTCTGTGTCGAGGTGAATAAAGAAGAAACAATGGCGTATGTGTAGGACATAGTTTGATCCTGCGCTCCCTTTTCTCCATCAACAGCTGAATTGCTGAAGAGTTGTGATTTTTGGTTCGGGATCATCTGCTTGCAACCCTTTGGCCTGGGGATTCAAGACGATCTTACACCCCACTAGCTCTTTGACCCCCAACCCACTCCAGTCATCTACAAGGGATGTTTCTGCACTAGATTTAGTCCCCTACGCACACTCTATAAAGCAATGTAAGACAACATCCTAAATACCCTGTAGAAAAGAATGAGTTTCGTTTTCGGCTTGAAAAGGGCTCGTTTAATTCCTGATGAATTTGCTGGAAGGTGATGATTACTAGTGTCCAGTGCTCCAGTAGGAAGATGGGATGCCTCGCAGACACTCGTGTCGGACAAGCTCTGGGAGCGTCATACAAACTTTATGAGAATTAGCCGCTAATACACTTGGTTCAACCTTACTTCAAGTCTAATCTTGCCAGGGAATGGCTTCTTGAGGGATAAGAGAGCAACCTCTTCAATCTTACATGGGAAACATGTTGATTGTGAGTTTGTGTTAAATGGTCGACCAAGCGGCTATTTTCGGGGGAAGAGCAACTCGGTCACTCGGACTTTGGTGGAAAATGAATAGTATAAAAATAGTCCTGAAGATTTCAATTTCTCAATATTCTAGATTTCAGTCCAACGAGGAAAGGGGGGCTACCGCAACATGGCTGTGACTAGTCTATATTAGGAATAGCGCCACATCTTACATTCTTCACCGATGTGTTCAAGAATTGTTGTTGATCCTGCTCATAATCTTCCTCACCTGAACACTGCTGTCAGTACAGTCGATTAGATTGCATAAAAGACTAGTATGCCAAGCAGGGCCTTCATTCTTCCCTTTTTTAACAATAAAATAAATTAAAGAAGAGTGCACTGGTGATACACTACCCGGTACTTGTGGTCTGCTGCTGTTCAGCCAACATCCCCACATGCAGTCGCAAAGCTGCGCCAGCGCTGCTGTCGGCGCTACATTGGCTGCCCATCTTCGCACAGGCTCCCCTGCACCCGGCCTACTCAAATCACGAACATCTGAATCTGGCTCGATATTCAGGGAAGAAGTGTGGCCGCCGCCGGGATTTGTGGTTCCCATTTCGCAGAACAGCAGCCAGGTTGACCTCGGCAGGATAGTTGACGATGTCATGGGCCCTGCCACGTCTGAACATGGGCATCGGATTGCCTCCACGTCGGGCTCAAACACAAGCTAAATGGGAATGCCGTCGAGCTCGCACGGCCCAGGACACACTGACGCTAGTACCACCTCTACTATCACCTCTCAATTCTCGACCAACAGCAGTGTACCTCTACCGCTGAGCTCTGCCACCTATACAGACCCTTCCATCCATCGCCGTCCTTCATTCCTCTTCCGCGCTTCCAGCTACTTGATCTTTGATGTTTCGTGGTGTTTGAACTACCGTGCTATCTGATTGTTTCGCCCTTCATCACCATACCCGCCACACTTGCTGATGACTATAGCAAACTCAAACATGGTTGCTAATCTGCCTTCTATCCTATACACTTTCTTTGCGCCATTTTCTGTACTTGTATACCTCAGCATAGGACTCACGTACTGACTGCGATCAGACACTCGCATTCTACTTTCCTTCTGTTATCTCTTCGCTTTTCCCACTTAACGTTCACCCAGATATCCAGACATTCCGAACCATGGAACACTTGAACTATATAATACTTAATCCCGTAACTTCTGCCTAGACGCTGTAGCAAGATTCTTCTGAGCAACATCGTTGAATCCTATGTTGTCATGTTGCAGAAAGGATGGGCTGTTACCAGAGCTGCTTCTCGACGTCCCAAGATTGAATAACGATCCCCTTTGGTGTTCAACGCAGGCTATACCCGATTTTCATTCCTCCTACGGCAATCTCATAATGAACGAACTTGTAACGCATTGTCTTATTGACAAGTAGAGGGTCATTGTGCATTGCAAGCCGTAGTAGTACACGCAATACATTGGCTGCAGGTGGGCACTGGCTACAGACTCGCCTATCTTCAGAGAATAATCCTGCCTTCTGCTATTCATTTTAAAGATAATGAGTAGTACTTGTCGAATTAGTCTTCATTGTAAAACTGGATGATATTCTTGAATTGCTTGTTGGTACCACTGATATAAATGCCAGTCTCTCCACAGATGCTGCTCTGCATTGAGGTTACTACATTGCGAGCTTTCTTCGCTGCCGTATCCAGCGCGTTAGCCAGGTCCGTTCGCAAGGCCTTGAGAAAAGTGAGAGGCAGACCTGCAGGAGTGACCCAGGTGTACACGATGCCGTGCGAGCCAGAAACCACAATAGGGCTGGATGGGATCACAGAATTAAGGTGCAGGTGCAACTTCCAGCACAGCCAACAGCACCACTTGCCCACTCCAATCGGCATTTCTCCCGTCTAGATGTAGCACATGTGAGCTCGTATCGGGAAGAACGTGGCAAGGAATATACCGGGTTGAGATTAGGAATGAGCTTCATGCCGCTATCATTGACCTTTGAGGTGTAGACGGCCCTCATGATAATGGCCTCACAATGCGCCATCCCTTTGCTGACGAATCCAAGTAGTTGACTGAGGCGGTCAACCTTACCGCTGGCACGAGCGAGTTGGAATTGTGCTTCCATAGCTGGATTGGCCTCTTTTACGTTCTTGTCGCTGTAAATTGCAACCTTCGAACCATAAAGCATGTAGTCCTTGGCATCCTGAGAGAGAACAGTGCCGGATAGACCGTTGATGATCTCTTCAAGATACGCTGGCTTGTAGAGAGGAATGAGGGCAGGTGGGTAAATGATTAAGGACGCCGTGAATGATGTTCCCAGTCTCAACTTTAAAAATTGGATGACCTGGACCATGGAAGGGATGAGGGAGACGAGTGTCTTGACACAGCGCTCCAGACGATTACCAACGCGGAAGTCCTTGACAGTTTCATCTAGTTCAATTAGACTCGTCAAAAGCATCAAGGGAGGAGAATGAATACCTTTGAAATCATCTGAGTCATGGGGTTTAGACCACTGGGATCAGGACAGAAACAGTGTATGCAGGGACGACATACTCGGTTCGTGCAAACGATCAGTGAGGCTGGGTACAGCCAACAACAGGCGTTCAAAGAGCTTGGACGAGGCAAGAGCTCGAATCCGTGTCAAAGCTGCAAAGGCTCGAATGAGGCAGTGCACTTCGGGGCCTTCTTGAGCGCTGCCCTATGAGACCGTGAGTAATCTCAGAAAAAATGGACAGAGTGATGTCACTCATATTTTCATCCACCAAGGATTCCTTCAAAGCTTCGTATTCTTCCTTCAGAAGACTAGTCCACCACAGAGTGTCCGATGGACCAACAATAAATTTACCGCTTTCATTTGGCTGAAGACCGCGCGAGGCCAACCAACCATGCACTTCCTCTGTCTTGCTTCCATCATCGTAGTTTGGGATGGAAAGTTCAAATCTTTCTGGAGTAGTTGGCTGGTGTCCTGAGGTCCATTCGTGAAGGATAACAAGAGGGTGATCACCCCAAAGATGCTCTGCGGTTCGCATTCGTGCTACTATTTTCGGATAGCAGCGGCGAAGGAAGAAAATATAGAACGCAAGCTCTCTGGTGCTGCAGTCCATGCTACTCTTAGACCAAGAGTTAAAAATGGAGAAGACGTCCTTGACATGTTGCTCCCACCGGACATATCCCCTGCAAGGCGCATTAAACATGGGTGAAACAGGATGGGATGCTCAATCATGGCAAACCTTTGGGGAGTCGGGGAGAAGAGTATTTTGTGGAGCTTGCACTGGTCGCCGCCAAGAAGCTCAACTCGATAGTCTCGATTGCTGGCTGTCCCTTTCTTGCTGGTGGCCTTGGGATTGCGAGTGATGATGAAGGCCTCAATACGATCCACTTCATTTGAGACCACGGTGGCAGCAACGACCCGATTTCCTGCAAGATCACGTTCATCCTCTGGCGCGCCGACCGTTGTCGCAGTCGTTAGCAGCGCAACGATAGCATTGATTAAGTTGGCTGGGGCTTCAGGCTTTTTGTAGTCTTCGGGTGTGGAGACGGGTGTGGAAGGTGCTGTAGAGTGCAGACCAGCAGACAGAAGGAGAATGTCACGTTGAAGAGTAACCTCGTCATCGCCTGGCATCAGAGCCATAGCGGTTGTGGGTCAAGATGGATGCTGTCATAATGTGTGACCCTGCTTAGCCAGATGCAGAAAGTGCGAGAGCTGCACGGTGCGAGTGGACCGTAAACCGGTCTGAGGTAGGTCTACACCACCTTTGCACAGCCTCCCATTGCACCTCCCTTGGACTGTGCTTGGACCTCGCACCGAGGCATGCACCAAGTGTGCACCAGCCATGGACCAAGCTTGCACCATCACACTTGTGCACAATTACTATATAAATAAATAATTAACCCAATTTAAGTACTTAACCAAGCAGCTAGGCTATCAAACAGGGGTATTCAGTGCCTTTGTTGGTGCCTTGTACTCGCTCCCACTAAAAGTGATTTTGGCCTGGGGTTCTCATGGTTTGGGTTAGCTCTGGATCGTGAAAATATTCTCCATATCTCATATGTACTAAGCTAGTAAAATAGTGCTCTCAGAATGCAAGATGTCCATCCCAGAGGTGAGAAAATGCGAAATTTATGCTTGAGCAATTTTTTCACATCTTCAAGGAAGGTTGTGAAAAATCCATAAAATGCATGTATATGTAGATATACTTAGTGAGAGTATATATAAGCTAAAATTAAAAAGATTGAAGCAGTGGTTAAGGGGATATGAGGCCAGCAAGTTGAGGTAATTCATGTGAAAACCCTAAAAATGCAGAAAATGGCAACATTTTGGCATTTATATCCTGGGAACAACTTGATAATTGAACACAATTCAACTTGTTTGAAGGTCTGGTGACTTAGAAGTACCCCTCATAAAATAATGAAGGTCAGAGGATTTTTTCCCCAGGTGCTGTACTTCATGCATTTTGGTGAAAATGTTATTTTTAATGATCTCAATAAGATTTTGCTGATCTCTAAGCATCTTGCAAATGTAGCCTATGAGTATATTAATAATATAAAATAATCCCTGAAACATGTGGACAAAGTCCTGAGCTGTGGCCAAAATAATGGCCAAAATCACTGTTGGTAGGAGCAAGTAAGATGCACCACCCTTGCACCTCATGTAAGCAGGGCCTCAGCTGTCAGTGCAAGGGTGGTGCATCTTACAATTTGGGCCTTTTGTGGCTCCTGCCACCACTGCTTGTTATGCCCCAGGCATTTTTCTAAATATGTTGTAGCAATGTAAGCACCATTAATTAGCAAACAATAACTTTATTTTGTAATCACCTGCCCCCTCATTAACACAGTAAGCACCCATGCACTCATTGCCTTTTTGTCAAAAGTGAAGTCAAATAAAAGAAGGATCAGGGGGCATCGCTCCGTCCTTGGCCTTGATATTACCAGATTTATATCGCCAAGAGTTAACATTCAACTGGGACCCATAGAACCCTAACAGGGATCAGCATTTTCTGCCTTGCATCGCGAAATAGTGCTTGGGTTATACAGATTTTCGGTTGGTTTCATACGCTTTGGCCGCATTTATTGCATCTCTAACGGCTATTTGTGAAAAGGTTGGAAATGAAGGTCTTGGAATGTTCGCATTCTGCTTTGACTGGAACTATGTTGGTTCCAGCAGTGGGTCTATGGGCACTCTCTTTACCCCCCTTTCCACTCAACTGTCTCTATACTTCGGAACAGCCATTTGCATGTGAGTGCTATCCCAGTGTTTCTTTTGAGGTAGGTACTAATACTTCATTTTCAGTATCGCATTTTGCATGTGCTACACCAACAACGTCTGGAGCAGACAAAATTTCCCATTCTTGTCTCAGGTGCTGTTCTATGAGAATGGAACTCTCTACAATCAACTTGCTATCCTTGACGAAAACTTCCTCCTGGACCCAGCCAAACTTGCAGAACAGGTTTGTCTATCCTCCTAACTTCTGTGCGCACCATCCTTATATTCAACAACTATAGGGTCTGCCATGGTTCACGAGCTCCCAGGTTCTTACCAAGATCGGATCCAACTTGGCCATCGGAGCAACCATCATGCACATTATTCTGTGGTATGGAAAGCATCAGTATTTCCTAAAAAATCTTTTTGTGACTTTTTGTGACTTGTTAGCACTTGTACAAGTCCCACAAGTCAACCAGTCACAAGTCAAACAGCCAGGTCTAAATTCCAATAAGTCGTGTTTGGCTGGCCACTCACAAGTCCCCACAAGTTGACCCACAAGTCGACAAGTCCCACAAGTTTTCATGCTAGCACTAGGCGTCGCATCAGGAATTGTGGGGGGTAAATCTGCATATACAATTATGCAGAATGGTTTTGCTGTTGAGGGGATTGTTTTCTGTTAAAGCAGGTATAAAGGTCAATACAGGTGAGCAAGAGGGTCTAGCAAACGTACTTGATAATCCCACCAAGCATCCGCGGTCCAGGGCTCGTCAATGAAATGTTCAAAGTGTTCTCCATCGAACTTGAAGAGCTGCTCTGTGTCCCAATGAAATTCGCCAATAAGATTCTTATCGAGAAGTAGCTCCTGGCACCAATGCCATAACGGACAGACCCAGATGTCGTATTCGAGCTCTTCGCCCTTGTATTCCACCTTGAATGTACGCTTCGCAAACTTCTTGTCATTAGCAAATGTCCGAGATCGATTCAGAATAAGATAATTTACTCATGCCGGTTGTATGGGTCTTCTGGGCTACATCCCAGATCTTGGTGAGATCAGTCACTCCAATAAGGGTGAAGACGCTGCCGTCAGCTTTAGATTGGTGAACAAGTGAAATGAGCGTGTCGATCTGCCGCTGATTCATGTGACTGTCAAGGAAAACTTCGGCGAACTCAAAATTGAGGCGAGTAGCGAATGGGCGCCATGGTTGTTTGTCGAGTGATGGATCAAGGTCTCGGGGCTCCATTGTTGATTCCATCCTGCAGTAGTCGATGAAGCTGAAGATGTCGGGCGCTTTCCCAGTACTAGGATGGTAAACGATCTTGATATCATCCTTTTTGAAGGACTGTGAGTCGAGGGAGGGAACAGTGCTTGGAGCGGCAGGAGAGGGTCCAACATTGTCATTGAAGCCATCCTCGAAGTGAGTGTTCGAATATTCCCAATGCTGAAAGGCAGAAGCAGAGTCTAATGGCGATAAAGCGATTAATTAGATGTCCAGAACCAGAGTAAATATATTAATACTCACTGGGAGGGCATTCAATACCAAGATTTCTACCCCCAGCAAGTGCCAGCGCCGCCGATCCTGTTCATCATGATTACGAAGTAACCTTTCAGTCTTCATTCTCCCTGGACTGATATAAGAGGGCTTACCGGCTTCGTTTTCCTCTTGAGCCAGCACCTCAAGTGTGCGCACAGCCTCAGAGGAGTCAACAGGAGGTGCTATCCCTCGGAGTAGGTCCTGCCTTGCATGTTCATCACAACGTGGTTGGCCGCATTGGTGTGCACCCAACCCTTGAGGAGTGACAACCTTCTGGCATATTGGGCATTCAATTTGCTCTGAGGTTCGTTATCTAGGAGGCATTTAAGAAATATGCGAAGCGTTCTGGGGATTTCGAGACTCACCCAAGCGCTTTTAACTGAAGGAGAAATTTTATTCAAAAAAGCTTTAGCAAACAGAAATTAATTCCTGAGTCCCCTTGTACAACTTGACTTACCATTTCGAACGCATTTTTCACGCGTCGAATGTGTCTTGGGTAGAAGAAGAGACGCCGAGCTTCAAAGTTTTACATGAGAACCTCATGGTCCTGAGAGAAAAGGAGCAGACGGAAACTCATTGAAATCAAATAAAGGCATTAGCACCCTACTTACATGTGCTATAGCCTACGGCGGGGGACCAGTCCCTGAGTGTTCTCCAGGAGGTGATCTTCAACACCGCGGCGTTGCGGTTGGCAGTGCAAGGCTCGTGGGTGTCCACGGAAGCTTGTGCATGGACCGCGGTGATTATTGACAGTGGACATGTGATCCTGAGTAAAATTTCACGTGTTGAATACGTCTTGGGCGCTGTAAATGCGAAAATATCTGCGAGAGATGCTCGCGGTTCAAAAGAAGTCTATTCCTAGGTTATCTAGCCAACGTGATTAGGGTAGGCAGATATGATCAAGCACAGCCGGCCTGATCAGGGTAGACAGACGTGGTCAAGCATAGCCGACATGATCATCTAATCTCCACAGGCCTGATCATGCAAAAAAGCGACACGATCAGGGCCAAGCCTGATATAGCAACTTTGGGGTTTCTGACACGTGTCAAGCTCCAGAAGGCGATACTTGAAGAGATCCCATCGCACAACCCTGAAGTACCAGATGCACGCAAAGCAGGGTCGATGGCTGGTCGCGATGTACAGGTCTTCTTCTTCCCCTCCGTCAGGGGGGTTGGCCATTTCTTGGGCTATTCCTTCATTGTAAAGGTAGGCAAAGAGTTTCAAGCTTGCTGTGGCAGCGAGCTGGAGCAGGGACGGGGCTAGTGGCAGGAGGATACACTTCCAAGAGTAAGCGCACAATTTCTTCGGGGTGCAAAAACTGTATGTATTCACAATCTGCGTATTGCTCTAGAAATGCAGTCCATTCTGCTGACGTGGTTAGCAGGGAAGCTGGAGTCTGGTAGCGCAGAGGGGTCACGGTGATGGAGAATTTGCATGAGAAGAGGTTGCAAATGTTGGACTGCCTGGTCAAGATGCATGCCACTTCGAGCGAAGCATTAATGGCGCCGACCCTTGTGAGGTAGACGCACAAATCAAAGCCCGAAGCTAGTTATTCGCATTGCCTGTCAGATCAGGGACTGGAACGGCAAAGCCAGCTTACTGTTCCGATACTCGACCGATAAAGGTATAACGAGCTCCTTGAAATCTGCCTTCTTTTGCCAGAGGTAAATGTGAGCGATCATTGTATACAGACTAAGAGTATGTCCTGTGGCATCTTGAATCGTCTTGCCGTCCAGTATGGTCGATAAATACTTGGCGAGGTCGTCAATGATCTGCAGCACAGTCGCTCGATGTGCCACTCCCATATCAGACACTTTTGTCCTCAGGAAAGAGAGGCAACTTTGGAAGTTATTCCATCGACGCTTTATCTTGTGGACCAATCTTCCTCGGCACCTGGTATACACTAGCTCCCCAAGCTTTGCATAGAGATCGCGCCCTTCCTTTGCGAACTGTGCAGTCCTCTTGTCGCTCTTCTCATCAACGATTTTATTTTCGGTATCGCCCGCATTCTTGAGTTGTTGTTGCCAGTCACGAAGGTGGAAGAGGAACACATAGTGGAACTGGGCAACATGTTTGAGAATCACCCACAGTCCCAATAGGTAGGTGTTTAGTTCGCACTGATCACAAGTATCATCAGAACTCGTGATGAAGATTTGAAGTCTGTCAGTTCGGATGGCCAGAGCGATGCGCTCTTTGGGGTGTCGGGGCAGAAGGTTGGCGACCGCGTCCAGTAGCTTCTGTTTGGTGGTCATATATGGCGAGGGTGTAGAAGCAGTCTCGAGATCATCCAGGAGCATTGTTGGGCTGCGCATGTGCTTGTCGATAACAGCGGCAATTGAAACGAGGATTTCGATGAACGCTTTGTCGCTTGCGTTTGCTGCCATCTTGGTGGTTTGAGGCAGTCTCATTCTGTTCACCTGAGCCAACTTGTCAGGCTGTACATAATCGAAGCCTGGTCACACCAGGTGTCCTGGACACTTGGAAGGCCCTAGACTCGTGTTATGGGAGTCACTCCTTTCTAGGTATTGTTCATCCAAAAAGGCCAGTTTATCTGGTTATTCCAGGGGGTGGAATCAGAGAGTGAATAGTAACGGCTGGGAGACGGCCCCACACCGGACCATTGGATAGTCGGGACAGGTCTGGCATTGGACTTGAGTGTGAAGAAATCAAAAAAGCAGGATGCAAAAGTATGTATTTCGATTGATCCGACAAACTTGGATGCCCGAATATCTGACAAAATATACCGTCATAAGATACATTGATAGGTTTCACCAGTGTTTGTGTCCAGGCTCCCCCCAGAGGGCCATGTTATATAATATCCCTGGTCACTGTCCAGTGATCCAGGTTTTTCCATATCTGACAACAAGTGAGATAGACTCAAGAGAGAGAAGATAGATACCACTATACAGAGGCCTGGACACCATAGGATTGGCTTTGCATTAACAAGGTGCACCCACCTCAACACCCCCAGCACCCCCAGGCATCCCACAGCCAGCATAGCTTGCCTGTCATGTCTACGACTTCCATCTCTGCATCTGCTTCTGCACTGGTATCAAACAACATGAACATGAACATTTCCTCACCACTGGGGGGACGGGGAGGAGTCTCTGTACCTTCGTTGTAGTCTTGCAGTCCTTCCATCCGCAACGTCGCTCTCCACTTCCTGCTAGTTCATTGGCAGAAAGTCTGGCAAACACCAGGATTGGCATTGAGGATGAACAGGATGGTGACAAGCAGTTTTGGTGAGTATCTTGAGGTCAGGGGTATCTGGTAGAATAGCTGTAGACCGCATTTTTGTATTATTTGAGTGCCAATATATTGCCTCTCCTCTTTTGGGACGGAGAAGGGGTATCCCATGCTTGCGCGGTGCGCCAATCTTCCAGTCGACCTCCGAAATGGATCCGGAGTTGGCAGTGGGCACCTTGTGGGCTGGCTTCCAATTGTACGTCAATGTGTTTTCAATTCTATGACACAAGAAGTTCATGATTTGGGCATCTAAGCCAGAAGATGTTGCCGGAGAAAAAGGAAAGCGTTGGTTTGTCAACCTGAAGCGCGAGATCTGGCATGAGGCTGTCGCCTTGATTGTCGCCTTGATTGAGCTTTACACCAAGCTTGGAGCCGCTGTACAATGTGCAGATGGGGTCACCCATCAATTATTCCCCCATATCCTGATGCTCTCAGCCGACTTTGAGGAGCAGTGAGTATTGCATCGGAATTCAATTAATTCTCTGACATCCTTTAATTTCAGAACAATGATGGCATTGACTCAGGGTTCAAACGGCTCGTTCCCCTGCCCCATCTGCCTCGTTCCAAAGGCATCAATCCCCGATCTTTCGATAACCTACTGGGAACAAACCACAGAGGAGATGCAAAGAATCTGGGACGACACTCAAGCACTCAACCAGACCCAACATGAAGAACTCTTGAGTCAATATAGCCTCCGAGATGTCCAGGTAATATTTCATGTTACATGTCATTTTTAAATAGATTTGAATGAATTTACCGCCTTTCAAAACGGACTACAAACATGTTCTGATATTTTAATTGACAGAATATCTTCTGGAGTCTACACGGAGTTGACATTTACCGTGCGCTCTCATGGGATCGTCTTCATGCCTATCACGATGGACTTTTCTCGGATCACCTCCTAGTTGAGCTCAAAGCGATTGTGAAGAAGCTTCCGGGGCGCACCACTGAGATCGCAATTGATCATGCATGAGTGTTCCCTTATTGATGGGTTTATGGTTGTGCTTATTTCAATTTAGACTTCAAGCAATCCTGCCGTGGAGTGGCTTGAATCATTTCACAATGCTCAGCGCTAGTGGGGAATATGCTGATGGAACCAAACATGAAGATCTATCCAAAGTAAGCTATTCCTTGACGGTTCTCAATTAATGGTACTAACATTTATTCTTAAGGTCATCATTTTTGCTTCTCTTGAGGCACTAAATGCAGAAGCATCCCCAGACAGATTTGCTCTCCTGCAACTTATGCGCAGCTATTTAGAGCTTGACATGTATGCCTCGCTCACTGTGCATACCAAGTGAACTCTTGCGGATGGACAGCTCGAACTGTGTCAGTTTGAGGAATTTCTGAAGGTGAGATCTGGTCTTGCTTTTTATTCACATCATGGATCCCACTAATATTGGGCCTCCCGCACGTTTCAGAAGTACCAAGCAGTCCAGACGACTGAAAAGGCATGGACGTTCCCAAAAGCACACAGCCATCAACACGTGTTTCGAGACATTTGTCTAAAAGGTGCCACTCGGAATTACAATACAAAACCCAACGAAAAAGCGAACGGGCCGCTCAAAAAATACTATCAACGACACACGAACTTCAAGAATGTGGCTCCACAGGTATGAGCAAATTGTCGAGTTGCATAGGAAAGTCTATGTAAAATTGCCCTAGGTCTTGCGAATTAGCGAAATGGACCTCGTTTCCACCATGATACGTACCAACATTGACATTATCAATGAATCTCAGCAGGAGAAGGAGTTAAGTGCGCAGGAGCCTGATTCCGATAAAGGATCTCATGCTTCTGCTGCTGAAGGGAGTGGTGCCTGCCATGTGTTTCATGGATCGTTTGGCCCTGCAATATCCCTTGTGGACATTGAATCTCAGAGTGGTCACGATGCTGTGTTCCAGCATTTTAAGTGAAAACTCAACAAGTATCTTGTAGACCGCAGTGTGATTCGACGTGGAACTGGGATCTCACCAGACACATCAGTACATCGTAATTGATTCCCCGTAATCGGCCTACGCTCAACCTTCAGTTTCTTTAGGTAACGCCATATCAGTTTATTAAAGTTATCTTCTCTTCCGTTATTGACTGGCTCAGACAAAGGTCGCGTCTCCCACAGTCAACACCACAGTTCCCACACCGATTAATCCTCCAGTTCCTGATGCACCCATCAATCCTCCAGTTCCTGCACCCGCCAATCTCAGACGATCAAGCAGTTCTATTCCACCTCCCGCAAGTACTTCTCAACCGGATCCCCCAAGTATGGAAGCTTCTGGTGTTCGAGGTGGGAAACGTGGTGGGCATGGTGGGCGCAGTGGGCGAGGGAAGAAGACCTAGATACTCTTTTGGATATTTAGACAATCACCATTGTTAATACATGCCGTTTACTTCACCCTTGACATCCTCTTTATCTCGCACCTCCATATTTTCCTATTTTTCGATCGTCATCCCTCACTATCCTCTCTCCCAGACCACGCCGCCTCCGTTCTTCAGTGCAGCGTTAGGCTCGGCACCATTCCCACAGGCGCCCGGGGGCTTGAAGCCCTTTGACGACAGACACGAACTTGGCCACACTCGCCTGCCAAAGACTTACTCTCACACATTTACCTCAGAGCTCAAGGACACAGAGGCAAGAAAAGAGTATATATATCGAACTAATCAAACAGCACGACGAGCAAAGAGGTGGAAAAAGATATCAGATTTCGTGGCGACCGAAGGTATGAAACAAACGAGTAATATAGTTGAGAATAAAAGAAAACATGAGGCCAAAAGGAAAAGAAAACAGGACAGAGTTGGGAGTAGAAGACAGCCCCAACAAAGAAGTTATGGTCGAAACAGAGGGCGATGAATGTCGAATGTAGCATACTCACCAAAAGATCGCCTCCAACAGGCTGCCAATGTGCAACGAGGGCGACGCCATGCCCATGTTTGGCATCGTTGGCATACGGGGTGGTGACTGCGACTGGGTGATATTGGGCAACAGCAATGGCGAGTTGTGAAGGTGCGGTGACATCGACACATGCACGCCATTCCTCATCCCCGGGCGGGTGCCATTCGCGGACGGCGAGCGCACAGGTACCGAACGCCCAAGCACTGGACTCGCAGCCCAGCACCATTCATCTGTTGGTTCATCACACCGTTCAGCTGCCCGTCGATGCCATTCACGATGGAGTTGGCAACCGACGACGGACGCTGCATTGGTGAGGCGATATTCCACTGCTGCAGCTGTTGAGCAGTGGGCGGCTTCAGGTTGAGATTGGCACCTGCCTGCAGCTGCATGTTCTGCATGTTCATGTTAGCAGCATTGGGCCCGATGTGCATTATTATACGATCCTGGTAGGCCTGCACGAGTAGTGTTCTGGAGGGCATTCATCTATGTTGCATTCGCGAAAGCGCTCTTGAGGTTCTGCATCTGCTGTAACAAAAGACTGCCAGTATGTTGCCCATTCTGCGCGTGGGGAATACACCTGGCAGACCTTTGCAAGAGAGATTTAGCACCCAAAAAATGGCACCCACTACTTGACCAGGAGCATTCTGTTAGATAGAGTTCAATTCATGAAATATAAACTGCCTATTGGTGTAATGGTAAGTATGCTCTAGTTTGTAAGGTCTGATTATGTAATGTGGATTCCCAGCACAAGGTTCAATTCCTGTTGAGTACGTATAATTAATATCACCTGTGTGGCGGTCCTGTAAAGATGATGTAGAATCTCATTAGAAACTGTGATATGAACATTTTATACTTCTTTGACTACAACTACCGTCGCTGATCAGGTCCTGTCTCTCTGGTCAGACGGTCCCGTCTGATCACGCCGGCATGATCAGCCGGATGCCGTTCCTGATCAAGGAAACTGTTATCATGATCATACATGATCATGAACCTGGGAAATTGTCGACATTATCGGTCTGATCATGTAATCTGGGGGTTTCCGACACGCGATACGACTATAACAGATCTACCTTTCCGTGGCAGATTCCCGAGGGCAAGTTGGAGAGCGAGCGTTATGTGAAGTACTTATTCAAGGGGGACCTAGCTAGACGTCTCAGTTCTCGCTTCACGGAATATGGGATTGCTGTAGCACGAGAGGGAGAGATTTCCCAGATTCGTTAGCGAGCGGCTGCGCTGTCCACTCAGATCGATGCCCTTCACACATATTAGAATCTATCGCTCATCCCTCTCGATACCACATCGACATCCTTCGAAGGGAATTGACATTTTGTCAACCTATTGTAATCCAGAAACTAGATACTTTCGCTTTATGTAACAAGTACCAACATATAAGACGCTGGGTGGTATGAACACGACGGAAGAGAGGAGAGAAGATAGCAGGATACACTGTATACAACAAACATGGAGAACTTTTGACTTGGGTACTAACTAATCCGCGACGACGACGATGGAGATGGAGACCGAAAGAGCATGAGGTGGGGAATAGACGTGAAGACGAGTGAGCGAGTAGTAGACTGTCCAACGAAATCCGACGAAACCATAAAGAGAGCACGAGCGCATTCACCACGCTGACCAACCGCCAAACCAATAAAAAAGCATACCGCCACCCTCCCCCCAACAACTACCGCGCATCGCTCTCCGAGATGATACTCCCGATACTCAACGGGTTCTTCTTCCCCGCGCTCTGGCGTCCATCATCCCTCTGCCTCCCACTCCCACTTCCATCGTCCCTCAGAGTCTCTCCCCTATCTCCCCTGTCCCGCCCACTCGAGATCCTTTGTTCCTCCCTTTCTCTCCCATCCTTCTCCCTCGTTCCGTACTCGCTCCGGCCCCCCGACCGTAGCTGGATCACCCCATACCCCTGCGGACTCGTACTCGTCGGAGCACCACCACCACTCGCGGACCCGGGCCCGGAGGAGGGTGCAGATCCGGATCCGGACGCAGAAAGTGAACCAGAGGAAGAAGACGGGGGCGGAGACGCTATTCCAGGACCGCCCCGCATGAGCGGTGCGAGCTGGATCCTGTCGTGCGAGGAGGTGAGAGGCGAGAGGGGTGAGGACACGTTCGCAGTAGCCGGAATAGAGGTAGCAGCAGAAGCGGTGATAGAAGTCGTAGACGCAACGGGCGAGTTATGCTGGCTGTGAGGCGCCGAAGGGTGCCCGTGCCCGGCGTGTTGGGGCGGGTGCGCCTGCACCGCAGGATGTCCTGGATGAGGCGGCTGAGGCGGCGCCTGATGATGCTGATGATGCGCGTACGGGTCGCCCCATCCCTGCGGTGCAGGCGGGGGCGGCGCCGGCGCGACCCCAAACGCAGGTGCGGGCGCACCGGGGGGCGTGCCCCACTCCGGCTGTCCCGCCGGCGCTGGTGCAGGAGCAGGCGCGTACCCGTACGAATACGCCGGCGGTGGCGGCCCATACCCCGGGTGCCTGGGTGCGCCTGGGTGCATGGGCGGCGGAGGCGGGTGCATCGCGTACCCCGGCTGGGCGTACGCCTGTTGTGCTTGTGGTTGCACTTGCCCAGGCTGCTGCTGCTGCTGCCCGGCTGTACTTGTACTTGCCCCGGAGCGTACCCCGTCCTCGTTGGCGACGCGCTCCTCGGTGCGCCATACTCATACCCCGTCGGTGCGGGCGGCTGGCCCTGTGCCGTACTCGGCGTCGTCGGGGCAGCTCCTGGGGCTCCTGGTGGCGGAGGTGCACCGGCCATGGCGGGCGGGGGCAACGCACTCGGCGACGCGCTCGGTCCTGGCGGCGGAGGGGCGCCGTACTGAGGTGCATACTGCGGGGGCGGAGGGGGCGGCGCGTGGGGGTGGTGCGCGTACTGGTGCTGGTGCTGAGGCGGAGGTGGTTGGTGCTGATGCTGGTGCTGGTGGTGTTGCGCATGCGGCGGGGGCGGCTGCGCATAGTAATCATACTGCTGGTGCTGAGGCGGGGGCGGGGGCGGAGGCTGCGTCGTATACATCCCCGTCGCATAGTCGTACCTCTGCTGCGGGGGCGGCGGGGGCGGCATGCCCTGATGCGCTGCATGCTGCGGGTGGGCTTGTGCTTGTGCGGGGGGGGCGGGTACGCGTAATGCTGCTGCTGCTGCTGAGGGTGCTGGGGCTGCTGATGATGCTGAGGCTGGTGATGCGTCGGCGGGGGCGGAGGCGCGTGATGATAATACCCATCATACACCGGCTGGTGCTGGTGTGCGGGCGGCGGAGGCGGGGCACCCCACTGTGCATGCTGGGGCGGAGTGGCGCCGTACGGTCCTGGAGCAGGAGCCGGTGCAGGCGGTTGAGCATACTGATGCTGAGGTGCCTGTTGACCTGGCGCTTGCGCTTGCGGCGGAGGAGGCGCGTATTGCTGAGCCTGCTGAGGCGGCGGCTGCGGAGGCGCCATCTGCTGCTGCTGCTGCTGAGGCGGAGGCACCGCATACGCCGGCTGTTGTTGTTGCTGTTGTTGTTGCTGCTGCTGCTGCTCAAACCCACCAATAAACCCCCCTCCCCTCCCATCAAATACACTCGGCCCAGGCAGTCCCCCAGGGTCTCCTACGCCCACGCTTCCAACCGCCCCTACACCCGGGCCTTGCCCTCCGCCTCCGCCTCCACCCTGCACAGGCAACACCGGCGGCACCGCGCTCGGCGGGGGCGGCGGGATCGCTGGGCCCAAGCTCGGGTTCATCGACGCCGCGGGGGGCCAGGGCATCTGCTGCTGCTGCTGGGGTTGCTGCTGAGGAGGAGGGGCGTACGGAGCGTACTGCGGTGCATAGTTCGTCTGTGGGTACGCGTGTTGGGCGTGCGGCGGGGGCGGGATGGGCAGCGCCGCTGGGGGTACCGGTACACTCGGCGAAGTCGTCGCTGACATCATGCCCGTGCCCGGGATAGCCGCCGCCGACGTCGAAGTGTTGTTGTTGGAGGCAGGCATCGGTGCGCCCGTGACGTCCATGCTCCCCTCCGTCCTGCTCCTCTTCGACTCTCGCCTCCTCCCACTCCCTGTCTTCTCTCCCCTTCCACCACCACCTCCTCGTCCGCTCCTACCACCGCCCTCATCATCATCGTCGTCATCTCGTTCATCGTCCGAGTTGTCGTCGGAGTCGTCTCGTCTGTTGTTGTTAGAAGGACCGTCGACGTTCATAGGCATAGGTAGGGGCTGCGAGAGTGCAGGAATGGGCCGCTTGCGTACCCGGATATCTTTGCGGATGCGGATCTTGATGCCTTGGTCGGCGAGCGAGCAGGAGAGCGGGGTGGATTCTGTTGATGAGTAGGTTAGATATCGGAACGATAGCTGGAAGTATGTGCATACCTTCCATCCCCGGGAATTTCTTCGCTGTGTAGACATAGAACGGTGCAGAGTAAATAGACTTGCAGTGTCGGACATTGTTGCTGTGGGGGTAGAACGTTCAACGTTAGCCTTGCCCACGAAAATCATCATTGAAGGGCGGGCAAGAGGTGGCGAAAGACGAAAGGAAGAGGTGGATAGTGCGACGGCGCGTATCGTCGACAACAAAACACCAAAAAAACCCAATCGACCATCGCCCATCAAACAACGCGGAGTTTCACAAAATGAAATCAATCCCAACCCAATCCCCACACCCCGTCCCGATGCGCCAACAAGGCGGTCCATCTACCCCGCACACCCTTGTGCCCCAAACTCTGATGCGGGCCCACCAAAACCTAATACGAACCCACCAAAACCCAACGCTGATCAACGAGGAGCCTGAAGTAGCAAGAAAGCCAATAGACCCGACCCGGCCCAGCCACCTGGCGGACGCCTCGACGTCATGCCTCTCAGCTCTCGACTCTCGACTCCCACTTTGAGCTCTCGCCACACAAACACCCGATGGATCCATGACGCAAGCCAGACTTTCAACGCCTCGATTCCTCGACGTCATCACTCTCTCGACTCTCAACACCCAACGACCGATGGCTGGGCCCGTCATCGACCCAAACTCCGCACATCATCGATCCCAAATCCACACACGCTTCATCATCGGCACAAAAAAAAAACCACGAGAACGAAGATCTGGCCCACCCCGCGAACGGCCCAACGCCACGACGCACGGCGTATGAAGGGTAGGAAGAAGGGAGTAAAAAGGAAATCGAAGGAACAGGAACGAGCGCGGATCCGAGAGCCATTAAATCGAATGAGCAGATCAAGCCACGCGTTCGGTGGGTGCGGGTCCACAGGCACTAGGCACGCATGCATGCAGGCCGACGGCGTGCGGTAAACGGGAGAAGGATGGAAGAAGGAAGGAGGGTGGATCCGCCGGGAGTTGGTAGCCAGCGGGTGAAAGTGGGTGGGTGGCAAAAAAGGGAAAAAAGAGGAAACCAGGAGAGAGGTACTCACGCAACGACCTCGAACAAACTGAGCTTCAGGCGGTAACTTCCCTCGGTGCGTACACTGAGGTCGGGAAAGACGAAGAATCCTGCGTCTGTAAACCTGCGTTAGTACCTATCCTAGTTTCTTCTGAAGAGAAAGAAGGGAAAGGAAAAAGCCTCATCCTCCTCCTCGCTCTCCTTCCAGCCGCCCAACCCCTCTCTCCCCCTTCCCCTCTCTTCCCCCTCCCAAACCCCCC